CTTTGTCTCAAGGACGCTTCCGATTCCTGGTTCCTGGAGCGGGGGTCTCTCGTGGCCTGACAGCCTGCGTCTTCCTAGGGTTGACTCACATCCCATTGCGTGGACGCACCGGTGCGATCCCCTCCTGGCCGTCTCACTGACTTCCAGGAGTTGGCCATCCTGGTGAGTGTGCCTGGGAGCATTTGTACGCGGGCTTTTATGTGGACATAAGTTTTCAGCTCATTTGGGTGAATCCCAGCAAGCACGAAGGCTGCACCATATGGCGAGAACGTTTAGCTTTGGAAGACACTGCCACGCTGTCTTCCACAGGGGCTGAATTATTCTGTATTCCCCCCAGCAATGACTGCGTTCGGTGGCTTCACACCCTCCCCCGTGTGCGGTGCTGCTGGGCTTTGCACTGGAGCCTTTTAATAGGTAGCGGTAGTAGCTTGTGGCTGCTTTAATTTGCAGTTACGCAGGGACCTTTGGTATCCGGCGTCTTTTTAACGTGCTTATTATCTTTATATCCTGTTTGGTGAGCTGTCTGTTCAGACATTTTGCCCGTTTAAAACTTGAGTTGTGTGCCTGGCATGATGGCTCAATGACTAAATCCTCACCTTGTAAGCGCCGGGATCCCGTATAGGTGCCCATTTGTGTCCCGGCAGCCCTGCTTCCCGTCCAGCTCCCTGCCTGTGGCCTGGGAAAGCACAAGAGGATGGCCCAAGTCCTTGGAACTTTGCGCCTGCGTGGGAGACTCGGGAGAAGCTCCTGGCTTCAGCTGCCGCTGCTGTGGCTCCTTAGAGAGTGAACCGCGGATGGAAGATCTTTTTTTTTTTTCTGTCTCTTCTCTCTGTAAATCTGATCTGTCTTTCCAATAAAAATAGGTAACTCTTTCAAAAAAGAAAACAATAGAAAAACAAATAAAACTTGGGCTGCTTCCTTCTTGTTCTTTGGCTATTTTGTGCATCAGCGCTTCATCTGAGGTGTGTTTATAAAATTTTTAACGCAGTCCGCAGTTTCTCTTTTCATTTTGTCAAAACTCTCACTTTTCTGGCAAAATTCACGTTCTCAGACTCCCACGCATGAGGGTCTGACCTGGCCCGTGACAGGGTTTCGTCAGCCTTGCTACGATGACTGACCTAGAGGTGTGCCCGTCACAACTGGTGCCAAGGAGAGTCCACCCGGGCACTTTGCTGTCAGCTCCGTTTCCCGACGTGCTAGTCTGAGACAGGCTGGAGCTGCCGCAGGCTCTGCGCCGCCGTGGGGGAAGGGTTCCTGTCTGACACGGAAGCTGAGAGACAGAAGAAAAACCAAAGCCCAGATAGGAGAGGTGCGTTCTTGAAAATTCGCCTTATTACCTGGACCCAGCTAAGCCTGAAACCACTTACGTAGCCCAGTTTTGTGTGCCAGTAAGTCCCCTTATCAAAAACCAGCTGATCAGCCAGAGAACCTCATCGAGAGCAAGTCTTAACAGAACAAGGCCTGAGGCAGCATGCTGCTGTAAGCAAAGACAGACAAAAGGACTGAGCTACAGCATTTATGCAGTCCTTTGATTTATGCAGAAGTAACGCTGTGACGCAGTAAGCGGAAAGATGATCCTTTTGGATAAACAGATCTGGGCCAGTGGACAGTTCTGTGACTCTTACCTCGCACCACACACTGTCAGTCTAAATAGGAAGTTTAAACAACAAAACCTCTAGAAGAAAACTGAAGGGTCTGGTGCAGTAGCAAACAAGCTAATATTCCACCTGCAGTGCCAGAATGCCATATGGGCACTGGTTCAAGTCCTGGCTGCTCCATTTCTGATACAGCAGCGCCCTGTCAGTGCCTGGGAAAGCCACCCCACGGGAGACCCAGGTGAAGCGCCTGGCTCCCGGCTTCAGCCTGGCCGAGCCCTGGCTCTCGTGGCTCTCTGGGGAGTGCACGAACGGAAGGAAGACCCTTTGGTCTATCTGTTTCTGTCTTTCAAATAAATACTCTGATATTTGAAGGTGAAGAGGCAGAGAGAGACAGAGGGCTCCGCCTGCAGGTTCACTGCCCGAAGGCCTGTATCAGCCGATGCTGGGTAAGGCAAAAGCCGGGAGCCAGGAATTCTGAGTCTCCCAAACAGGGAGAAAGGACCCAAGCACTTGGGCCATTGTGCACTGCCTCCCCAGTGTGTGAGCAGGGAGCTGGATCAGAGCTGGACATCTGGGAGTTGACTGGGAACGGGATCCAGCAGCGTAACGGGCTGTGCCACATGCCCGCCCCCAGAAACCACTCCGATGCTCAACCATCAGCAGTCACAAGGACACACCTCACAGGCCGAGAGGCCACATCTGGCAGGATTCCATGTAATCAAAACAAACAAAAATGTAAGCCATGCTTGTGGAATGCCACATCCCAAGTCAGGGTGGCGGTCAACCTGGAGGTGGAGGAGTCACAAGCGTAGTGGACACACCTCACGAAACGGCATCCGGCCTTCCAGAGGAAGGACATTCTACCGCACGCCCTGCGTGCGCCACACTGCAGGGAAACCCCACGGACGGCACCAAAGTGTCACCTTCCCAGCTGGCTGGCAGGGGAGGAGGACAGGGAGATGGCCCAAGGGTCTGGAGTGTCCACTTCCCAGGATGGCAGCTGGGGGTGACGGCGGTCCAGCCCTGTGGCCTTGCTTAACACCACTGCCTGCTTGGAAGAAGTTAACAAGATGTTGTTGGGTAGACATGAGTTTGGCCACCCAGTGTTCCCCAGGGGCTCGTGGGGCACATGTGTGGAACCCAGTCTCAAGTTAGTGGTACTAGGAGAATGGGGGGACTTTACCTGGCCACATGGTTTGCAGGTGGGGTCACCACGGTGGGGCTCCCCCACAAGGAAAGTGAGGTGAGCTTCTAAGAGGTCACAGCGCTGCAGACGACACGTGACAGCCCCTCCTCCGGTGCTCTGAGACACCTCCGGGCTGTGCCTAGAACACCATCAGCCGTCAGCATGTGCAGAACCATGACACGCCTCACACACTAAAGCACCTGCCCGTAGCACTTCCTGAACCACGTTGGTGTCCCTGCTCGCGGACCAGCCGTCAGACTCTCTTAGGACCCCCCAAACCATCCTGCTTGGCAGGCTGACTCAGCCGGGCGGGAAGTTAATGCAGATTTCGCTCTGACCATGGTGGTCCCCATTCCCCCCACCCCAAGGTTACAGAGCGTCCATCCCTGCCCTCGCTGCCACCTGCAGCCCCAGGTTCCCACCAAGGCCTCCTTTCCACCTGTCTCCTGCCATGCACGGGGTGTCCTGGGGTTTATCTGAGCCACTTCACATGTCCAAAGGGGGTCTTGCCTGTCTAAGCAGTCCTCCCCTGTCTGCTGGGACATCCACCAGTCAGTGGGCCAGTTCAGCAGCTTCTGGGAGTCAGGTATCTGGGACGTGGTATGAACTTTTTTTTTTTAAGATTTTTAAAACTTTTTGTTGGAAAGACAGATTTATATATATAGAGAGAGAGAAGGAGAGACAAAGAAAAAGATCTTCCATCTGCTGGCTCACTCCCCAAGTAGCCACAGTGACCGCAGCTGAGCCCATCCAAAGCCAGGAGCCAGGAGCTTCTTCCAGGTCTCCTATGTGGGTGCAGGCTCCCAAGGCTTTGGGCCGTCCTCAACTGCTTTCCCAGGCCACAAGCAGGGCGCTGGATGGGAAGTGGAGCTGCCAGGATTAGAACTGGCTCCCACATGGGATCCCAGCGTGTGCAAGGCAAGGACTTTAGTCACTAGGCTATGGCATCGGGCCTGGAAGGAGCATTTTTAAAAATTCTCCTGGGGGAAATCATGGAGGAGCGAGACTGTGGAGTGGTGAGGTAAGTGGACATTGGCTTGGTGAGGAAGCTGTTTTTTAAGGTGGTTGTGATGGGTTGAATGGTGACCCCCGCTCCTCCGTCTCCAACAAGACCTGCCTGGGACTCGGGCAGAAGGACTTTCTTTGGGAATCTCCCAATTTAAGGCGTTGCCTATCCGCGGACAAGGCATCCTCCAGCGAGGCAGAGGGTCAGGGTGTAATGGAAAGCAGACCAAGTGGCACCGGGCAAGGGCTGCCTGATGTGCATTGCCCTGTCGGCCGGCCTTGTCTCCACTGAAGACTGGCCTGGTTTCAAGGAGCTGAAATCACCGTTATAGCCCAAAGAGATGAGTGCCGGAAGGGATCTGGGCCATCCTAAGGCAAGAGTCAGGATGGTGAGGGGCGGGCTCCAGGCCTGAGGACACAGGGGCTGGCCCAAGCCGGAGCAGAACCAATCAGAATTCTCTGCAGCCTACAAGGAAGGCGGAGGGAGAGAGAGAGGGGACCACCCAGGGGGCGATCACAGCAGGTCCCGCTAATCCCTTGCAGTTGTAAGAAGCTGGCGAATTCCCTCCCCTCTGACCTTGCCCTCCTCCCTTCTTTCCCCAGCTAAGCCTGTACTTCAGCTGCAGCCCCCCACATGACAGATGCTCACTGTCCCAGGCTGCTTTGCAACTCCGGCTTGCCCCAGACCCGGGTTCTTGGCAAGATGTTTGGGAAGGAAAAAAAAAGAGGCGCACAGAAGGGAGGCCCCCGCCCATGCTGCCCAGCGGGAACACGACAGACACGCTGTACTCAGAGACGCCAACTCGGGGCCTGACGTGGCCCCTGCACGAACCCTAGACCCGGGTGGCCCCGAAAACTTCGTGATATTATCTCACGGCTGGTGGTTCTGGGCTTCTGCAATGGAAGCATCCAGAAGGGTGGTCGTTTCGACAGCCCCTGCAGACACCTTCCCCGAGTGTGCCAGTGCAGCCGGAGAGCCGCTGGATGGCCGGAGGCAGCCGTGCCTGAAGCCCCTCTGTGCCCTCACACTTTCGGAGGTCCTTCAGCCCTGTCTGCTCCTTAGGGCAGTGTGCGTACGTGTGTGTCCTCCTGTGCGGATGCACTTGGCCAGCTCAGCTGTTGAAAAGCAGTGCAGAGAGGCCAAGCACGGGGCCTGACCCGGCTGTCCGGTCCCAGAGAGCAGGAGCACAGGGAGGGACCCATGAGTATGTTTATTCTGGCGTTCATAGCAGCAGCAGTTGGGGGGACTGGCCAGACGACGCGTGGGATGGCGGATGGCCACCAGGAGGGGATGATGGACGCAGGTGTGTGTGGGGGGAGGAGACACGGGACTTGTCCACGGACGTTCATGTTGAGGATGGAGGGCAGGACACCGAGTCTTGGACAAACAGCAGACAGACACACAGGGGGAGGGCTTGAGGGGGAAGGGGTCCCCCAGACATGCATGGCCCCTCCTCGCCTCGAGGGGAGGCCCAGGAAGAGAAGGCAGACACACGGAGACCGAATGCCCCCCCCCAAACTCCTCCATGGGCAGGAGAGGCAGGCCCAGGGCTGCCCCGCCGGCAGCTCGGACGTTATGGCTTCGAGGAGATGAGTTCACGGTCTGGGTCAGAAGAGATGGGGTCTCTGGGCCAAGGCCAGACCTGCAAGGCAGGAAAACGGAGAAGGAGTCTGCTGATAGGTGGTAAGACCCCCACCTGCTGTAGCTGTCAGCATCCCAACAGGGACTGAGGGATCCAGCAGGAAGCTGCACCTTCCTCACACCCAGGGGTCCAGCCCCTCCTCCCTCACACCCAGGGGTCCAGCCCCTCCTCCCTCACACCCAGGAGTCCAGCCCCTCCTCCCTCACACCCAGGGGTCCAGCCCAGACCCTCCTCCCTCAAACCCAGGGGTCCAGCCCAGCCCCTCCTCCCTCACACCCAGGGGTCCAGACCCTCCTCCCTCACTCCCAGGGGTCCAGCCCAGCCCCTCCTCCCTCATACACAGGGGTCCAGCCCAGCCCCTCCTCCCTCACACCCAGGGGTGCAGCCCAGCCCCTCCTTCCCTGGGCCTCTCCTTACCCCTCACTCTGAGTTTTCTTTTTCTGATAGTCCTTTGCCGCCCTTGGTGAAACTGCTTAAAGTCTTCTCCTGGAAGGGGACACCCACAGGGGTCAGGCCTGGTGGGGTGTTGATGAATGGGGCAGAAGCACTAATTGTCACCAGCCCTTTCTGCCTGCGCCATCACCTCCACGCCCTTGTCACCGGCTCTGGCATTACAACTCAGCTCCAGAGCCTCACTGAGGAACAGTGTGATGGACCCTCAGAGCCCTCCAGAGGAGGAGCAGGGCCGAGCCTCGGCCAGGGGCCTCTGTGCACCTGCAGCACCACCCAGCATTGGGCGGGGCTCACCAGAAACTTCTGCAGAATTCTGGAATGACTAAGTCCTTAAGGAGAAGGGTGAATGGTGGGAGGCAGAGCGGCCTGCAGGCTTTGCACCCGGGCACGGCCGCCTGGCTTTGGATCCCAGCTGGGGAAGTGCTTGGGCCTGCCAGTGCCAGCCATGCGAGATCTCCACTCGGGAGTGGGAGAGTGGTGGCATGTCACAGTTGAGGGCGATCCCAAGCAGGGATATTTTAGTGCAACATGGAGGAAGCAGCCACATCGATGCCAGAAAGCCTGTGATGGACCAGACGGCAAACGAAGGCCGTGCCACACGGGACACAGAGCCGCCACTGGGAATTCAGCCTTGCTCCCACTTCTGGGTTTAATGGAAGCAAAGTCCTTTGTTCATCTTCCAAGTCCAGTTCTGTCTTTCTCAAAGAGGATGACCATGTGTCACCTTGTCTCTTGACCAGGTCATGATTTATAATTAAAAAAATACAGATCAGAATCCCAAAGTCCCCCATGTCTGTGGCTGCAGTCTGCTCGCGGCTCTCCTGAGCTCCGCACACAGGCCACGCCACACAGAAGCAGGCTGGCCAGGGTGCCAGCTGCTCAGAGTTTCTGACACTTTATTTTGACTTTATTTTTACATCCATTGTAAGGGGGGAAGTGCTGGGCCACAACAACAAGGCCCAACCCGGGCTCCTCCTGCCGCCCCATACCGTGCCCCCCAACTCTCAGCTGCCCACCCTGGCCCCCTCCCTCACATCCAGGGGTCCAGCCCAGCTGCCCACCCTGGCCTCCAGGGAGCCACTCACCTCCACCAGCTGGTGCCAGTGCTCCACAGGCTTGCGTGGGTTGGCCAGCATCTCGGCCCAGTGCTCACGGCCGTGCGGGTCCGCAGCCTCTGGGCCCACGCGGCACACGCCAATCACCTCGTTGTGTCCAATGCTGGTGGCAGGTGGGTAGGGGCCGGGTGAGAGACGGGCCCGACCACCGGCCCCGCCCCTCGATCAACCAGGCCCCGCCCCGCCCCTCCATCGACGAGGTCGCGCCCTCCGTTAACCAGGCCCCGCCCCCATGCCCGGCCAGGGACCGCCCCGGCCCCGCCCCCTCTACCGACCAGGCCCCGCCCCATGTCAGGCCAGGCCCCGCCCCTCGATCGGCCAGGCCCCGCCCCAGGCCCTGCCAGGTCCCTCACCAGTCGTAGTCCACCACTGCAATGCTGAGCCCCACGCTCTCCACGCTCTCAGGAGCCACGTCGAACACCAGCGCCTCGTTGTACGTGGGGTTCAGCGTGTTCTTCTTGATGGAAGTTTTTCGCTTCTTCAGACGCCGCCCCTCGCTGATCAGAGAGGCCTTCACATAGGGGTCTGAGGGCAGAAAGTGACAGGCCTCAACAGCAAATCCTCCCTCAGACCCAGGGGTGCAGCCCAGCCCCTCCTCCCTCACACCCAGGGGTCCAGCCCAGCCCCTCCTCCCTCACACCCAGGGGTCCAGCCCAGACCCTCCTCCCTCACACCCAGGGATCCAGCCCCTCCTCCCTCACACCCAGGGGTCCAGCCCAGCCCCTCCTCCCTCAGACCCAGGGGTCCAGCCCAGCCCCTCCTCCCTCACACCCAGGGGACCAGACCCTTCCTCCCTCACACCCAGAGGTGCAGCCCCTCCTCCCTCACCCCAGGGGTCTAGCCCAGCCCCTCCTCCCTCAGACCAGGGGACCAGCCCAGCCCTCCTCCCTCACACCCAGGGGTGCAGCCCGCCCCTGCTGCCTGGCCCCACCTTTGGCCACACACCTGAGAAGCCGGTGAGGTCCATCGCTTTGAGGTTAGAGGCTTTGATGATGGTCACGGTGAGGCGCCCGGCCGTGGGGAGGTAGCAGAGTGAGAAGTTGAGCTCCCCCAGATCTGCCTTTTCCTGCAGGGACAGGGGTCAGTCACTCCTCGCCTCAGCCTCCCCCACTGGCCTGCTCCGACGTGCAGGCTCCTGGGCCTCTCTGATCCACTTAACCTGACTCTGGGCGAAGGCCTGGTGGCTGCGGGCACAGCTGCCTGCCCGTCAAAGCCTGTTTGTGCTGTGGGGAGATGAGAAGAGGCGAGAGGGAGTGGGGGAGGGAAAGGCCATGAAGAGAGAGACAGCAGCCTGGAGGACGGGGGGCGGGGGTAGCGTGCAGAGCCACAGGGAGCACTGAACTGAGAGTGACAGAGACAGGGCAGGGGGTGAGACCCCAAGGGAGGGGACAGAGACCCAGAGAGAGAGAGACCAAGGGGGGGGGCGGGCAGAAACCCAGAAAGCGGGAGACAGAGACCCAAAGAGGGAGACTAGCCCCTGGGTGAGCGGGGAGTCAGAGAATGGATGTCGGGCTGGGCTGGGGGCAGGGCAGGGCAGGGAGCAGCACAGGGACTAAAATGAGTGGGTGAGCCTAGAGAGAAAAAGCAGCCTGAGACTCCCCATTCGAGATGGGAGAGTGAGAGAGAGTAATCCAGACAAGGCAGTAGCCCCTCAGGGAGCCAGCTTTGGAGAGACACAGGAAGCTCACCAGGGCCTGGGGAGACCCAGAGGGTGGCACAGGCAGGCCACCCTGCACCCTGGCCACCCTGCACCCTGGCCATCCTGCACCCTGCCTTGCACCCTGGCCACCCTGCACCCTGGCCACCCTGCACCCTGGATCTTGAGTGCCCTGCACCCTGGCCGCCCTGCACCCTGGCCACCCTGCACCCTGGCCACCCTGCACCCTGGCCACCCTGCACCCTGGCCATCCTGCACCCCGCCTTGCACCTCACCCTGCACCCTGGCTGCCCTGTGCCCTTCCACCTGTCCCCTTTGCTGTGGTTCTTCCTGGGCCTTCAAGCACCCTCTCCCTAGCCCCTGCCCTCCGCCAACGTTCCCAGATTCCTTCCATGTGTACCCTGCCACCTGCAGCTCCTGAGGGCTACCTGGGATCCCCATGTCCCAATCCTGAAAGGAACAGGGTTCGAAGGAGTGAATGGCCCCTGAGGCCAGGGTTTCGGGTGTGGGGGGTAGCCCCTGGGGCACAGCCCGTGCTGGAAGACCCGAGAGGCTGAGCTGGCCTATCTTCCAATTCCATGGTGCTGCCAACAGAGGGCAGCAGGCGATGGTGCAAGTACTTGGGCCTGGCAGCCCACGTGGGAGATCTAAGTTGAATTTCTGGCTCTCTGGCCGTGGCCGGGGGTTTGGGAGTGGCCAGTGGGTGAAAGGAGATCTTGTCAATCTGCTTTGCAAATGACCAAACAAGAGTCAAGTGAAGGCTCTGGAGAAGAGGGCTGGAAGGTGGAGGAGTCTGACCATGAAAACCCCAGCACCAGAGAGGGGCTGGACACTGCAAAGGCAGGAGACTGGATGTAATGTGTCTACATCCAGGGGTCAGGAGGTGGGAGGGGTCAGAGAGCAGAGGTCATGGCGCGAGCAGAAGCTGGAAGCCCTGACCCTCTGTGACTCCAGGTGGAGACAAGAAGTTAGGATGCTAAGAAGTTGTGCACCAAGCAGAGGGATCTAGGGAGAGGCCGTGGCCACTGACCGAGCTGCCCTCCATGATGTCCCTCCAGAGCGGGCGGTCCGGGGGCTGCTCGGCCAGCTCCAGGAGGTTGTCCAGCACCACCTGGCCAATGAGGTCATGCCGTGAGAAACGGTCGAAGTCGTAGACGCTGAAGTGCAGTTTGCGCTGGGCCAGCTCCGCCAGGGGCACCGAAAATTGGAATGTCTCATTGAAGACGGGGTTCAGGGTTTTCCTGTGCACCTGGCAGGACGGGCGAGAGTGACAGAAAAAGAACCATGGCCCCAGAGCCTCCCTCACACCCAGGGGACCAGCCTCTCCTCCCTCACACCCAGGGGTCCAGCCCAGCCTCTCCTCCCTCACACCCAGGGGTCCAGCCCCTCCTCCCTCACACCCAGGGGTCCAGCCCCTCCTCCCTCACACACAGGGGTCCAGCCCAGCCCCTCCTCCCTCACACCAAGGATCTAGCTTCTCCTTGGTGGGGCCCAGATGTGCAAGCCCCCTGCCCGACCTTGGTCTGAAACTTTTTCTTGCGGTCTGGCAGCAGGTAGATCTTGACATAGGGATCGGAGAAGCCATTAGAGTCCTTGGCGGGGAGGTCCAGGGCCTGCAGGATCCGCACCACAAGCTGGTCGGAGCCGTAGAGGTACCTCAGGGCGAAGCTGATGCGGCCACAGGGCGTCCCTGCGTCCCCTGAGCTGCCGCCCCGCCGGCCCCCAGGGCCAGTCCCCTGGTACAGCTCCGGCTTGATCTGGCCGATGAGTTTGGCTTTTTCCTCACCGCCCGGCAGGGGTAAGGGGAGAGCAGGCGGCCGCTCCTCACTGCTGGGGTCCGGTTGGGTGGTCAGGGTCTGCTGGGTGAGGGGCCGGGGCAGGGCTGGGTACCTTTGAGAGAGCAGGCTGGAGTGAGCGGCTCCCTGTGTGTCCCCCCCCCCCCCATGCCGTTCCCGGCCTGTGTTCACCTCTGACCTTGAGTAAGCCCCTCAAGCCCTCCGGGTCTGTCTCCTCCCCTGACACCCCATTTCCACAGCTACACAGTCACCACACAGGGCATCATGTGGCCACACTCCCTCCTGCTCCAGCCACAGCTCCTGCCTGGGCACCTGTCTCGCCCTCCAGACACTGGTCTTGTCCCCTCCCCTGATCCCAGCATGCTCAGGGAGGACCCCAGCCCTTGGCCACATGTCCAGGTGCCCTTTGCTGTGACCTGTTCTCAGGCCACAGTGACCCTGCACTGCACAGCCTGTCCCCTGCACCTGAGAGGCCAGGCCATGCGCTCCCTGACTGGCTAACTGCCCCACCTCTTCCTCCTCCTCTCACCGGGCTCCGGGCTCTCTCAGCCTCAAGCCCCTGAGCTGCTCAGCAACCTTGTGAGCCAGCCAACGTGAGGCCACCACCCCTGGGCAGTTCTGTGTCCTGGCACCCAGCTCGAGCCTGGATCACAAGAGGGGGTCTTCAAATACTTCGTGGAAAATGCATATATTCCTTTTTTTTTTTTTAATTAGGTATGCATGGTCTCAAACTTTTTTTCAAAATGAGCTTGTGTTTTCATTCCGTGTTTCCACGAACTTTCTGAAGAACCTATGCAGTGGGTACTCACTGAAGCTGTGCAAAGCCAGGGGCTGTGGACAGTGAACTCCAGGCTGCACTGCTGGGCCTGGCCTGGACAGTCGCCTTGTGTCTCAGGGACCTGGCGCTGAGCCCCAGCCCCCTCCACTTGCTTCACCCCAGCTTCCCCAGCCCTGCCTGCTGCTTCCCTGCCATACTCCAGCACCCAGACCCTCAGTCCCTGCTCAGCAGCCTCAGACCTGCCGAGCCTCTCACCCCCGGCTCCCACCCCAGAGCCAGGGGAGCGAGGGTCCCAGCCCTGTCCCAGCCCTGTCCCGGCCCGCGGCATTCTCTCACCTGGTAGTAGGGGCCAGGCTCGTGACTTGCTGATGCGACTGGGCACTGGGCAAGCTCCCCCCGCTGGGGGGCAGCAGGAGCACCCCAGAGCCTGCCCCACCCTCAGAGGGCAGCTCAGGGGACGTCTGGCTCGGTTTGACCCCAGCGGCCACCACGGCCGCGGCAGCCTCTGGGTAAGAGTCCATATCCAAATAGGAGGGCTCGGGGGGCTCCGAGCCCCCCAGGCCACCTGGCTCCAGCAGCTCGGCAAAGGGTGGGTGGTGGGCAGCGTGGGCATGCTGGTGTGGACCCCCCAACAGTGGGTGGCCACCCAGGCCAGCCCCGAGGTGGTGGCCTCCACCACCCACCAGGCCCGCCAGCCCAGGGCCGAGGTCTTTGCGCAGGGGGCCGCCGCCCACTGCCGAGCCTCCCTTGTCGCGCCAGGGCACCCAGCACAGCTTCCAGGACACGAAGAGGGAGACGCCCAGGAGGACGATGCCGCAGAACGTCACGATGACAGACAGCAGGCTCACGGAGATGTCTGGGGAGGGAGGACAGGGGTGAGGTCAGATGGCAAGGGGGCGGAGTCAGATGGCAAGAGGCGGGGCCATAAGGCAAGGGGTGGAGTCAAAGGCACCGCCCCTTGAGGGGGCAGTGTGGAAGACCCCCACCTTCCCCATGCACTGTCCTAAGCCCCATAAGCCCAGGAGGTGGGGGGGGGGGCCCACATCACGGTCTCAGACAGGCTGAGAGATTTATGCAAGTTTTCAAGGGCCATAAGTGACAGTCCTGGGGTTGGAATCCAGCTGTCCCCTCACTGCCCAGCGCTGGCTCACAGTGACTCTGGAAGGGGCACACACCTGAAGTAGGACCCAGGCCCTCTCCTCACTCCCCAAAATGCTGAGAGATGATACAGGAAGAGTGGCTGCTGTCCGGCACCCCGCAGCAGGTCATGGTTCAAACCACAGCTGGCCGAGTGACCTTAGGGATGCACTGTGACCCTTCTGAGCCTGTTCCCCCTTTTGCCAAGTAGGAAAAGCCAGTCCTGCCCCTTCCAGGGGTCTAGGAAGCCAGCAGAGGGTGGAAATGTGACAGCAAGCATGACCGTTCGGCGCATTCAGTAACCAGTACCAGGAGGGGGCTTTCCAGAAGTGGCCTTCAAGTTAACGTCACTTTGTATTGCAAACAGAAGGCAAGCCTTGGGCTGGCGACACAGTGGGTCCAGCGTGAGGAGCAGGTAGCTGCCGCCCGCAGGGACAGTGGAATGACTGAGGTCAAAGGGCTGCATGGTGGGAAGGGAAAAGGGGTCCTTCCAGCCTGGCGCCACTCGTGAAGTGCACGAAGCTAATCCTCATGAAAATTTGGACCCTAGGGACCCCTTACCCGTTTTTACCGAGGACACAGACCCCGAAAGACCTCAGCCACGCATGGGCAGCAGAACCTGGCGTTTCCTCCAGCCCTGAGCGCTGTGAATCTTTCTAGCAAATTGTGGAACTTCAGGGTGGGTTGGGGGACCCTCAGGTGCTCCAGCTCCAGGGATCTTACCAGGATCCAACCCCCAGGCTGCGGACCAGTGACCTGTAGCGTGCAAGAGCTTCTGCATGAATGGTATGTGTCACCCTGCCCCCTACATGCCAGATAGGAGCACCCTGCTCTGGTGGTCAGTGTGTATGCACCACTGCCCCTATTGTGCAGGTGGCACCTTGGGTGAGCCAGGTCACGCTCCTGAGCCTCAGGGGGTTGTTGAGTGTCGTTAGGGACTCATGCAAAGGGCTCAAATGCTTGGGCCCCTGCACCCATGTGGGAGACCTGGGAGAGGCTGCAGGCTTGAGCCTGGCTCAGCAAGGTGGAGATGAGACTCTCAGAGGAACCGAATGGCCAGGGGCTGAGACAAGATGTCAGGGATGGAGGGAGGCGCTGCTGACCTGCATCAGGGCCCCGGGGGTAGCCTCGGATCCGAAGTTCCTCAAACTCCTGGCACCTGTCATTGGTGTCGGCATCCCGGACCCGGGTACACAGGTCCGAGACCAGAATGAGCGCCCGCCGGCAGAGGTCATCTTCATAATCTCCCGACATGGCGGTCCCAGGATCCTGAGCTGGGGAGGGCGACGTAGGGAGCAGAATGGGGCGGAAGGGAGTGGAGGCCAGACCACAGGGATAGGGGAAGATGGCGAGGCTGGTGGTGGACACACGTTGGGGAGGGGTGGCCAGGAAGAAGGCGGTGGGCAAGAATGGACACGACGACAGAGGCGAGGAGGCTGGGCAGAGAACAGGGCAGGCAGACAAGGGCACCGGAATTAGGGTGACACTGAGTTTAGTGAGGGACAGACATAGTGATGGATCCTCACCACTCCTTTGCTCACTGAGTCATTCAACAAACACTCATCGGGCACCAGCAACATGCCAAAGCCGGCAGGGAGCAGGGTCCTGTGACTCCCTAGCGACTTGATCCCAAGGGAGTCAGAAAGCAAGCAGGTACACCATGACGGACCAGACACTCTGGCTGCCCTGCCCCAAGGGGACACTGAGGAACTGTGGGCAGCGGGGCCAGGGTGGGGAGCGCAGGAACGCAGCTTAGCGTAGGACAAACTCACAGGGGCCGGAGAAGGAGGTCGGAAAAGCGCCCAGAGCCACAGGCGCCCGCGAGTGGGGAGACAGACGGGGCAGGCAGGCAAGGGTCCTGACAGCGCGGACCGATGCGAGTCACACTGGGGGGATCTGAAGACAGAGACACAAACCACAGACAGGGCAAACCGAGGCCGGGACAGGAGGCCGAGGCGGACATGCGAGGGGAAGCCCTGCACTGCCACTGGGGATGGCCAGAAGTAGGGGCCGGCGTGGGGAGGACGGGGGGCTGTGACCGCGCCAGCCGGGGTGTGGGCAGCAGAGGGGGTGAGGTGCGGACATGGAGGACATATAGAAGCCGGGCACAGGGGTAGCCGGGCACAGGGGTAGCCGGGCACAGGGGTAGCCGGGCACAGGGGTCGGTTGGGAAGCAGAGGGTGCCCGGGGGCATCAGTGAGAGAGACCCAGGTGAGAAAAGGGGAATTCGTGACACGTGGGCTGGGGGCAGACACAGCAGCTGGGTTGGCGGGGGACACGGGAGACATTTGGCACAGACGGATCAGGGCTGACAGATGGACAGGTGTCGCCCCGGTGCGGCAGGCCAGGACCCCGAGCCTGGCATGGTTCTACTCACCTGCGCTTATCCCTGCCGGGTCCTTGGAAGCAGCTGAGGCGGCGGCTGGCGGCAGCCCATGGGGGTTTGCAGGGCGGACAAGGGGCTGCAGACCCGTCCCCACGCGCCGGAAGGTGAAAGGGGGTCTGAGCTGAGGGCCGACGCTGGCAGAACGGCTCGGCTCAAGCCTCATCACATCGTGCCCCACGCTGCCAGCGGCCCGACCTCGAGCGACCCCCGGGGGCGTCCAGCAGCCCCACTCCCACCTGCGGTCCCCCACCAGCGCCTGTTAAAGCTTGGAGACTACAACTCCCAGCAGGCCTCGCGGTCTCACTGCTGCGGTTTCATAGACCCGATGCTGCAAGGGCTGGTGGGAATTGAAGTCTTTAATGCCTCTTCGGGCTGCAGAGAGGACGGGTTTCTTTCTTTTTTTTTTTTTAAGTGTGTGTGTGGGGGGGCGGGTAAGATGCCAGGGTCCCAAGACGCTGCAGGAAGAGGGGGACGGTGGGGGACCTCAAGTGGCCGCAATGCTGCGTCCTTAGGGGCCATGGATTGGATAAACGTGCCCCACGCCCTGGGGAAGGGTGGGCGAGGGGCGGAGTACACCCAGGTGTTTCGGGAACCCACCCCCACCTCAGCCGCCACTTCCAGGGCCACGTGCCCCTCCCCCGAGAGCGCCGCAGCGCGCCGGCTCCCCGCTCCCCGCGAGCCACGCGCCTCTGCAGCAGCTAGCTCCGCGCCCGCGCTCCGGGGCCGCCCGCACCCCCTGCACCCGGGGTCGGCCTGGCAGGGGGAGGGGAGGAGCGGACTCACCCCGAGCCGCCGCCGCCGCCGCCGCTGCCACCGCAGCCCCGCGCGCCCGCCGCGGTGCCACCCGGCTCCTCCCCTCGGCTCCTCCCCCTGCACCCCTTCCTCCCTCCCCAGCCTGGAAGGAGGGGAGTCCCCGGGACCCGGTGCGCCACCTCTCCTCCTGGGGCGGGGAGGGAGAGGATCGGGAGGCCCCGCTTGTCCCAGATGTGTGTGTGTGTGGGGGGGTCGATCCAAGCCCCCAGAACTCCAGGTGCGCCGACCTGGGATGCTCTGAGCGCTGGAGCGGCAGGAAGGAGAGGGCCAGGCTGGGCTGCGCAGGCACCTGCAGGAACCTGGATCTGAACCCTGTCTGGGTCACCCTTGTTCTGAGCCCCAGCTTCGGCAACAGCCAAAACGCAGTTGATAAACTTTAATTCCTAAAGGGATATGAAGTTGGAAAAAAAAAAAAATCCGCCTGTATAAACAAAGCCTTGGCCGAGCGCCTCTCCAGAGAAGCGAAGTGGTGGTTCTCGGGATATTAATAGCTCGCACTGCCCCTGACGGCGGCTGAGAAGTGGCCCTGGACGCAGTACTGCCCGTGTAGTTTCTCATTCCATCTCCGCTTGGGCCTTTGGAGATGCGTATGCTTATGCTTCTCCTGTATCTCGGAGGAGTATGTGGAGGTATTGGTTCGAGTGGGTTTGGCAGGGACCCCTCTGCCTTCCTTCCCCCAGCTCTGCTCCCCAAGCACCAGCTCTGAAATCAATATCGTCTATAAGTAAAACACAACTTCTAAAATAATTATTCATGTAGGTATGTCATTATTTGAAAGGCACAATTACAGCAAGGTCTTCCATCCACTGGTTCACTCCTAACCAGAGCCAGAAGCCAGGAACTTCTTCCGGGTCTCTCCTGTGGGTACACAGGTCCAAGGACTTGAACCATCCTCCGTTGCTTTCCCAGGCCATAAACATAGAGTTGTACGGGAAGTGGAGCAGCCAGGACACAAACTGGTGCCCATATGGGAAGCTGGTGCTGCTGGTGGAAGTGTGTTGTGCCACAGTGTCGCCTCCCTTCTTATTATCTATTTATTTATTCCAGGACGACAAGGGCTTGAAGCATAAGATTTCATCCCACTGAGCTGTTTTTGAGGATTAAATACAATTCATAGGACGTGCTGAGGGGGAAAAAATGTTCGGTATTGTCCAAAAATAGTAATTGCATGCATTGCCCCGTTGAATCTTTAACCACATCTGAGGGTGAGGGAATTGAGACCCGGGGAAGCGTGGGGGCTCAGATGCTCTGAGCCTGGAGCCTTTGCTCTGTAGCTCGAGTCCAGGATGCCCTCGCCGGGAGGGCACTGGACAGGGCAGCAGGAGAGGGAGCCCTCCCCTTTGGTCGTGTTCCCATTGAGTTGGTGCTGGCTACTTTCTGAGCACCCACTGTGCACCAGGCATGCTTCTAAACACCAGGGTTCCACTGGGAACAACACAGACAAGACTTCCAGCACAGTGCAGTATGGGAGGCAGATGAGCAATGAACCGACTGGGATGAAGGAAAGTCCAGAATGCTGGGGGGTCTGAGAAAGTGCTGGCCGACAGTGTCTGCTTGGGCTCAGAAGACTGAGTGGCCATGAATGGCAAGCGAGGGGAAGGCTCCGAGAAGAAGGAGTAGCTAGTGGGGGTCCCAGGGCAGGAGGATCCTGAGGACTGCTGGGCACACAAGCTCCACGAACGTGTCCCTGTGTTGTGTCCTTGCTGCCTAATACAGTGCTTTGGATGTGACAGGTATTAATAAGTGGGCAGATGGGGGATGGATGGGTAGATGGATGGGTGGGGTGATGCAAGGATGGATGATGGATAGATGGACAGATGAACAGAAGGGTGTGAATAGGTGGGTGGATGTATGGATAAGTGGATGTGTGAATGGATGGGGGAGTGGATGGCTGGGTGGGTGTATGGATAGGATGACAGAAGGATGGATGAGTGAGTGGGTGGGTGGATGGATCATGGATAGTGGAAGAACAGATAAAAGAATGGATGAATGAGAGTGAATTAATGAGTTTGGAGCAACACCCATGGCTTCACACTTAAACACACCTGCAAGTCAAGGCAGACACACCCAGAAACATGTACACTTGCCTGTTAACATAGATGTGTGCCCCTTCTGATGCTCACCCTGGCAAGAGCTGGGCTGAGCTGGGAGGCGGAAGGCAAACCCCTCAACCAGGGCTGTGAGCACATACACACATACCCCCCCACCCCATCACCACTGCAGCAGAACTGGAGGGAAAATGCTGACTCAGGGATGTGTGTCCCAAGCTGGGCACCAGGCCAGGGAGTGAGACTGAGACGGCCAGAGAGAAGGAGTGAACGGCCAAGGAAGACAGGGGTACAGTGCAGCAGAGAGACAGGCGAGACCAGGGGGAGAGAGACAGAGACACAGAGTACAGAGAGATGGGGATATAGAGGGATGGAGGCAGAGGCCAAGGGAGAGATGGACAGAAGCTCACAGAACAGCATGGAGCTGCAAGGAGCGGCAGGCACACACAGGCAGTGACAAGGCAGGCGCCTGGCTCACCAGTCATAACACGGTGCTTGACCTCAGGGTGACCCATCCACTGCCGCTTCCTGACCGCAGATCCTGCCACCGCCGATCCTGGGAAGCAGTAGGGTTGGCCCAAGTGGGTGGAGTCTTGGCTGTGTTCCTGGCTCCTGGCTTTGCTTGACCCAGTCCTAATCAGGCTATTGGGAAGCGGGTGGAGGGCTGGGATGGAATACACCAGTGGACGCAGGCTCTCTGTGTTATTTCTGCCTCTCTGATGAATTAATAATTGAATAAAAAAAAAAGTACAGAGATACGTGACACAGTAGCTCAGATTCAGATGCATGGAAAGGTGAGGCTGGACCTTGGGAAGGAGGCAGAAGCGTGAATAAGACAGCAGTGGATGCACACAGAGGAAGAGACGCAGGCCACAAACGAGCTATGGAGGAACCCTTTCTTGCCAACCCGGGGAGCGTTTCCCGCTGACACTCCCACTGCCCCAGGCTGGTGTTGCGGGGTTGTAGAACCTGACTTCTTGTTTATTTGAAAGACAGAACTATAGAGACAGAAAGACAGAGAAGGGGGGAGGTCTTCCATCTACTGATTCAATTCTGAAATGGCCACAACGGAGGCCAGGAGCTTAGAACTCATTTCAAATCTCCTAGGTGAGTGGCAGAGCCCATAGTGCTGGCTGGGTCAGCTTGCACTGCTCTTTTAAGCTGCATAAGGAGCTGGATGGGAAGTGGAGCAGCAGGAACTTGAGCAGGCCCCTCTATGGGATCCCAGGGCTTGCAAGGGGAGGATTTAGCCCATTGAGCCATAATGCTAAGCCCTCTTTTTATCTTTTTATTTGCTCAAGAGGCAGAGAAAGAGCATTCCCACCCACCGGTTTGCTCTACAATGCCCACAATAGCTGGGGTTGAAGTCAGGACTTGGAAATTAGACTCAGATGTAGCAGCACTCTCTCTCTCTTCTTGCAGACATGGAATGGAAGGCAAAAACATTTCCCTCTCTCCCAGTCCACTCCACCCTGGTCATGCCCATATGCCTCCTTCCTCGTCTTTTAAATAAACTACGAAATAAGGCACAGCTGTGAGGGCTGGCAGTGGGGTGCAGTGGGCTACGTGGCCTCTAGGGAACCACAGAGCAAAGCATGAGTGCCGCGGGCTTACCATCCAGCTTCGAGTGGCACACCCAGGAGCAGCAACAGATGGTCCAAACACTGGGGCACCCGCCACGCACAAGGGAGACCCAGATGAAGTTCCTGGCTTTAGCTTGGCCCAGCCCTGGCCATTGTGGCCACCTTGGGAAGTTGGGAAGTGACTCAACAGATGGAAGATATTGTGTGTGTGTGTGTGTGAGTGTGTGTGGGTGAGATTCTACCTTTCAAATCAATCTTTAACAACACACAAGGTGGCACAGGCCCTGGGTGGGATGGGTGGCAAAGAGTAGATAGGCCAATCTTGGATGCTTGTTCAGGACCTAGGCCACTGTCCAAGGTGCTGAAGGGTCTACCTTGACCCAGGAGGCTGGTGGGCAGGCAGGCGGGAGAGGTGAGACCTCCATGGCTGCTAGGGACTCTGGGAGAAGAACAGAGAGGAAGAAGTGCAAAGAGGGGAGAGGTGGCGAGACAGATGGGCGGCCTATGACCGTGGCAACCACAGAGAAAGAGTCGACACTAGAAACAGATAGGGGCTGCTTGGAGAAAGAGGGGGAGGAGAGAGTCCCAAGAGGGAAGCAGGACCCAGAAAAACTGAGTGGGACTTTTCTAGGATCTAGGTGCTGCAGCTCCATGTTCACCGCCTTTTTAAAAATTTACTTTTATTTCAAAGTCAGATACAGAGAGGAGGAGAGACAGAGAGGAAGATCTTCTGTCTGATGGTTCACTCCCCAGGTGGCTGCAACAACCACCGGTGCTGAGCCGATCCGAAGCCAGGAGCCAGGAACTTCTTCCAGGTCTCCCACGCGGGTGCAGGTTCCCAAGGCTTTGGGCCGTCCTCGACTGCTTTCCCAGGCCACAGGCAGGGAGCTGGTGGGAAGTGGAGCAGCCGGGATTAGAACCGGTGCCCATATGTTCAAGGTGAGGACTTCAGCCGCTAGGCCACTGCACTGGGCCCTGCAGCTCTGTGTTCTTCAAGAAGTGTGTGTAAACTTCCACTGCCTGGATGGTGACCTGGCGGCCTCCAGCAGCTTCAGCCTGGGCTACGGACACGTCAGGTCCTGAACCTGCCCACCCTGGGGACAGGGTGCTGAAGCTTAGTAGGGCAGAAACGGCAGAGAAAAGAGAGAGGCGTGGGGCTGACAGTGGCCCAGAAAGACGGGAAGACAGATGGACGGGCTTGGGGCACATCCAGCCCCCTCACTCACGGCTCTGGCTGGGAGCCCACGGTGGGCTCCCCTGCTTTGGAACCCCAGCCCCTCCCCCACCCCAGCCGTATCCCAGCAACCGGGTGCCTGCTCACCCAGAGCCCAGTTTCTGTTTAAATCTAGCCTGGGTCTACTCCCAGTGCCTGCGTGAGACAGGGCTGAGTGGAGGGCAAGTGGGACTAGGCAGGGGATGGCAGAGGGCAGGGGAGGTGGCTAGGAGAGGAGGGATGGAAGAGGGGGCTGTGGAGAGGGAGAGAGGCCTGGCTGGTTACGGCGAGGCACAAGGCCATGAGAGGGAACGGGGCACGGGGCTGGGGTGGTACTGGGGGAACTGATGGAGAGGGAGATGAGTGAGATGGAGCTAGCAAGCAGAGAAGCAGGGAGGAAGAAGGCAGAGAAATCAGACAGAAGAGGGGAGAGATGGGAAGAGAGAGACACAGAGAGATGGGCAGAGCAGTGGGGCGAGAGGGAGGCAGCGAGAGGGGAGGAGCAGTGGGGAGAGAGGGCTGGGGACAGGGGCTCCAGGAGGCAGGTGGCGTCACCAGGCAGCAGGGAAATCAGGCAATGGGAGGGCAGCAGCTGGGGTGGGCTGGGGTTCCCTGAGGTCAGGGGCACCCGCATGGCCACGTGGCCACAGCCTTCCAGCCCGGAATTTCCTGCCCCTGGCTTCAAAGAAAAGGAGGCCACAGCAGGGAGACGGAGCAGGGGCGGGGGCCTCAGCCACAGCCTCTCCGGCCACCCTCCTGAGACCTACCCCACCCGCCTCTCCAGGATGCAGCAAGAGGTGGGGACACTGGACTCCTCCACCCAGGGCGCCGGCTTGCACAGGGAGGCAGGTACTGAGCCTGGGTGAGTGGGTGGGGGACGCGTTCATCCAGCCATCCTGGCCCTCAGCGTGGCCTTGAGTCAGTCCCTCCCACGCCAAGTACCAGCCACTTCATGCCCCGTTGACAAGGTTCCTGTCTGAACAGAGACATCCGGAGGTGACCCTTCATTGGGCTTCAAACTATGTTTCCCATGAATCTCTGCAGAGATTTGGCCAGTATGCTTAAGTCAGAACTACATTTCCCATGAGCACCTTCATTTTTCCCCGGCCAATCAATACGCTGAGGCCAGAACTACATTTCCCATGAGGCTCGAGAATCTTAACTCCGTGGCGGCCAGATGGCTTCACTGACCTCCTACAAGCTGCTCGCTACCTCCCGCGTTTATCTGAATCCAACGGCTCATTGCCAACCAATCTCTCCTACCTTCCGTTAGCCCCCATCTTCCTGCCCTCTGCCTGGCTCCTTGGAGCCCCAGCAGGGTCCCACAGTCTCCTCACTTCCTGGTCTCCCATTTCAACCCCTTAATGGATTTGCATGATGATTTTAGTCAGAGATCCTCAACTCGGGCTGCACAACAAATAGAAAAAGGTGAATGGTTATTATTATTATTATTCTATTTTAGCAAAAAAAAGTATAAAACAACTTAAGCCTCAACCTACCTTAGATCCTACTTAATACGAATCCCAGCTAGAGGCCCCAGTTAGATTCCTCCCTCTCTTCCTCTCTTCTCTTCTGTATTTTTTATTTGAGGGGCAGCGTGTCAGAGCCTGAGGAGACAGGGAGGTCTTCCACCTGCATCTGATTGGCTCTCGGATGACTACAGTGGCCAGGGCTGGGCCAGGCTGGAGCCTGGAGCTCCATCTGGATCTCCCGTGTGGGTGACAGGGCCCAAGCACTGGAACCATCACTGGTGCCTCCCAGGACATGCCTCAGCAGGGAGCTGCAGCCAAGAGCTGCGGTCAGGAGCTGTATTGTAGGGTTGGGGTGTCAGCCAGCTCCTTAACTGCCAGGCCACGTGCACATCCACATGGGTGATTTTGTATCGCTTTGGAGGCTCTTGTCTAAAGTGGTTCCTGGTCCCAACTGGGAATGAGGCAGTTCCATGACTCTACCCTCTTCACAGACTGGAGGAAGGCCTCCCATTGGGGCTGCCAGAGTCCCAACAATTTGGACCACCCTCTGCTGCTTTCCCAGGCCATAAGCAAGCAATTGGATGGGAAGTGGAACAGGTGGGACATGAACCAGCAGCCATATAAGATGTTGGTGCTTGCAGGATTAGCCAGTTGAGCCATCACACCGGCCCCTCAGGTCCCTCTCCGTGATTGTAAAAACATCTCTCCACATTGTCTGCAACCCAGACTGAGGGGATTGCCCTCTCACATAGGCCCCAAGAAACTCAGCTTCCACATAGCTCCAGAAAGGTGGCATGGGGCTGGGCGGACCCATCGGCTGGTCTCGATGTACATCTGTGTAGCCGTTCTTTGTGTGGGCTGCAGGTCAGCCTGGGGGTCCCACACATCCATGTACACAGCCTGCTGTGGGTGAAATGATCCAGCCTGCTGTCCTGGGGGGGGGCGGGGCGGGGCGGGAAGCTGACGCTGTCTTACAGATGATCCATGGCCCAGGGATGCAGAAGCTGGGGATGGGGCGTCTGGTCACATGGGCTCTAGCGGGTGAAAAGCACTTTGGACTTGGCTTGCCCTGAGGACAAGGAGAAGCCCTGGGAAGGTTTTGGGGGAATGGGAGGAGGAGCACAGGATCAGATCGATCTCACCAATGGGGTGAAAATTCACCGTATTTATGTGAAAGGGGTGGGTTTCCTGGGAGTTAGCAACTGATGTCTTTTTTTTCCCCTTACATGGTCACGGCTGTAGGTTGGCATGGCAACGCTAAAGTGCCCTGCCATGAGAGGGGGAGTAATTTTCCCTATGTTAGTACACTGTGTGGAGGACATACATGGGTTCCAATCCCCCTGAGGTCAGGGCAGGTCCAGCTAGTTCGAACTGGTTCCTACGTGGGCACCTTGCTCTTCCTGTGCAGTTGCTGGGAGATTCTACTTTCTGTCTCAGATCCAGATGTGGAGTTCGACCCTGACCTTGTCATTGTGAGCTGTGTGACTTTGGGTACCCCCTGGGCCTCTTGTGGGGGACACCCTCAGTTGGACTTGGCCCCAGTTTTTGTGAGAGAATTTAAGGAGGAGGAGGCAGAGAGAGATGAGTGGAAAAGCAGGATTAACTTGAAAGCAAAGTGAAAGTGCACCTGCTCTGAGTGGAGTGCGGGCAAGCTTGGGTCAGAAGAAGCTGCAGTTTGCAAGATTTGGGGTCATGCTTTGGTATGATGGGTGGTGTCTGGGGAGATGCCTCACTGAGTACTCGGAAGAGGCAAGATATTTTCCTGAAATCGTAGAAGTGATGGGGACTGAGTTGCAGGTGCATGATGGGAGCAGGACATGCGTGGCTTGACCGGGACTGAAAAAAATAACAGGAAAAGAGAAGAAGGTTATAAAGAAGGGAAAGCCCTCTGGTGTCCATGCTCTGGGCACAGACCCCAGGGCTGTTATAAAGGAGAGCTGGAACTAACTGCCAGGTGCCAGGGAGCCTGCTTTGCTCCAGCATGCCCCACCGCACACTCTCCAAGCCAGGGGGATGTCAGTGTGCGCTGCTGTGCTGGGATGTGGCCATATGACAGGCACTTCCCCACAGAGCACCTAGGTCACAGGGGCAGGGCAAGTCCCTGCTACGGAGTCTTGGCTCCACGTGGCTCCTTGCCTCTGCTGGCATCTCCCATTGCATGGAGGTGGGAATCGACAGACAGAATGCACAGCAGAGACAGGAACCTGGAGAAGCCGAAGGTCGACAAGGTGCCCCGATTCTGCCTCCTGGCTGGCTCACCAATTCCCTTGTGGGGACAGGAGACCTCTGGCTAGCCTTGGTTCAGGTGTGAAAGGAGAAGGTGGACATAGAGCTGAGGGGAAAGGCAAAGGGAAGGTATTCATGTAGAAGTGTGGGCAGCCTCAGGATCAAATGAGCTCTAATATACAAGACACAAGGTTGTCCTTTTAAAGGCTTGGGTTGGTGCCTGGAGCAGCACTTAACTGAGTTTTCAAGAGAGATGGGGTTTGTGGCAGGACATCAATAACACACTGTGTCCCTTTTAAAAAAATCACAGAATTGTACTGTGATCTGATGCACAATGGGCATGGATACACCTGTGGTTTATGATGGGAAGTGAGGCTCAGGTGCATGATGGGAAGTGAGGCTCTGATGCATGATGGGGAGTGGGGCTCGGTGCATGATGGGAAGTGAGGCTTCGGAACATGATGGGAAGTGAGGCTTCGGTGCATGATGGGGAGTGGGGCTCAGCTGCATAATGGGCATGAGGGTGCCCATGGTGTATGACAGCGGCTGTTCCAAGGCTGCAGCCATGTTGGCGTTTTCTATATTCCAGCAGCTGTTTTTGCACAGAAGGTAATATGCATGGGACATTTATTTACTGCCACTATATGAGACAGAATCTTCCATCTACTGGTTTACTCCCCAAATGCCTCCAAGTATCAGGGCTGCTCCAGGCCAAAGCCAAGAACTGAGACCTCAGTCGAGGACTCCCATGTGGGTGACAGGGACTCACAGACTGGACCCGTCACTTCTGTCTCCCAGGAAGCTGGATTGGAAGTGGGGCTCAGGAAATCAAGCCAGTTCCTCTGACTGTGTGTGTCCCCAAGCAAGTACCTCGGCCACTGCACAGATGCCCACTCCTTGTCATGCTACCTTGGAAGGTCACCACGAGGCTGCAGTGGACAGTCCTTTTAAAGGCTGGTGCCAGAGTTGCTAGGGTATGGACAGATGTGAGAAGGTGACTGGGTTAGAGAGGTGGAGGCTGGTCTGGCTGCAGAAACACAAGTGGGGTCCATGTGGCAACTTCTCATAGACTCTGGGTGTGACATGATGGCTCAGTGGCTAAATCCTCACCTTGCATGAGCCAGCATCTCATATGGATGCTGGTTTGTGTCCCTGCTACTCTGCTTCCCAGCCAGCTCCCTGTTTGTGGCCTGGGAAAGCAGTGGAGGATGGCCCAAAGCCTTGGGACCCTGCATCCATGTGGGAGACCTGGAAGAAACTCCTGGCTCCTGGCTTTGGATCGGCTCAGCTCCGGCCATTGTGGTCACTTGGGGTGTGAACCAGCAGATTGGAGATCTTTCTGTCTCTCTTTCTCTCTGTATATCCACCTTTCCAATAAAAATAAAGAAATCTTTTACAATAGAAAAATAAAATGCAGTAGGTCTGGGCTGAACCAGAGGGTGCTTCATTTTTTTTTTTTTAAAGCTGCGAGGGAGGCTGAGGACTGGACCCAACCTGACCAGATTGACATGATGGGCCAAGCAGGGAGGCTGAGCTGAGCGTCCCGCCCCCGTGCCCCCTCCAGGCAGAGCCAAATAGGAGTCCAGCAGAGCTGGCTGGCAGGCAGGCTCTTCCTGGGGAGGGGCGGGAAGAAGCGTGGCTGAGTGAGTTCTCCATCCCCAGGAGCCCTCCTTGTGGACCCCGAGACCCCAGAAGAGATTCAGACCCGGAGTCTGGGCAGGCCCATCAAATCCTCGTGAGTAGCTCCTGGTCCCATGGCCTCTGCCCTCAACTCCCTGCAAAGATGCCCCACAACAGAGGGCACTGCCCCCACTTGCTCCCTGCTCCAGGAAGCAGTACCTGCGGCAGGTTATTGCTGAGTACGAGGCGCTGGACCGAGAGCTGCCTTGCATCCGCAAGTTTCCAGTGCCGCCTACTGCACAGCCCCTCTGCCTCTGCATGGAGACCTCGGTGAGCGCCCGCTCCCCCACGCCCCGCTCCCCCAAGCCCGCTCCTCCACGCCACGCCCCTTGGCTTCTGCTCAGCTTAGGGCCGGGTGCTGGGGAGGCCAGGGCTCCGCAGCTGATGGATTCAGCAAGCGGGCCATTCAGTGTCCTTCAGAAGGAGGTCTCTGTCAGGGTCCCAGGCACACAGGTGACCCATGGTCAGGCAATCCTAGCCCCCACCAAGTCGCTTCAGGGACCAGCCTCTGCAGTAAGGGACCGTCCACTTCCTTCTCACCCATTCTAAGTAGCACTGCCACCGCGCTGCTCAGCCTGGGGACCTTACAGGGTGAAGGCGCCGCGCCGACCCACCTCTCTGACCCCTGCCCTTCCTCAGGAGGATTTTACTCACCTGGACGTGCTGCAGGCGCTGGAGGCCGAGTTACCGGGGGCCATGGAGAGTGGGCACGTGAGCAGCATCCGCTTCGAGAACATGAACGTCATCTGTGGGACGGCTGGCCGCCGGGACCGGTGAGCCGGGGGCGCTAGGGGTGGGGCGGCCTTGAACACGGCCGAGGGGAGACGGGAGACCAGGCAGGACGCGGAATTAAGTGGGGAGGCGGACTCGGAGTGTCGGGGAAAAGCAAGGTAGAGTGTGCGTGTGTACCGAGCCTGGACAGGCAGCAGCTGCGAGGCGGCAGCTGCGAGGCGGCAGAGTGGACAGAACCCAAGGGAGGCACAAACTTCAAGGGATCGGGTGGGAAGCGCCCAAAGTGCAAGCGAGAGGGGCCTGGCACAGCCGCTGGGTGGGAAACTGGACAGGGCGTGATGCTGTGAACAGGCTGAGCGAGGCCAGAGCCTGCAAGGAGCCAGGCGGAGGCCAGGACTGACCTCTCACGGGCTGACCTCGTGAGAGGCAGGCTGGATGGGCGCAGGTTTGGCCATCAAAGGCTGGACTGTGGCCACCTTAGAGTACCCCCAAGCCCCGCTCCTTTCCTCTCGGCCTCGCTCTCTTGCAGGTGGCTCATCATGGTCGCGGACTTCCAGACGCGGTCGCGCCTGCTGCGCTCCGGGCTCAGCCCCCGCGGGCTCGCGCACCAGCTCGTGCGCCACGATGAGTTACTGCTGGGCGACTACCGCCTGCACCTGCGCCGCGCCTTGGTGCGGCGGCGCATGCTCGAGGCTCTGGGGGCAGAACCGACCGCGGAAGACTGAAGCTTGGGCCGGGACCGGGTGGGATGGGGTGGGGAGAAGAGGCCCCCAGGCTGTGCCTGCGCACCGCTCCATGGGCTCCGGAGAGACCCCCCCTCCCCTGCCCCCCAAAACCCCGAAGGGGAGCGGGCGTGGCCTCCCCAGGAAGGAGGCGGGGCCGGCTCGAGGGGGGTGGATACTGTGAGTTTAATTATAAAGAATGACCTGGTACAAAAGCCATTTCTCTCCGCAAAATCTTGGTGGGGAGTCGTGGGAGGGGGAGGGAGGTGATGGGGGGTAGGGACGAGCCCCCATGTGGTAACCCCGCCTCCCCAGTCATCAGCCCTGCAGATGGACGCCTGGGCCCCACTCCCTTGGATAAACTGAGGTCCGCGGAAGGGAGGACCCAGGCCTCAGGGCTTTTCCAAGCGTGCAGAGCCCCACTTGGACAGAACCAAACGCTTCATCCTCTTCTTCCTCCCTCCCCCCCCTTGGAAGACAATTCTCGGGCTTTTATTTCAGGTTTTTTTTTTTTCTGGATTTGTGAGTGTGTGTGTGTTCTAGGGTTTTGTTTCGTATTTTCATCTTTTGTTATCGTTTCTCTTTTTGCTTTGTCTCTCCACCCCGCGCCGCCCCCCCTCCAGACCCTCCCCCTTCCCTCCTAACCTCTCCTCCCCCCTCCCTGCCCCTTCTCCCCTTCCCTGCCCCGCGGCACCCATCCAGAATGAACAAGCCCTTGATAGACAGGCGCGCGCAGGCCCCCTGCGGACCGGGGGGCTCCGACAAGGGGGAGGGGGCGGGGAGGGGCTCAGCACGACCTCCGCTCCTCCCCTGGCCACCCCTCCCCCCTCCCGCAACCCTCCCACAAGGTTCCCCGCAGATCCCTGACGTGGTGAGGGGAGGGGACTGTCCCCTCCCCTCAAGGACTAAGCGCCCCCCCATCGGGGGTAGGGGGCAGCTGAGGAGGAGTGGGTTGGGGGAAAGGAGGGGAGCTCCCTTCTTTGGCAGCTGAACATGGATGGGGGACCTGAGCCCCCCTTGACCCACAGCAGGAGAGGGGTGGCTTCAAGTTCCCAAGCCCTGGGAATCAGGGGAAGAGGGAAGCGTGCGGGAGAGAGAGCCATGCGGGAGAGAGGGCGTCCCAGAGAGAAGGATTAGTCGGGTGAGGCGGTGGGTCCCCTGGCCCAGGGGCCGGCGGGTGGGGGGCTGCGGCAAGGACAGCGAGGGGGCGCAGGCGTGCCAGAGGGGGAGTGAGTGTAACAGGTGAGAGCAGAAAGGGGGACAGGGAAAGACTGGCTCGGCCCGGCGCAGGGAGGGACCCCAAGGTGTAATGAGTGGGGCACAGGAAAATCGCCCCGGAACTGAGGAGCCAGCGTGCAAGGGGGTGCAGGCGAGGGGTGGCGCGGGAGGAGGGGCGGGCCTTTCAGAAACGGTTCTGGGAGGCAAGTTTGCCCGAGGTGCGGCGAAAGTGCCAGTGCAATGCGATAGGCTCGCTGTGGGAGGCAGGGAGGGGCGGGCGCGGTAAGGAGTGGGGGTTTGCTCCAAGGCGAGAAAGCGGAAGTGAGCGCAGGTCCGCAGAGCGCAGGAGCGAGCAGGTGCGCCAGGGGCGGCGAGGGGTGGGCAGGGAGACGGGGATGGGCAGTGTGTCCCACGTGTGTCTGCAGCATGGGTCCAGAGAGAGCAGGGATGAGGGGAGGGGTATATGGAAAAAGACAGAGGGAGGAGGGCCCGCGGTGGAGAGGGTGGCGGAGGGGCACGGCAGCGAGAGTTGGAGCAGGGGTCCTGAAGCGAGAGAAGGAACTGCAGTGTGCGTGCGGGGTCGAGGACACTAGGGCTCCGCACGCTGTGAGCGAAGCGGCGTGTGCGAGCCAGCCAGAGAGCGAATGTGTGCAAAACTACAGCCGGGGAGGTGGGCAGCGGGAAGGGGCCAAGGCCGAGCGTGCCAGGAGCTGGGCAGCTGTGTGCGTCGGGCAGCAGGGAGCACGCAGGGGCAGGAGGAGGGAGCAGGAAGGGCGGCTGAGGGACGGCAGGTGGTGGAATGTGAGGGCACCCCCTTCTCCTGTGACCTGGGGGGGCGGTCCCCGTCCAGTCAGGCTCAGGGCTGACCCTCTATGGCTCTGTCTGTCCGCTCCCCCCCCAAACCACGACCCCTTCCTCCTCCTCCACTCCCCTCTGCTCCCAGACACACACACAGTCTGGTGTCAGCTGCCCCCTCCTGCAAGGTGCGAGTGTCCGGCCTAGATGAGGCCACCTGGTGACCGCAGGCCTGGGAGACGAGGGCAGGGCAGGGCGCAGTTTCCACAGAGTCCCTGGCCCCGGGAAGAAGTAGTGGGGGAAGGGCGGGGGCGTTGAGAGATCAGGAGCCCAGCAGGCTGCGGGTCCGGTGGCACGGGCTGGTCCGCCCAGGCCAGCCATCACCTCTCCAGGAAGAATTTGAGAGCCCGGTCGATGTTCATGCGGTGGCCCACCCTGGTCACGCCCAGGTCCACGTAGTCGTCCTTGGTCAAGGCGGGCAGGTGAGAGCCGTCAATCTCATGGTCCAGGAACCGGGCTCGGTGCTCAGCTAGGCCGAGCCACTCCAGCCAGTCAGCCACGTCGAACTTGGTCCAGAACCCCAGAGGTTTAGCGCCAAACGGCTTGTCGGGGGGCAGCGACAGCAGGCGGGTCGGTGAGAGGGAGCGAGAGGCCCCTGACAAAGCTCCTCCTAGCCCTCCGGAGATTCCGGGGTGCGGTGGCACGAAGACAGGGGCGAAGGGGTCTGCCGAGCCTCCCGCGCCTCCCGTCGGGGAGCCGCGGATGTCGAAGAGCCCCGGGTAGAGGGGTCCGGAAGGCAGGATGGGCAGCGACGAGGGCCTGGGCGCGGGGCTGACCTTGTGCTCCGAGGCGGGCAGCAGTGAGGGGCTCGGGGCCCGGCGGAGCAGCGGGGCCCGCATCTCAAACTCCACGCCCTGGAGGTGGCGAGTGGACCCCGAGGAAGAGGAGGCCGAGGGGGAGGTGGCCCCCGGAGCCGCTGCGGCAGAAGGGGAGATGGCGGTTCCGGTGGGGAGTGCTGGCAGAGGTGGCTTGGACCAGTTCTGAAAGAGGCCGCTGACTGGCTTGGACAGGAGTGAGGACTGGGAGTCTTCGGAGAGTCTGGAATGTGGTAAGGTTGGAGGGGAGGGGAAGGGCGGGTGGAGATGGCAGCAGGAGGAGAGGGTGGGGTGGGACGGGCCGGCAGGGGTGAGAAACAGGCGGGCGGTGAAGATACAGGGAGAGTGGCAGAGAGGCAGAGGGTACGGGTGGAGAGCATGGAGCCCCCGCAGATGAGGCAGGCGAGTGGACAGGGACAGGGCGACAGTTGAGAGAGATGAGAGAAAAAGAGACATTAAGTGAACAGAACCATCATCGCCACCACTCGCTGCCGCTCACGCGTGCCAGGCGTGCCAGGCATCGTGCTAAAGCGCGTTGCGTTCCCCCACGCCAGCCCTGACCACGTAGGTGACCCTTAGCAGTCAGCACAGAGAGCTGAAGTGACTTGTCTAAGGACACACAGCTAGGACGTGGCAGAGCCTGGGGTCACAGGGCCCCCGGATCCGAGCTCTCGGCCACTATGCTGCACCGCCTTTGGGGTCACGGCCAGTCGTAGCGGTGTGGGAGTCGGGCGGGCGACAGGGAGAGAGGAGCAAAGAGAGGGTGCGCGTCTGGGGGAGGGGGCAGAGAGATGGAGGGGGGGTAAGGGACACAGAGAGAGAGATGAAGAGAGGAAGATGAAAGAGAAGAAACAAGGGGAGAAGACGGTTCCCCTCATCCCTTGACTGCCTGGCCGTGCGTGCCCCCTGCCCCGTGTGCCCCCCTGCCCCGTGTGCCCACCCCGGCTGGCTGGCTCCCTGCACTGCTCCTTAGCCGGCCCTGCCTGCTGCTTCCAGGATGGTTTGCAGTGCTTTCCTCACAGACCCTTTTTGCTCTCCAGCACTGTGGGGGTCTCTCTTGCCCCCCATACACACAGCAGGGGAGAGTCCCAGGAAAGCACCCGCCAGAATACTCCAGGGTGGGTGGCAAGCCACGCCTAGACACCCTTCCCCACGCCAGGCCCCAGGAGCCTGAGTTCCAGCCAGAAGCACAGGCTGCCAGTTTCCAAGAGGGCACGGTCCACCTGCACGCTGCGCTCATGGGAAAAACCTCTTCCCTGCTCATCTCCCACATCCCCAAGCATCCACTACCCCCCTCAAGGTCTACAAAGAGCTGGGACGCCCCACTTTCCCATCTCCAGGGTGCTGAGGTCTCCTAGAGTGGGAGACACCCCGGTTTCCATGAAGATCTCTCTAGATTTTACCCATGTCCCCCACTTCCCAAGGACCCTAAGCAGCCTGTAGGGAACCCACGGGGTCTAACTAAGCCACTTCTGCTCTGGTGCTCCCGTCGCTAACAGCTCTGTGCTCTCAGCCAGTCTGTGGGGCGCCCTAGGGACCTGGCAGGGAATCAGGGAATAAGGGAATCAGAGGCAGTTTGGGGAGCCCTGTGCTTGCACGCATGCACGCCAGCTTGCCCTCCTTTCTCTTCTGCTGCCAGAGGGGTCAGGTGTGGGGAGGGTGCCCCGGCGCCCCCTCACCTCTGCCGCTGCAGCGAGGAGGTCCTCTCGGGGACGTAGCTGGCTCCCGTGTGGTGGCCGTCCCCGCTTCCCCCGCCGCCTCCCCGGGACCAGGGCAGAGCACCGCCGGCTGCTGAGGCGCCCCCGAACTGCTGCAGCTTGGAGCTGAGTTCGCTGATGATGCTGGCTTTGACGGTGGCCAAGGCGGAGGCCTGAGGCTGGGCCAGGGGTCCCGGCAGGGGTGGAGGCGGTGGGCCCGGGCCTTCCTCCCAAGGCAGCAGCTTCCGGGGCAGCGAGGAGGCCGCCGGCAAGGCCACCGGGGGCACTTCGGACTCCACGGCCACTGGACTCCCGACCACGCCCGCCGCCGAGGGTCCCGAGCAGCCGGTCAGGGCCAGCAGCCCCTCGGTTCCAGCCCCTGTCACCGACACGGTCGGGCTGGTGGGGGTGACAGGGTCGCGGAGGCCCCCCGTGGGGCCGGGCCGCAGGCCTCCGCCGGCCCCCAGTGCCCGGCCCCGCAGCTTGGAAGGCGTCATGAGCTGGGGCGGGTATGGCGGACCGGGGGTGCTGCCGCCCCCGAAGGCCTGGCCGTCCAGGTACGCCACGTAGGTGTCCAAGAGCTCGGGCCCACTGGCCACGCCGCTGCCCCCGCCGCCCGTGCTGCCGCCGCCGCCTTCCGCGGACAGGCTGCTGAGGGTGGACGCGCTGCTGATGGTCTCCAGCGGGTGGTCGCTGCTGCTGCGGCTGTCCACTTCTTCAATGCCCGAGTCGGTGCCCGGCGGAGGGTCCGGCCCGGGTTGCGGGGCGGGCGCGGCGGGCGCGGCGGGGACGGGCGGGCCCGGCGGGGGCGGCTCCCCGGGGGCAGCGGGGGCCCCCTGGGTCAGCGTGGCCACCTCGCTGTCGTAGGAGGTCAGGCTCGAGGCGGTGGAGTCCAGGGCGGGTGGGGCGGGGGCGGCCCCGGCCGGGGACGGCGCGGGGGGCAGGGGCGAGGCTGGGGCCGGCGGCTCGGGCAGTGGCAGCGGGGGCCCCGGCGTGAGCGGCGACTCGGGCTTCTCGAAGCTGTTGGAGAACTCCAGGGGCGGGGGCAGCGGCTCCACGAAGAGGAACTCGCCGTCCTCCACGTCCACGGAGGGTGCGGGGGGCGGCAGGACGAGCAGCGGCAGGCCGTTCTCCTCTCCGCCCCGCGGCGACGTGGGCGACGGGGGCACCGACCGGCGGGGGCTGGGAGGCGGCGGGGGCGCCCCGGGCCCGTCCTCGGTGGCCGGCGGTCCCCTGCCGCTCGCCGTCGGGGCGCGCGGCTGACAATTCTCCAGGAAGCGCACGTGGAGGGGCAGCCGCTCCGGCTCTTCGGGGGCCCCGGACCGCCAGGCCTTGCTCACGGCGGGGTGCGGGGTGGGCGGCTCGGGCCCCAGCTGCAGCAGGAGCGGCCCGACCCCGGGCCCGGCGGGCGGCAGGCGGTGCAGCAGCGAGCGGCGCGCGGCGGGCGGGCTGGCCGGGAGCGCCTTCTCCACGCCGCCCAGCCCTGCCCGGTAGCCCAGCTCCCGGCGAGCAGGGTCGGCTGGTGAGGCGCCCCAGAGGCGCAGCACGGGCTCGTGGTGGGCGTGGGGCGAGTGGTGGTGCGGCGTGGGCGGCGGGGCGTCGTAGCGGGGCGACGGGGGTCTGGCGGGGGGCTGCGGGGCGCCGCCGCCCTCCGAGGACTCCTTCAGCGCCCGCTCGCGCGCGGCCAGGGCCAGCCCGAGCGGCGAGGCCGGGTCCAGGGCCTTCCCCGTGAGCGGGTGCACCAGGGGCCGCGGCGGCAGGAAGCTGGTGAAGGCGCTGCTGCCGCCGCCGGCGCTGCCCGCGTAGGCCCGGCCCGCGGCCCCGTAGCCCGTGTAGCCCGCGCCGCCCCCCGCGCTCGCCGACTCCAGCCGGAGGTAGGGCTCGGCCGAGAACATGCCTTCGTCGATGGACTTGGAGTGGCGCAAGCGGGGCCCGGGGGGCGCGCCCGCGCCCATCCCGTCGCCGCCGCCCTCGTCGTCGCCCGCGTCGGTGGAGAGGAAGAGCGTGGAGCGCCGGCGCGCCTCGTTCTGCCAGCCGCCTTCCCTGCGCGCCGCGCCCACCAGGGCCGCGCCGAACTGGCTGGTGAAGTCCAAGGTGGCCGGGCCGCTGGGCGACGCGGGCGTGGGCACGGGCGACGGCGACGGCAGCGCGGGCGACAGGACGGGCGCGGGGCTCGGGGCGGAACCGCCACCTCCTCCTCCTCCGCCCGCCACCTCGGGCTGCGTGGGGGGCTCGGCCTCGGTGCTGCTGCCCTGGCTGCTGCGGCCGCTGCTGCTGGTGGACGGGGCCTTGATGATGATGGTGGGAATGGGGATGGAATTCTTCTCGGACGGCGCGGCCCCGGCCGAGGGCGTCGGCTGCGGGGACGCGGGCGAGGAGGGCGGCGCGCCGGCGCCCGGGAGGCCGCCCTTCTGGGGCTCGCCCTCCACTTTGGTCTGCTTCACCAGCGGGCCCTTGCGGCCGCGGCCCGAGCGCGCCGGCACGTACATGGCCGCGCTGGCGGCCCGCGGGGGCAGCTGGAAGTAGCGCAGGGCCGGCGCCTGAGGGGAGCCGCCGCCACCGCCGCCGCCTACCCCCGCGCCACCGCCGCCGTGATGCGAAGGCGACGGCGCCCCCGGGCTCGGGCTGGGCCCGCCGCCCCGCCAGCCGCGCAGACTGGGCTGCGGCCCTAGGGCCAGGCGGGGCGGGGGGTCGTCGGGGGCGCCGCCCGTCTCCATCTCGGGCGGGTGCGGGGGGTGCGCGTGGTGGTGGTGCGGGGGCGGGGGCGGCGCGTGGTGGTGGTGGTGGTGCGGCGGGTGATGGTGCGCCGGCGGCAGGGGCCCCGCGTGGTACAGGCTCTTGTCTCGGCCCCCGGCGGCACCGCGCACATCCGGAGGGGAGGGTCCGTCGAAGGACGCCGGGGAGGAGGCGGGCAGGGGTGTGTGCCCCGAGCTGGGGTTGAAGGGGCCTCCCCGCGGAGAGGGCGTAAGGCGGCCCGAGGAGGAGGGTGCGGGCGGGGTGCTGTAAGGGGGCTCTGGGGGCGACGTGGTGGGCGGCGGGGGAATGTCCTCGGAACCGGGCACGGACAGGCTGCGGCTGAACTTCATGGCTGGGGGCGCCAGGTAGGGTCTGTCGTCTTCTGCAGCCCCTGTGGGTGGTGGGTTGCGGGGGGAGATGGAGAGGGATGGAGAGGGAAGACGAGGGCAGGGAGGGCGCGTCACCCACCCCCAAACCCCGCGCCCTTCTCGCCTCTGCCGCACACCGCCTGGTTGACAGAGTGCCGGGACGTGCCAGCCAGGGGCTTTTAAGGAACCCAGCACGGCCAGGGCCATCCGCCGACGCAGGACCACGAGAGGGCGCCTTCTTGCCACCGCACCGAGGCGCGGGTTTATCTGTCTCTCTCCCAGGGCAGGTGTGAAATGCGGTTAAGAGCCGCCCTCGGTGCGTTACACCTGCGCCCGTCTAACCGAGGCTCTCGTTTCCAAGAGGGAGCCCGGGACGAGAGGGGGTGACGGCAGGTGGTTCTCCCAGAGGTGGGGTGCGGGCGGCTATGGGGTGCAGGGGCCGCAAAGCTGGGAGCAGTGGGTCCCGCAGCTGCGTCTGAGCCGCCTGGGCTCAGTCTCCAGACCTGGCCCGCTTCTGGGTGCCCTCCACCCGCACCCGCACGCACGCACGCAAGCACACATGCACCTGCTTGCGGGCAACGCACAGAATGCGCTCAGCCCAAGAGTGTCTGGGCTGCATGGGCAAGGCGGGGCAGGTGCTGTGCCCGACTCAGAAGCCCCCTGGGGGCTCCCGCGGGACCCTCGCTTCCCGGACGTTCCCTTCACATGCAGGTGATGCCAAAGTTTTCCGGCAGGAGGGCTCCTATGTTCAAGGACGCAACAAACTCCGTCCAATGTTTCCCACTTGGCCTGAGGCCCCAGGGACATGGGGGCACACACAGCCGGGACAGAGAGCAGCCAGGGCTCAGCTACCCAGCCACCCAGATGCACAGGTCCCACCTGCCAGGCCCGTGGCCTCCCCCTGTCCCCTACTCCCGCCCCGCCCCGCCACCGCTGCCGCTGGGACCTACCAATTGACTTCTGCCTGAGCATAAGTCCAGGTCCGGGAGGGAGGAATGAGGGGCGCTCGTAGCTGGGCTGGGAGCGGTGGTGGGGGTCGAAGCTCGACTTGGGGGCGGAGAGAGGAAACATGACAGAGGGAGAGAGCTCAGCCAGGGCCAGAGAGCCTGGCCTGCACACCCGCTGCCTGGCCACAGCCCCAGCACACCAGAGACCCACGCTCCTTTTCCTGGCTCTGGGCGGCCATGGCCACAGGAGGTGCAAGGCAGGCGGACTGTCCCCATGGGGCCAGGCAGAGGAAAGGCCCTGGTAGGCTCTCACTTCTGCTCTCCCCTGCTCCTTCAAGCCCTGGGTGCCACCCTCCTTCAGGCAAGCCACCTGCCCGCCCCAGTGTGAGCCAGCCCTGCCCTGCTGGAATCCCTCCCTGCTCGTGCCCTGCCACTGTCCACTTCCCCACATCATCTTGTAAGGGCAGGCGTTTTAGTGTATTAAAAACACACACACACACACACACACACACACACACACACACACACACACACAAGAGAAGAACTGGCACTGTGGCGTAGCAAGTTAAGCCCCCTGTGGAGTCAACATCTCATATGGGTGCCAGTTCCAGTCCCGGCTGCTCCGGTTGCAATTCAGTTCCCTGCCAGTGGCCTGGGAAAGCAGTGGAGGATGGTCCCAGGCACCACTCACATGGGACACCCAGCTCTAGCTCTGGCCTGATTGTTGCAAGTGTCTGGGGGGAGTATACCAGCAGATGGGAGGTCTCTCTGTCTGTCTGCATTTTTTAAAACTTTTTTTTTTTTTTTTGTATATTGGAAAGGCAGATTTACAGAGAGAAGGAGAGAGAAAGATCTTCCATCAGGTTCATTCCCCGACAGGCTGCAACAGCCAGAGTTGAGCTGATCAGACGCTTCTTCTGTCTCCCACGCAGGTGCAGGGTCCCCAGGCTTTGGGCCATCCTTGACTGCTTTCCCAGGCAACAGGCAGGGAGCTGGATGGGAAGTGGGGCTGCGGGACATGAACCGGTGCCCCAAAGGGGGATTCTGGTGGTTGAAGGGGGAGGATGAGCCCGGTGAGCAGAGGACATCTGGCACCACAACAGAGGACGAAGGACAGAACAAATCAGTCCTCTGCCCCAGCCATGTGTTGGCAGTTAAGAAATCTGGGCAAACGGAGACTTTACGGTGGATTCTGGAGAGATTCATCATGCTGGGAAAGCTGAGACTGGCAGCAATTCAGGACTGCTGAACTATCAAAACCACTTGAGGAGTGCTCTCGGAGCGTGCCCCACGTCGGGGACCTGAGGGGGACTGGGTGGGGCTTCTCCCTTTATCTCCCCCTTTACCCCAGATACAGAAAAAAATGTGGAAACAATGGTCTTACCCACTTTCCTATAGCCCTTGACTCTTTGTGTCCTAATCAACTATGTAAAGATTATCAAAATAAAAACATAAAAAAAATTAAATGAATATAATCGTGCCTAGGTTGTAGAAACATAATCATAAAATACACATTTTGGGGTTTCTGTTTAAGAAACTGCTTATAAGCACACAGATATGCAAAAGGCCCAGGCCTCTGGCGTGGGCAGCAGATGTGTCCAGCCTTGCTCCTCTGGGAACCAAGTACCACACAGCAGGTGCGTGACTCTCTCATCTCTCCCTCCCCACCGGAGACCCTGGGGATGAGACCCCGCCCCCGTGGGGTCTGGCACAGTCTGCAGCAGCTCCTCTGGCAAGGGACTGTTCTAGATGCTGCAGACACAACAGATCACACACACGCATCCTGGCCCAGGCGGAGGGCACACACTAGTGCAGGCGCTTCAGCGCCTGCCAGCGACACCTGCTTCCCATGTCGGAGTCCTGGCTGCTCCGCTCCCCACCCGGCGCCCTGCTAACGTGCCTGGGAAGGCAGCATAGTCCAGTACCTGAGCCCTTGCTGCCCCCATGTAGTAGGCCAAGATGGCGCTCCTGGCTCCTGCTTTGGGCCTGGCCCAGCTCCACCTGCTCATGGCCATTTGGGGAGCAAAGCAGTGGATGGAAGATCTCTGCCCATCCCTCTCCCTCTGTCAATCAGCCTTGAAAATAAGATTTTTTAAAAAGATTTTTTTTTATTTATTGGAAAGGCAGATTTACAGAGGGAAGGGATTGCAGAGAGAGAGAGATCCTCCATCGGCTGGTTTATTCCCCAAGTGACCGCAGTGGCCAGAGCTGAGCCGATCCGAGGCCAGGAGCTTCTTCCAGGTCTCCCACACGGGTGCAGATCCCAGGGAGGAGCTGGAAGGGACGTGGAGCAGCTGGGATACGAACTGGCGCTCATGTGGAATTCTGGTGCATGCAAAGCAAGAACTTTAGCCGCTAGGCCAGTGTGCCGGGCCCAAAAATAAATAAATCTGGGCCCGGCGGCATGGCCTAGCGGCTAAACTCCTTGCCTTGAACATGCCAGTATCTCATATGGGTGCCGGTTCTAATCCCGGCAGCTCCACTTCCCACCCAGCTCCCTGCTTGTGGCCTGGGAAAGCAGTCGAGGATGGCCCAATACTTTGGGAGTGTGCACCTGCGTGGGAGACTCGGAAGAGGTTCCTGGTTCCCAGGTTCGGATCAGCGCAGTACTGTCCGTTGCGGCTCACTTGGGGAGTGAATCATCGGACGGAAGATCTTCCTCTCTGTCTCTCCTCCTCTCTGTATATCTGACTTTGTAATAAAATAAATAAATCTTTAAAAGCAAGCAGCAGGCAGACGGACTGTGGTTGTGCCACGCGGCATCCCACAGGAGCAGGCTGGGTCCTGGCTGTCCCCCTGCTCATCCAGCTCTCTGACATTGCATTGGAGAAAGCAGATGCAGATGTCTGAATGCTTGGGCTCCTCCCACACGGGGACCCAACAGCAGTTGGAGACCTGGGAGAAACTTCAAGCGCTAGTTTTTAGTCTAAAGCAGCCTTAGTCATTGCAAACATCGGGGGGGGGGGTAGCTGCCTTTTAAATAATTTTTTTTATAGAATGGAGTGAGATGGAAGAGATATTAGTTGCATAAACTCCTGAAGGTGGGGGCGAGAGAGCCGTGCAGCAATGCAGGGGGAGAGGATTCCAGGCTGTGAGAGCAGCCGGTGGGGAGTCCCTGAGGTCAGCACGGGGTAGGCGTGACCAAGCAACAAGCAGGAGGACACTGAATCCAAGGCCAGGGACCCAGGGGCTCAGAAACTGGCAGTTGGCAGGGGATGGGGATAGTCTGCAAGGTTCTGCTTTAATTGTTATTATTATCATTAGAAAGGCAAATCTATAGAAAGAAGGAGAGACAGAAAGATCTTCCATTCACTCCCCAAGTGGCCACAACGGCCGGAGCTGAGCTGATCCGAAGCCGGGAACCTCTTCCGGGTCTCCCACACGGGTGCAGGGTCCCAAGGCTTTGGGCCGTCCTCCACTGCTCTCCCAGGCTGCAAGCAGGGAGCTGGTTGGGAAGTGGAGCAGCTGGGACACGAACCAGAGCCATATGGGGCCCTGGCTCTTGAAGAGGAGAGGACTGGCTACTGAGCCGTCACGCCAGGCCCAAGGTTCTGGCTTCTTACAGATCTGGCCCCAGCATTTCCTCCCCAGAGAACACCCTCCCTCTCATCGCCTCCTACTGGCCTGGCGGACGCTGGCTTGGGGCCATCAGTTATTCGCTTGCCTGCTGGCTGCCGACTCAGCACCCGAAGTAGACGGCACAACACCCACTGAGAGCCTTCCCTGCCGCTTCTCAAACCTCCCTTGCAGCTAGGTCTGACCACACGCGGGATGGGACGTGTTGCCGGTCACTGCCCGGAAGTCTCATTCAAAGTGGCATGAGAGGATAGTGAGGGACATCGTCTCTCGCCTTCTCGACGTTCAGCCCTCCTTATCCCTGTGAGCTGGCTTGCAGTGCAAGAGCTGGAGCCCCAGCATCCATCTTGGGCCCTGAGGTCCCTTGGCGGCAGGACACCCCAGAAGTTCAGCAGGGTTGTACCCCAGAAGTTCACCTCCATTGGGGCGTGCTGTGCTGCCGGAGGATCCCCACCCCACAGCACTGCAATACAGTGAAGAACCACAACTCTTGTTCAAGCTGCTCTTGTCTGAACAGTTCCCTCATTTACATCAGAACCCAGTTTGGCTACAACCCACCCACCCCAATGTAAATTCACTCAAAGAAGAGGCCTCGTCTTTTTGATTCACCTGGACCCCCTTCAAGCAGGTGCAGCATCCGGCAGGTAGGACATGGGATTGGTATCGTGGCAGAGTCGATTCAGCCATCACCTGCAACACCGGTATCCCATATAGGCACCGGTTCAAGTCCTGGCTGCTCCACTTGCAGCTTCCTGTTACTGCATGTGGAAAAGCAGCAGAGGAAGGCCCAAGGGCTCGGGCCCCTTGCCACGCACAGGAGATACCCAGAAGAGACTCCTGCTTCCAAGCCCAGCCCAAGCCACCTCAGCCATTGGCAGAGTGAGCCAGAGGATGGAAACTCTCTTCATCTCTCTCTCTGTAACCCTGGCTTTCAAATAAGCAAAGTCTTTTTAAGAAAAAGAGTTGGAAGCTGATCAAGACACTGACCAGATGTGGGACGACCCCTGAGGGCACACAGCCCCAGTCTGCCCGCCGCCCCCCAGCCCTATAGCGCAGCACAGGCCGGTTCCCAGTGCACCTGCTCAGCTCAGCCTCTGCCCTTCTCCTATTTTGCTCTCCTCTCCTCCCCTTCTCCTTAAAGCCCAAGCAAGTCCCCTGCTCTTTCTCTGCTCCTGCCGCAAACCAATCAGAGCACACAGTGTACCTGATGTCACCGGCTGCCAGGCAGATGCTGCCTCGGCTGGAGGGGTGCCTGGAGGCTGACCTGGAGGTGGTGACCCAGTGGCCCCAGGGCCAGGGCCGGAGTCTGGAGTGTGAGGCTGGGTATCCAGCCCTAGACACTCTGTGGACCATGGGTGTCTTAATGCCAATGCCCGCTCCTAGGCACATCTTTCCACTGCATTTTCCACCAACTCTTGGAGACAGATGGAGAGAGACAGAGAGACAAAGAGGGGCTACAGTGCTTGCTGGAGAGGCAGAAGCCTCGGGCAGAGTAAGGCCAGATAGCGGCTGGGGAGCTAAGAGGGCGCCAAGGGGAAGGCGGCTGGGCCAACACCGCCCCCAAAAAGACCTCGGGAGCAGGGAGTGGTGTGGAGCTGGGGCCGGGGGTGGAGTGGAGGGCTTCCTGGCATGAGGCCTTTTCCATGAAGAGCAGGGTAGAGGGTGGAGGAAGGCCTGGGATTTAGGTCACACCTACTGGCCGGCCAACAACAGGATTACAATATCAGCAGACAGTGGGGACGCTGGGGTGCACGCAGGGCTGGCCAGGTACCTCTGTGGGGTCTCTGGCTCCTATCCCAAGGGGCTCAGCATCCTTTATACGCCTACTGAGTTCATCTCACTTTCTCCTCCTCACAACTGGGCCAGGTCAGCCTTAGCCCCATTTCTGTGTCCTGGAAGGGGACAGGAGAAGCTGAGCGTGAGGAAGATGGGCTCACTGCTTCACACTAGGGCTGAGCCGGGCCAAGGCAGGGCTGGGAGGTCCATTCCTGGGTGGCCCTTGAGCCACTGCCCCTTCTGCCTCCAGGTGCATCAAGCAGGGAGCTGGAGCGGAGGAAACCAGGAGACAGGGACATGAAGTGATGTGGCTATCACAGAGTTTCCGGGGCACACCTAACCCTAGGTGGGCAGGGGGAGGGGACTTGCAGCCCCTAGGAGAGTCCAGAGAGGAGAGGTGGGATGAGAAGGAAGAAATGGGACTAGCCCGGGCTCCCCCTGCCCAGGCCTCTGGAGTGAACAAGCGATGACCACAGGGGTGCTTCTGCCCTGGGAATGTGGGGGCTGATCTGCAGACAGCCTGGGACCAGAGAACAGACGCTGCCGGACAGGGAGGTGGTGAACTGCCAAGCACAGGTGTCTCCCACGGCAGGCAGCCATGTACCCGTCCACCCAGGCACAGCTGGCTGTCCATTCGCACAGAGCCTGTCCTGTGGCTCTGGGGACCTGCTGTGTCAGCTCACACCTGGGCAAGCCAGTGTTTGCAAGGAGAATCAAGCTGACCTAGCCCCTGTCTGTCCCTTCGGAACCACCCGCAGGAGCTGGTGTGACGCCAGGGGCTGCTTGAAAAACAAAGGTATGAAGATGCCAGCCCCGTTGCCAAGGCTGGAGGGGAGGCAATGGGAGGGGGATGAAGGAAGATGGAGCTCAGAAGGAGAAACAGAAAAAAAAATGTGCAGTGCAGGGAAGGCAGGGAACTTTCTAGAAGCCAGCATGATGGTCCAGCAAGGTAAGCTACATCCGCTACCCTAGGATCTGTTTCAGTCCTACTGTGCTTCTGATCCAGGTCCCTGCTAATGGCCCAAGTACGTGGACCCGTACCACACACATGGGGAACCACACCAAGTTCCTGGCTCCTGCATTCAGTGTGGCCCGGCCATTTGGTGACTGATGGAGCAGATGGAGGATCTTCCTCCCTGTTTCTCACTACTGTGTCAGATTGTGGAGAGAGAGAGAGAGAGAAAAAAAGAAAGAAAGAAAGAAAGAAAGAAAGAAAGGAAGGAAGGAAGGAAGGAAGGAAGGAAGGAAGGAAGGAAGGAAGGAAGGAAGGAAGGAAGGAAGGAAGAAAGAAAGAAAGAAAGAAAGGGAGGGAGGGAGGGAGGGAAGAGAAGAGAAAGGAAAAGAAAAGAAAAGAAAGAAAAATCGTGCCCAGCATGATGTCTCAATTAGCTAATTATCTGCCTTGCAAGCACCAGGATCCCATATGGCACCGGTTCATGTCTCGGCTGCCCACTTCCCATCCAGCTCCCTGCTCGTGGCCTGGGAAAGCAGTGTAGGACGGCCCAAAGCCTTGGACCCTCAGGAGAACACGGGCATTCAACATGACTCTGAGATTCCCCAGGATTTCAGATTCCCCCAGAAAGTGGTGCCTAGCATGGGATTAGTACCACTGCCACTGCCAAGCCCAGGAGGTGGCTGGGGACCGCTGCCTCTGATAAGGCTAGGAGCTGGGAGTTGTGGGTGAGAAATGGGACTCCTAACGCTGACCCCAAAGTTGTAGACTAAACCTTCCTTGGGGGCATGGGGGTGGACATACTTCAGGGCCTATAGGCTCACTCATGGAAAAAAATCAGTGTCTTAATGATCACTGCCTTTGATGGCACAGTGGGTTAAGCCACCTGCTGTGACACTGGCATCCAATACAGACACTGGTTCAAATCCTGGCTGCTCTACTTCCCATCCAGCTTCCTGCTAAGATGCTTCAGAAAGCAGTGGAAAATGGTCCAAGTGTCAGGGCCCTTGCACCCAAGTGGGAGCCCCGGATGGAGCTTCAGGCTCCTTACTTCGGCCTGGCCCAGGTGTGGCCATTGTGGCCATTTGGGAAGAAAAACAGTGGATCAAAGACAGAGCTAATCTCTCCCGAATTCTGACTTTCTAATAAATAAATCTTTGAAAAGTTTTTTTTTTTCCTACCCTCCAACAACACCAAAAATCTTCTTTCCATTTAGAACACAGGTCCAGCTGTGTCCAGCTCCACTAGACCCAGCAGAAATTGCAAATACTTCCACACCCCGAGCCACCACCAGGGCCTCTGTGCCAGTGTGCATTCCCCACGGAGCCATGCTCTGTCTGAGTTTCAACTCAGAGCAGCCAAACCCTGCTGTCAGCCCGTGCTAGTGCGCCACGGAGAGGCTGTGACCGCACACGGTGGCACCCACGGTCTGCTCACCACAGCGCTGACTGGCTTGGGTCCCATAGTGATCTGCCGTGCCATACCTTAGGCACAGAGAAGCACCATTTTGACACAAGGAAGCCAAAGGACCCGGCTTTAGAGGAAGTGGCCCCTTGGCCACGAGGTAACCGGAGGACAGGCCTGAACAGAGGCACACCACTCAAAGGAGAGGCAGGGCAGGGGATGACAGCAATGGCCCAGTCCAGCATTGCCCAGAGAGGGGACGACGGGGTCCCACAGAAAGGCCAGGAGCTGGGCTTGATGGGACATTCAGGCACTTGACCACCTAGCCACCTACTTCTCTCTGTCCTGGTTTTGTCTCTGTGTCTCAGCCGCAACTTTCCCCTCTGCAAACGGGCTACCAGCCATGCACGACAACCAGACAAAACAATCCACCCAAAACAGCACCCAAGATGTGGCCTGTGCTCCCCCAGACAGCAGCCCCTGGTGTAGACGGGAAGTCGGCAGAGCGGGGACGGACAGCCAGTTTCTTTAAAACCACACTTGCTCTGCTGAGACACACAGGCCTCTGCTCAGGACGCCACCCAGCCTTCCCTGAGAGCCCTGGGGCAGGGCCGAAGGAGGTGGGGACAGGGGAGCTGGCGTGCGGAGGAGCAAGGAAACAAGAGAAGCGAGGCTTGGGGTGAGAAGAGGAGGAGGCAGATGGGCAGAAAGGAGGGCGGCGTAGTGCCTGGCCAGGAGCCGCTGCAGGCTACAGGGGACAGTGACGCGGGCCCAGCCCACCCACCCCCGGACGCCTACCTCGGTGGCAAAGAAGCCTTTGGGCCGGTGTTTCCCCAGGGATGCAAGGCCACCAGGCCCAGGGCTCTCACTGGCACTGATGGTCTGTTGAGCGGCGGCCAGGATTTCATCCAGTTTGTCTTTAAGAGAGGAGAGGGGTGGGAGTGAGGATGGGGGGCGGATTTGGGGCCTCCATCCTGGTGTTCGCCTCTTCCCCTGAGTCTAGCAGGCAGAGTTCTGCATGGCAGGGGTGAGGGCCACGGGGCTGGGAAGGTCAAGAGCCCACAGTAGGCTGGGGGCAGGGGTCAGCTTACTGAGAGCCATCTGATACACGGTCCGCTTCTTCTCCATGCTGGGTACCGGTGGCGGCTGCTGCTCGTATTCTGTGGGCAAAAAACACGGATGAAGCCTGGAGGTACCCTTGGGTGGTGGGGCAGAGTGGGTTCAGCCAGTGGGCATGGCCAGCAGGTGCAGGCCTGTGGGCATTGTGCATTGCCAGTGGGTGTGTGCACAGGTGTGAGTGGGACAGTGAGGGGCCCGGGGTGGGGTTGGGGAGGGGCGAGTCTGCTGGCAGCATTGGGAGCCGGGGCGGGGTGGGGACCCTCCCACCAGTCCTGTGCCCACTCACCACCACTCTTCTTCCTCCAGGGGGAGACTAGCCCGGGGGGAGGCAGGTAGAGGAGCCAAGAGTTAGGACGTCAGGGGGAGGTGAGGGGCCCCTCTCTGGAATGCCCGCCTCCCTCAGGGCCCTTCCCCGGGCAGGGTGTGTGTGTGGTGGTTGCCTGCTCTGTGCCCTGGATCCTCCATGTCCCCTCGGGCCTGTCTGTAAGGAAGGACTAGCCTTCTTCTGTTACTGAAGGTGGGGAGGGGGAACCTCAAGAGAGATGGAGAACAGGATTCAGGCAGCTGAGCCAGATGCAAGAAGGAGGAGACAGCAGCCCGCAGGGGCGGGGGACACACACAGACCCCCGGGGGAGCCCCCCGACAGAGAAATGAGACACAGGAGGACGAGCCACCCTGGACACACATCACACAGGCCGCAGAGCGCGACCCGAGGACTGGGGACAGCAGAGGGACGAACCCCCTGGCCACTGACGACATTAACAAGCCCAGGGAGGGTGGCCCAGCCCCCTCCCCTCGCCCTCCTCGGCCTCCCTCCCCGCGGGCTCACCCATCTCCTCCAGCTCTGAGGTCATGGACTTGGAACGCAGGGAGATGGCTGGGGGCGGGAGCCGCTTGGCCTGCTGGGGTGCTGCAAGGCGACGGGAGGCTTCAGCACCATGGAGAGTAGCCCCGGCCCCACCCGCAGAGCCGCCGGAGCAGGCGGGCAGCACGCCAGCAGGCCAAGCCCTCCCGGCCTGGGAGAACGGCTGGGGCAGGGGGCAGAGCGGGATGGGGGCGGTCTCCAGGGCTCCCTGAGGGTCACTGGCCTCTCGTGGCCAGGAACGCAGTGTGGCGGGGGGAGAGAAGCACCTTTCTTGTGCACGGTCTCATCCATGTCCGGGTGCCTGGTGACCATCACCACCTTGACTGTCAGCGTGTTGCCCCCCTGGCGGATCATGTTCACCACCTGGCGGTGGCCGACCTTCACCACGTTCTGCCCGTTCACCTGCGGCACAGGTGCGAGGGCGGAGGGGTTGGGCTTCTTACCCTGCACTTCCCGTGGCTGTCTGTGTTGATCTATCTTCCCCCCCCTCAAACCCCACCCCAGCCCCTCCACACCCCTCCCTGTAACTGCAGGCCCGAGGGCTGGAGGAACAGGATCCTGTCTCTCTGTCGTCCAGCGGTCTCTGTGTGCACAAGAGTGCCTGTGTGTGCGCGTGTGGGGACATGTCCATGCTTTCCATGTGGGCATGCGTGTGTGCGCTGTGTGTACACCCATGAGCGTGGACATGCATGTGTGCGTATGGAGGCTCAGAGCAGCTCCTTGCCACCCCTTCAAGAGACTTTGTAAAGGCCTGTGAAGGGAACTGCTACAGAAAGCCAAGGACGGCTGGTGGCAGCCAGGAGGCCTGGAGCCAGGCGCGCCTGCGGTTTGCCACCAGCGTTGCGGGGAGGACGACTCACCTCGATGAGGAAATCTCCCATCCGCAGCCCTGCTCGCCATGCCACGCCACCCTCGTCCACCGACTCGAGGTACTGCAGCGCCGGGAAGGCCGGGGTGGGTGTGAACTCCTCGATGGGGGTCTGCGCTGCAGATGGGGAGGGGCCGGCGGGGTCGGGCCGGGGTGGAGGGGAAGGAGGGCGGAGAGGCCGAGCAGGAGATGGGGCTCAGACCCAAGTCACAGAGGCCTGACCCACGTTGAGGGCCCAGTGCCCCGGCTGGGCTTGCCTCCCCCGCCCTCGCCACCCCGGCGGCCACTCACCCTTGGCCCCCCGGAGCACGAAGCCGAAGCCCTCGCTGTCCTTCTTCTGCAGCAGGACAGTCTTCTCCTTGATGATGTAATCGCTGGCGGGGAGGGGGCAGGGAGGGCGTTGTGGGGGAGAAGGAATCATGAGACACAGAATTGGGGGCCCCTCCTGAAGCCTGCTGAGCCTGGCCCCCATTCATGGCACCTCCCACACCCAGGGCCTCGCCCACAGACCCTCGGGCGCTCTCTCCCACTCACTCTGCCCTCATTCATCCATTCACCCAGGCACCCAGCAGCCAGCCATTCAGCAAGCTGGCACCCAGGGCATCAACAAACCACCCGGCTTTGTCCCTCCACCAGGCACTTTCTGCTGTGACCTTGAGCTTGGAGCTCTAGCTTCTTGCACCTCAGTTTGCTCATCTATTGAGGGGTACGGTCACACAGCTCCGTGCTTTGGTAGGTACGTGCTGCAGGGGTCACACACACACGCAGCAGGCGCCTGGCCCATGGTTCCAGCCCAGTTGGGTTCCCTCACTGTCCTCGGCTCGACACAGAAAGCCAACGGGTGGACACACATCCCACAACTCACCATGGCGTCGACCACAGGCACACCCGCCCAGCCCGAGGCCCCCAGCCCTGTCACGACACTGCCCATTCTAGCTACTCTGAGGAAATGTCACCAAAATCCAGCATACAGGTCCTTAGCCACAGCGGCTACCCTGCTTCCCCTGCGCCCAGCGGCCACACGTGGACAGAGCGGCTTCCACACCACAAGAATCATTCCTGTGGCCACAGGGATCCCTTGGCCTCCACTGGGCATCTCCTGGATGGCCCTGGGATCCCCTCAACATGTGTGGCCGATGCTGTGTGTTCAGCAAATGGTCATGATGCCCCCTGGATCCCAACCCCTGCCAGCAGACACTCTCCAGGTACACGGCAGAAAAGCAGCTCTGCTCCCTCCCAGGCACCCCACTCCAGGTACACGCTACAGTGCTGCCCCCGTCCCCCGTGCATGCCCCGGTGAGCCCCACGTGGGCCCTCACGTATGCCAATAATAGCCACGCGTGCTCCCCCAATTACCCACCCCCGGAGACTCAGCACGGCAGCCCTCAGCGGCAAATACTCCAGTATATTTCGGTGACGCCCCCGCACATCCCAGTATGCGCCAATAATAACTCCCCCGCACTCAGTTCTCTGTCTTCTCGCATAGCACGCCCCCTGAGCACCTCCCGGCACATGCCAATGATACCCAACCTGCTCCCTGCTGCATCTGGGAACCTCCCCCCACCCCAGTGCACACACACGCGCGCTAGTGTACACTGCCATGCCAGGTCACAGGGTGCTGCACGCTCTTCATCTCTGTCCCAGCAGATTCCCCCCGCAGCTGTGTCCCTGTGCGCTGAACAGCACGTGTGTGCATCCAGAGGTCACCGCGGTCCAGCTGATACAGCCACAGCACCCTCATCTGCCTCTCCCTCCAACCACCAACCCCACCCTGGGAAGCTTGGCCACGGGCAGCTGGCCACCTTGGCAGCTGGATGGAGCAAGGACAGAAAGGCTTGAAGGAAGGGAGACTGGGTGCCAAGAAGGTGCCCCAGACAGTGGGCAGGGCTAGTGGCGAGTGGTGGTGGGTTAAAGCTGCCTGCACCCCCATCTCTGTTCCATGCCACGTCCCTCCCATCGCCCCATGCCCTGCCTCGCCTCTCCTTTCCAGGTCTCTGGCCCCGCCCCCAGGCCCAGCCAACCATGCCCTTGATCTCCCCTTCATCGCTCACTCGCTGCCAGCTCACTTTCCCTCGGGCAAGGCCTTCGAACCTGCCCTTCCCCCACCCCAACCGCTCCCCCTGCCCCGGGGAAGTCTGTTAGCTCCACAGCAGCCTCACACCCCATGCACAAGCCTCTGCCCCCTCCACTCAAATGGACATGGTTCCCCACGCATGGCCCGCCAGGACTCCAGCCTGTGCCACGTGCGCCCGTAGGATCTGGAATCCTTGCCTGGTTCCCAGGCTCTGAGGAAGTGCCTGCAGCATCCTATGCCATGCAGACAAGGGAATGGGGGCATGCACAGGTGAGCTGAGAGGCCCAAGGTCATACAGGAAGGTGTGTTCTTCCACAGTCACCTACAGAAAACCCGCCGAGTACACATGCAGCTGCCCCATGACACGCGGCAGCAGATTTCACTCTCCTCGCTCTCCACCACCAGCGCCCAGCACACAGCAGCCACCACACGGGTCCGCTCCGCTCTGCTGCCAGCGCCCAGCACACAGCAGCCGCGGCCAGCCCCTGCACGGGTCCGCTCTGCTCCGCCGCCGCCCAGCACACAGCAGCCACGGCCAGCCCCTACACAGGTCCGCCGCCAGTGCCCAACACACAGCGGCTGCTGTGTGTCCCCTCAGAACTTAGAAGAGCTTCCCTCCACACACACCTGGTTTCCATTCCACAGCTGTGGAAACCGGGTCACAAAGAATCTACTTTGGGTCATGCCAGCTGGGGGGTGGGTATCAGAGCGAGTAAGACCCCTTCCTCTAGCGGCCGGCACACCAGTGTGCCCCAGAGCACCCCAGAAGCCCGTGCAGTCTGCTCTCCCCCCCCACCCAATCTGTCCCTGCTCCTCACTCCATCCAACCCACTGCCCCAGGGTGCCTCCCCCCTTCCCTCCACCTGCCCCCGCCCCCTCCCTGCTGTGTCCCCACAAGCCCCTTCCACCCGGGCTTCCTCTCCTCTCCCTACTTTAGCAGCCTCAACTCACTCCACACACGCAGCCTTCACTCGCAGCTGCATCTCATTACAGCCTCTGCATCCGCTCTTCGCGCTCCCGGGCACTGGCTCTATGCTGCCCAAGTCCCCGCCCCCCAAGCCCTCCTCGCATCCCCTGCACCCACCCCTCAGTAGCCCCCACTCTCCCAGGTTACGCGCTGTCCCTCCCCCCACTCGGCAATGTTCCCGGTCGCCCACGCGGCACCCCATTCATGTACTGGTGCGGCTACCTGCCCTGCAGAATCTTACACCACGCTCTCCCCCACGCCATTCCCCGGGCTGGCGGCCTTGGCATGCTCAGTGCCAGCTCTCATTCCCTGGATCCCACGCGCGCACCAGGGACCGCAGCGGCCGGCGTCCACTCTCCCCACCCCCCATCTGATTGTCCCTCTCGCACCCCCAGGAACCCACAGCCCAGAGCCTGCTGTATTGAACGCGGCGTCCTCCCTGTGTACCCAGCGCCTCAGCCTGCAGCGCACACCCCCACCCCCTGCCGCTGCCAGCACAAAGTCAGCCCCCTCCCCAGACACACACGAATCAGCGGAGAAGGCGAGGGCAGAGCCAGTGGACCAAGGTCCCTCCAGTAGGCACAGACGCCCATGGCGGCAGGCACTGTGGCACAGGGGACCGAGACGCGCAAGGATGGGGGAGGGACGGGCCAAGCACGAGAGAGTGGGTATTGGGAAACACAGCCGCAGTCTCCTGGACAGACCCACTCCATCTCTCTCTCTCTCTCTCTCTCTCTCTCTCTCTCTCTCTCTCTCGCACACACACAAACACACACACAAACACACGAGCGCAGCCTCCAGCCAGCCTCACTGGGGTTTCCAGTCACACACACTGCCAGCCACGGGCACCCAGGGACAGCAGATGGACCCTACTAGGGGGTGGGCTGTGAGCCCCCCACCTCTGTCTCTGTCTCTCCTGTCTTTCTCTGTCTCTCTCTCACACACACATGCCGCTGCAGACAGTCCCATAGGCGCAGCCACACGGACACACGCACCGCCGCACAGTGACACGCAGCGGAAAAAGGAGGAGAGGGGAGGCGGGGGGGGGGGGGGCGGGATGCGTGTGTGATGGAGGGATGGCTGTGAATGGGAGACGGGGCATGAATGGGGGAACGCGCAACTCCGCGAGAAGGTGTGTGTGCGGGGAGGGACGTGCGCAGCAGAGGGACGCGGCCTTGGGTGCGCGGGCCTAGGGCCCCCCTCCAACCGTGGCTCGCCTGGGGTGGGGGAGGGCTCCACAAGCCAGCCAAAATGGGGAAGCGGGGAGGTGTGGGGGGCAAGGTTTCGGTGCTACAGCTGAGAGGGTCCTGGCGGAGACCAAGGAGAGAGGAGGAAAAACCCCCAAGCCTGCGGTGGCGGTGGGGGCGCTCGGGGAGAGGGGCTCGGGCGGCAAGGCTTGAGAAGAGGGGGTCCGTTTCCCGGCCTCGCCAAGCAGAGGAGAGGGGAGGGGGCGCCTGGGGGAGGGGGAGGAGCCTGGGGGGGCGGCGGCGGGGGAGGGTCGCCCGGCGCAGCCCCGGCCGGCCGCGCGCTGCGTTTACCTGTAGATGTACCAGACGCTGCGCCGCCGGGGCCCCAGGGCCGGCCAGCTGGAGGAGAGCGCGGGGGGCGGCTGCGGCAGGGAGCCCCCGCCGCCAACGCCGCCGCCGCCGAGCGCAGACAAAGCCATCGCCGCCGCGGCCCCGGCCCCGGCCCGGGTCCCGCAGCCGGCCGCCCCCGCCGCCGCCGCCGCCGCCACGTCCCCGTCCCCGCTCGGCCGAACCCCCGTGTCCGGGCCCCCAGGCCCCGCCTCATGCTGACCCGCGCCGGGAGGGGGAGGGGAGGGGGCGCGCACCCCCCCGCGGCAGGGAGGGCAGGGCCGGGGGGCTCACATGCCGGGGCTGGGGGGCGCGGGGGCGCGGGGCGCGGGGTCGGGCCGCGGCGGGAGCGCGAGGACCGCGGACGGCGCTGCTTCGGCACCGCGGACAGCTCCGGAGGCGGGCGGGAGGCTTAACCCCTTGGCGTCCTGCGCCGGGTGGCGGAGGGGGCCGGGCAGGGGGGAGGGGAGCGCGGGGGCCCCCTTGGCGGGAGAAGGGGGAGGGGCGAGGCGCGGGGGGAGAAGGGAGGCACTTCCGGTCTGCCCCCCCCCGTTAACGCTCCTTCCCCCCCCAGCCCTCCCGCGCAGGTGCAGAGCGATGGAGAGCGGGCAGAGAGGGACGCACGGCACAGGGGATGCCTCGCAACCGCGTGCGGGGACGCGCGCACCAAGCCCATATTGCGAGCGGGGCCGCCACGGGTGAGAGGAGGCCCCCGGAGGGTCCACCCAGCCCACAGCCCCCTGCCCCTTTGCCCCCAGCCCCCCGCCCCCGCACGCCACGCACCCCAACACAGCCTGGAAGGGCCGGGGAGGGAGGGAGGCCCAGGCAGGCCCTGCAGCGGAGACATACCCCTTCTTCCCTGCGGCTGCCCCCCACCTCCCCGGGGGTGCAGGGACGAGGCCAGCCAGCCGGAGGAGGCATGGGTGCTGGGGCAGCCAGGGTGAGGGAGGGTCGGGGGAGGGGGGAGGGGGCAACACGAGGCCAGACAGCAAGCAAGGTGGTGGTGGTGGTGGTGGTGAAGCTGAGCGCAACCGGAACTGCCCTCCCCCCCAGGTGTCACAGCAAGAGACTACCCCAGCCCCCCAGAGCAGACCACAGCCACGAAGAGACCCCCGAGAGCCACGGATCAACACGAGAAGCCACAGCTAGGCGGGCAGGGCACCTGAGGGGCCCCGGCTACTCACCTGAGCCCAGAGCCTGGACGCATCAGGTGAACTCCAACAAGGATCAAGCGCCTCGGACCCTCAGGGCGCAGGGTGGAGCCCCTGCCCTTCCACCCGCCCCTGGCCCTCTCCCACAACAGCCCTACCCCCCTCCAGTGGCCAGAACACACACACACAGGTTTGGACACATTTAATGCGAGGAGCAGGAGGCTACGGACGGACAAGAAGAGCCTTCCCTGGAGTGGGTGCGGGGGCGGGGCAGTGGTCATCGCTCAGACAGCACAGTCCGACCCTCTCTGCCCCCAGCCCCCCACAGCTCTGTCCGGTTGGAGGCCCTTCACCCCAGGATCCTCCCCTTCCCTCTGGACATCCATGGTCCTGAATTCAGATCAGTCAGACAAATGCAAATGCATGCACCCCTGCACCCCCGCACCCCTGCACCCGGCACCCCTGCACCCCTGCACTCCGGCACCCCGCACCACTGCACCCCTGCATCTGACACCCCTGCACCCCTGCATCTGACACCCCTACACCCCGGCACCCCTGCACCCGGGACCCCCGCATCCCAGCACCCCTGCACCCCGGCACCCCTCCACCTGGCACCCTTACACCCCAGCACCCCAGCACCCGGCACCACTGCACCCCTGTACCCCGACACCCCTGCACCCCGGCACCCCTGCACCTGGCATCCCGGCACCCCTGCACCCCTGCACCCTGGCACCCCTGCACCCGGCATCCCGGCACCCCCGCACCCGGCACCCGGCACCCCGCACCCCGGCACCCCCGCACCTGGCACCCTGGCACCCCTGCACCCGGCACCCCTGCGCCCCAGCACCCGCACACAGCGACACACATGCACGGAGACACCCCTGCCCTGGACTGTACGTGTGAGTGGACACACGGACACTCTGGTCACGCTGACCCACAGAACCGCATCAGTCATAGCCACACATTGAGCAGGGGTGTCTGCCTAGGGGCCGCCTTAGGGAGACCCCACTCAGCCCACCTATGCATCCCCTTCCCCCCCTTCCCATCCTGATCCCGCCCCTCACACCTCCCTAGGCCAATCCCATTCATCAGGGTTCCAAAGCCAGCAGCCAGGGAGGGAGGGGAGAGGTGCCCGGGCTCCCTGCTCCCCCTCCCACCCCACATGCCCCACGACGTGCCAGCTGTGGGACACACACGATTCTGCTGCTGTGTGGGACTGCACGGGGACGGGCCACCTGGGGCCACGAGGCCGCCAGCAGCCAGACGCACCCTGACCCTACTCCTACAGGGTCTGCAGCCCCTCCCTTCCAGCACACCCGGCCCTAGCCCTGGAGGTCTGCAGCTCCTCTCCCCTCCCCAGCCGGGCTGTCTGCAGTGGCTGCCATGGACGATTCCAGGTGAGGCTGCCCCACCCCTGGCTTGCTCTGCCTTCTATCCCACCCCAAGAAGTGAGTTTTGAAGCGGCTGATGAGCCCAGAGGCTCGGAGGAATAGGAAAGAAGACACAGGAGTGCGAGCTTGGCGGAGGAGACCGGGCAGGGATCCAGGATGGCAGGGCATTTACCTGGGGGCGTCGAAGCTGTCGTAGGAGCCCACGGTGTAGTGCCGGAACAGCCTCTTGGCCTTGTCGCTGCGGCTTTCTGCTGTTGGGGGGAGGGGGCCTGACCTTGAGCCCTTGTTTCCAAGACCACCAGTCCAGCCAGCCCATCCTCCTGCCAGCACCCACTTCGTGCCCCCAGGGCCCCTCCTCACCTTGCTTGCCCTCCTGTGAGCGGTTGGCCACTTCCTCCAGGCAGTCCGAGGGGAACCAGCCGACGCGACCTTTGACCTGCCCCTCCCAGAAGCCTCCTTCTCCGATGCTGAGCACTGGAGGTACAGAGATGCAGCACTGTCTCCGTGGAGCCCCCCACCCTGACTTCCCGTGGCTCCCAGCCCCTGGGGCACCTCTGGGAAATGCCTGAGGAGTGGGCAGGAGGCTGGCAGGGGACGCGCAGCCCTGTGGAGGAAGGGGCGTGTCCTGTTCATGACACACACCTCCCAGAGTGTGTGGGGGTTCAGGACAGGTCAGTATCACTCTCCTCAGGTCTACCATTCTCCCTACACCGCTTTCAGGTTAAGCTGTACCCCGCCCCACCCCCTCACCTCTGCCCTACCAGCTCCCAAAGTGCCCTTGCCACTTAATCCTGGTTCACTTGCTCCCAGACCCCTCCCCTGGCTCAAGGATGGAGAGTCCAACCTCCAAGCTGTGTCTGTTCCCCTGCTCCATGTCAGCCATTTAGCAAGCCACATGCTTAAGCCAGAGGTGGACGAAAAGGCTAGTTGGTGTTTATCCAGCCCTGTGCTTGGCGCGGGCTGTGTGGAGAGAGGGTGGGCACTTTCATTATCTCCATTATAGAGATGGGAAAACCAAGTCACTGGGAGCCAAGGCCATTTGCTCATGGTCGCAGGGCTGGGAGCCGGCAAGCCCCAGTTAGCATGCAGCCCAAGCTGTTTCCAGACCATTCCCTACCCCAGGGCAGCCCTGAAGGCGTGCATGTCTGCTTCTCACATTTCCCCTGCCTGCCCCATCCTCAAGCCTCGCCAGGAGGCACCTGCTGGAGATGAAGCAGCTGAGGCTGACACACAGCAGTCCCGGTGCTAGAGATGGCTGAAGCCACCCACAGGGTGCTTCCCCCACTGGATCTGGGGAGGTGTTCTAGGCCAAGGCCTGCGTGCGTGGCTGTCTCTGCCACAACCGGCTGAGTTCACTGGTCGGGAGCCCACTGAACACACGCTGAGTGGGTGCTGCTCAGAGAAGTCAGGTCCCAGGGCGTCACTGCCCAGCACAGCTCTGCCTTCAGGGATCTCCTGGGCTGGCAGTAAGTGGAAGTGTGACCAGAGCAGGCCATCTACAGAGGATCAGCTGGGCAGAGGGGTGCTGGAAGGGGTGCCACCTGGTCCAACACCTAAGGGTCCCAGGCACCAAAAGCAAGAAAGGGCTCTGGCAGAAGGGACAGCAGGTGTGGGAGCTTGGGATGTGGAGGCGCCAAGAGGACAAGGTGGAGGTGAGAGCAGACAGGTCAGAGGTGAAAATGGGCAGGTGGGGGTGGGCACAGGTGAGAGCCAGCAGGTGGAGTGACAGTAGGCAGGTGGGGGCAGGCGGAGGTGAGAGCCATTTGGGGGCTTGATTCTGGGTGCAGGTGGCAGTGTGGGACTGGGGCCCTTTTAACAGAAGGGTGGCAGAACGGTGGGTCAGGGTGTCCCCTGCCCATGTGACAGTGCTGGGTTCATGGCGTGTGGGGACGCCGTGGCCTCAGTGCCCCCCCAACCCTGTGTTCCTCTCTCCAGGGGTGAGCAGCCAGGACACAGATCTGTGCTTGGCTCCCGTGCTGAGTTCCTGCACTTGGTCATCCTGCTCGCTCACTCAGTCCCTCCCTCAGCAGGTGTGCGCTGAAGGTGAAGGTGCTAGATTTGGGCCCGGGGAACATAGAGACCTAAACCTTTGCTTGCAAGAGAGACCACATAATACACGCCCCCAACCCTGAATCAGCCCTTCAAGCCTCCCCCCCAAGGCTAGGTGCGTCCCCCGCACCTTCTCTAGGCGCCAGCTGCAGGGCAGCTGGTGGCAGGACACCTGGCCCTCGGAGGCCAGCAGGGGCCAGTGGCTTCTGTAACGGGCTCCTCTACAGACCAGGTCGCCAAGGCCCAGAGAAGCCATGTGCCTGGGGCCACCTTGCCAAGTAGTGGTGGTGCCCAGGGTAGAAACCTGGCTGGTCCCTCTTCCGGGCAGCCTGGACTCTGGTAAGGATCCCTCCGTCTGTCCTCCCATTAGCTCCAAGATCCCATGCCACAAGGCACCCCTCTGTCCACAGCCCCCCGGAGTAGCCCCTTGGAGGCTCAGAACCTGGTTTCTCAGAGAGCTGAACCCTCATGGCAGGTGACAGAGCTTTCACCCAGAGCCCGGAGGAGGTGCCTGGGCTCCACCGAGTTGCCCAGTGGGGTCCGTGATCCCCGTTCCCCGCCCTGGGAAGGCCCACGGGGGCTCCTGAGCCCACGTAGGTGCAACGCGCCCACCATGGCCTGCTCTTCGGCAGGGGAAAGGAGAGCGGCTGCTCCACCCGCTTTGTCTGCACCCCGCCCACGCTGGTCACGCTCCGCCCAGGTTACCTTTGATCTTCTCGCCTTTGCTCAGTGAGATCTCTCCCTCGCCTTGGGCCTGGTACGACTTCACAGCCATGAAGGAGCGTCCGGGCACGGCCGAGTACAGCTTCCGCCGCCTGCCACGGCTGCCCAGGGAGCCCCCGGGACCCCCGGAGCCGCCGGTGCCCCCAGCCGGGCCTTCCCGGGGGGTCCCGCTGGAGCTGTGTACATAGAAGGCATGAGAGGCTGGAGGAGCCTCCGAGAGAACAGGGTGGGGGTCCTGCCTGCCTGGCTGCTCTCCCAGCCCCTTCTGCCGCCTCCCTGGTCTGGCTTCCAGGAGCTGAGATGGGCCCATGTCATCTCCTGGCTTCCGCTGGGCAGGGTCTAATTCCTGCACCCTGCTTTCCCCGACCCCCTTCCTTTGCCTCAGGCCAGGCCTGGAGGGACCCCCCTCCTCACTCCCCTCCCACCTCAGCCAATCCTCAGGGACCCATTCCCTGAGCTCTGTGGGATCTGGTCAAGGTTAGGGTGCTGGTGAGCCTGCCTCACCTGGGCCGCCCCCGGGGCTGCCTCTTGGCTTCCTCGGGGTGTCTTCCTCGGGATGGGGAGCGGGCACGGGCACCGCGAGGGCTGCTGGCGCTCCGGAGGGTCCCGCTGCTGACTTTGGTGCTGGGGGCTGAAGGCTGCGCTGGGCCCTGGGGTCCCGGAGCTGGGCCGGGGGCCGCCGAAGACGAGGTCCCCGGGGCTGAGAACACCATCCAGTCGGGCAGTGCCATGCTGGTGTCACTGTTGGCCCGTAGCAGGGCCGGGGGCACTGTCAGCCCTGCGCCTGGGGGGCCCCGCCGCCGCGCTGCGTACTTGGGGGACTCCTGGAAGGGTACTGGGAAGCCAGAGAGGAAGATGGGGAGGCAGGAAGGAGAGAGGCAGAGAAGAGAGGGGAGCCTGGGGTCTGGGTTGACTCCCCCGGACACCGCCCCACCCCGCCTTGCCCAGCTCCTGCTCGCTCACCCACGTCCTGTTCTCGGTGATTTCGGATCAACTCCCCCAACTCAAAATTCCCAGCAATGACGGCCACCTGAAGGCAGAGGGGACAGGGAGCTGGGGGTGGAGGGTGTGTGTGTGTGCCTGGAAACCCTGGGGTCCTCCTCGTCCCGCACCTCCGCCCTGCCTCCTGCCGTGTCCCCACCCAACCCAGACCTGGAAGGGAGTCTGCCCGCTATTGTTCTTCACGTCCTTGTTGGCCCCTCTGTAGAGCAAGATCCGGGCGCAGGTCTCCTGTGGTGGCACAGGACATGGGAAGGAGCCCGGGGTCAGTGTGCTGAGGGAGCTGGGAGGACCTTGGCTACACCTGCACTGCCCAGCGTGTGCAGGACACACCCTGGGCCTCCAGGACGGGGCGTGCAGAAAGCTTAGATATCCTAAGTGAGGCCGGAAGACTGTGGCTGCCACAGGTGCAATAATAAGAGCTGCTAGAGCGGAGGTCATGTGACAGGGCGTTAGGAGTTGAGGTCCCCTTGGGTGCTGGGGATATGGGTGCCCTGAGGGTATGGAGAGGCATTCCTGCTTCCAACCGCTAGAGGGCACTGCCGCAGCCCTCCGCTGGGAGCTGACCACTAGGGGTGCTTACCCCCCACCCCCAGGGAGGGCGGCCACCCCAGCCCCCGAGGGGCAGTGCACACTACAAACCCCGCCAGACCCACGAGATTGCAGCGACCTGGGTCCTTACACTGGGATGCACACATACACACACAGATACTCCAAGCACCCACGTACGGACCAGGTCAGTCCCACGGCAAAGCCTCAGCCTTGTCACTCTGCACACCACCTGGGGCCCCCAGCTCCATCCCCCTTCATGGACATCACTGCTGGACTAAACCCTTAGGTCTCGGACGCCCACCCAGCACGGCCTGGCCTTCACCCATCTTTGAAAGCATCTTTGCCACCTGCCCTGGTTCCCACGCTGGGCTCTGCCTTCCTCTGCAGGACATGCCCCAGGCCCTGCAGCTCGGCCTCTTCCCTCCCTCCCTCCCTCCCTCCCTCTCTGCACAGCTCGCTCACGCCTGTGCCATTTGTCCCATCTTCCATGCCATCTCTCTGGCACCTCTACCTGCAAGTGCCCAAATGAGGTGTGGAGGGTGGGGACGAGGTCTCAGGCTCCAGCCGTCAGGAACGTGCCTGGCGCCTTAAGGAGGAAACAATTTAGGGGTGTCCTCCCTGCTTGCAGGCCCCCAGTTCGACCCACTCTTCTGACTCTGAGCATGCTAGCAGGTGCCAGGCACTGGCTCCATCCCATCTGTATAGGACAGGTACAGAACGGGCTCCAGGTGCACCATGTCCAAACTGGCTTTGCAAACCCTGCGCTCCCTATGGGACCTCTGATGGCCAGGGTCCCTAACACTGGACAACACAGTGGGCATGTGTGTGCCTCCACGTGCACCTGCTGTGTTTTCACTTCTGGTTTTGCAGATGTGCCCACGGACACACACACACCCCCCACAGCAGGGTTCCCCGCTCCCCATTTCTGCAACCCGCTCTCCCCGTGGAGGAGAGCCCCTCCCTGGATGCCTGTAGAGCCCCGTGCTTCTGCCGCCCTCACACCTGCCTTGTATATCGCCACTTTGTTTACACGTCTGTCTCTTCCTCTCTCCTGCCAGACTGCCAGCTCCTTCCTCCTCCCCCCCCCCCGACTCCACTCTCCCCAGGGCGGGCGCTGACTCCGAGACCCACTCGAATTGGGCACTGAGCACACGGTACGTGCTTCAGAAAGGATGAGAAAGTGGAGTTGAGTCCGACCACATGCAGTCACTGAGTCGTTCAAGCTGCTGCAGCCAGCACACACCTGCTCAACGCGCATGGTCAGGTACCTGGTGCAAAGCACACACCTGCTCAACGCGCATGATCAGGTACCTGGTACAAACCCAAGGGCAGCTGATCAGCCATTCATTCACTCATCCATTCATTCAACAAGATGAATCCAGACCTACCTACTGTGTCCTCCTATAGAGGAGTCTGTAAGACGCCCCCGCCCCAGCCTTGAGGCACTCACAGCTTGGACATGGGCCTGGCTTTGTCATAGCTAAGACAGGTGCGCCAGGAAGTCAGGAATGGACAGAAAGAGAGGTGAGCTGACCCTGCCACCCCTTGTCCCCGGGGAACTGGACAAGGCTGGCGTGGGGGCACACACCGAGAGGCACAGAGAAGCACAGAGCCAGCTCCCTGCTGCTGTGCCTGGGAAGGCAGTGGAGCAAGGCCCGAGTGCCTGGCCCCTGCAGCCATGCGACCCCAGGGAAGCTGCTGGCTCCTGCCCTGATGAGCTCTGCCACTTGGGGAGTGAACCAGGTGGGACACGACAGATCTGTCTCTCCCTCTCTCTGTCCCTCTGCCTTTCAACTAAATAAACATATCTTAAAAAAAAAAAAAAACAAACAGAAGAAGATTACAATGTAGCCAAACAAACAAACAAAAAGAGATTACAATGTAGCCAAGGAGCTGGTGGAAGGTAGGGGGGTGCCCTGGGCAGGCTGAACCAGCCTTTCCTGCTGCAGGCACTCTGCTTCTGTTCATTTCACAGATCCCGGGAGAGGGACACCAGCGGTGCCTGCCCTGTGGCTGTCTCTGGCTCAGGTGAGCAATGCCAACTCTTTCTCCTGCCCAGCCCAAGGCAATGGTAGCGATGGCCGTCAGGGCCACCTCCCACTGCGGGAGAATGAACCTGGTGGGGGTGGGGTGGTGAGGGCCTGACCCGTGAGGTCTGGGGTGTCCTCTCTCTGGGGACTGGCAGCAGCAGCAGTGCTGGGGGTGGGTGGTGCCAGCACCCAGCCCTCCCTGGGTGCCTCCCTGAGCTTGCTGCCACCAGGCGCGCGTGGCGCCCGGCCAGCTCCTTGGCACTGCAAGTTCCCAGGAGGCAGAAGGGGGCCTTCCGGGAGGAGGGCGGCTGACGCGTCCCTGGAGCAGCTTTCAAGGACACAGCATGGAGACCCGGGTTGGGGTCACCTGCCACTGTAGGGGTTACAGAAGTCCTGGCCCTGCTGGTGGCTCAGCTCCAGCGGCTCAGGAGAACCCTCCTGCCTGTCTCTGCCCACCCCTTCCTTCCTGGAGAACCCCTGCTTGCCACCATTCAGGCTCCTGGCTAAAGTGCCAGCTGATGGGGGAAGCCCTGCCCAGCTCTGGTCCTTTTCAGGGGCTGTGCCTTCTCTCCTCTCTTCATGGTGGCTGTAGCCGATGGCTACATGAACAGATGGGAGTTCCCACAGGGGCTGCTCTGCATTAAGGGTAGGGATGGCGGCTACCCCAGCTCACCCTTGGGCCCCAGCACCCAGCCCTGGGCATCACCCCAGGGAAGGGGTTCAGTGGGCATCTGTGGAATTGGGGTGGGTGAGAGGATGGATGCGAGGATTGTAGGATGGGTGAAGGGGGGAGGAGAGACGGAGGGAGGAAGAAAGGACAGAGGAGGGAGGAAGGGATGAGTGGAGGAAAGGAAGAGAGGGCAGTGAAGAAGCAGGGGTCAGAGCAGGCGCTTAGCGCATGGCAGGTGGTTGGGCATGGGCAGTGAGGGTGGGCATGGGCTGAGCACGTGGGCTGGGCGTTGGGATGGGCAGTGGGTGGCGGGCAGGGGCAACAGGTGCGGGCTGGGTTTGGGGGGCCAACCTTGTTGTAGAGGGCACATATGTGCAGGGCCGTGTTCCCGGAGGCGTTCTGGGCTCCAGGCTCCGCCCCATAGAAGAGCAGGTGTTCCAGGTGCTGGGAGTGGCCGTGCTGGCAGGCCTGTTGGGGGAAGGCACTGCGTCACAGTCCCACCCCCTGGCATCTGCCCAGGTCCACCCCCAGGCACCCAGGAGTCCCTGCTGCTTCTTCCCCTCCTCTCTGGGGCCTTGTTTGCTGCTCTTGAGGTGATGGGTGGGTGGGCACCAGCCCAAATGCCCATCACTCAGAGGCCCAGGCAGGCCCCAAAGAAACCCATGCCCCCCACCTGTGTCTGCACCCCCCACCATCACCATGTTACCTTTGGGACCCAGCTGCCCCCCGCCCCACCCTGTGGACAGGCTGGGGTACCTGGTGGATCTCCTGCCAGCCATTCTCGTCGGCCACCCCCAGCTGGGCCCTGTTGTATAGCAGCAGCTCGCAGCAGCGGGGGTCCCCCCCAACCATAGCCGTGTGGAACAGAGGAGTCAGTCCCCGGCGGTCCTTGTAGTTGGGAGAGCCCCCGAGGTCCAGAAGTGCCTAGGACGCACGCAGGGGGACAGAAAGAGAAGGAGTGGGAACAGAGGATGCTCCCGTTAAACAGGAGTCCCGGGGACCTCGCCGGCCCATGGCACCTGCTTTTCCATGGCGCCCCTGTGCTGGGCCCTCAGCTCCCTGCCGTGGCAAGGGGCTCCAGAGAGCTCCCCGGCTCTGACCGCCTTCCCAGCCTCCCTGCCCACCCCCACCACCATGGAGCCCTGGGATGAGTCACAGAATAAGTCTGCCCATCCTGCAGATGGCTGTGGGGGACCAGCCTGAGAGTGGCATGTGGATGCAGGCAGGTACTCCTGCTGCTGACGTTAGGACCAGGAACCTCAGGGAAGGGGGCACAAGAGAGGGCACACTGGGTGATGGTGTGTCGGGGCCCAGCCTCGCTAGGGCTGGGGGCTCAAGGGGCAAGGACAGGCGCCCCCATCAAGGGCCAGCCCTGGGCAGCACTGAGCATGTCCAGTGCCAGCTGTCAGTGTCCCCAATGGCCTTACAAATGTACGGCCAGCTTGGAGGCCACATGTTCTGCCAGCCCCACTGGGTGCACCTGCCAGCCCGGAGACAGGAAGCTTCCGTCTTTGGGGGTTTTCACAGCACCACAGAACCCATGGCCACCAGGTTGGACAGGGTCGAGGGGCAGTTGGCTTAGAGTCCCAGGTTCCACCTGAGCCCACGTGCCTGCTGTGGGCTCAGCTGGACACCAGGGGGCAGTGCTGCTGGGAGCAGAAAAGGGGGAACTGGGCTGGATGAAGAACCAAGCCACAGGGAAGGAGGGAAGGAGGATGTGGAGGTGGGTGGCGCCTGGCAGCCTCACCGTGAGTGCGAGGCAGTGGCGGGCACACGCGGCCTTGTGCAGCGCTGTCATGCCATCCCGGGCCCGGAAGTCGATGTGGGCCCCGCCCAGGCACAGGGTTCGAATCACCTCCACGGAACCCTCAGTCTGGGCCGCCAGTGTCAAGGGAGTCTCTGGGGGTGGGAAACGCAGAGTCATCCACCAGGTCCTTCAAGTCCCAGGACCCACACCTGCCACGACCCCAGACCTGTGACCTTGCTATGGCAAAGGACATGGGGCAGGGGTTGGACACATCTGGAAGCAGCTGCTTCCTGGGTCTGCAGGCCACTCCCCCTACCTCCTGAGTCCGAGTCGTGGTAATTGGGGTCCAGCCCCTTGTCCAACAGCCTCGCCACCTTGTCGGATGTCCCAAGCTGCACATATTCTAGGAACTTCTTCAACCCCGTCTAAACCATGTACAGAGAGAGACAGGGAAGACAGGGTTGAAGGAGCTAGGGCGCAGCAAGCCAGAGGGCTCAGGAGACCGTGGCCAGGAGTAGCGGGGTTCATGCAGACGCCACCCCAGGTTCCGGGGCCAGTGTGGCCCTCAGGTCACCCACAGCAAGCTTGCTAAGGACAGCTACACACAGCCCCTTTGCTGTATGATCCTGGTGGGGTGGGGGCGGAGGGAGAGGAGGCGTGCATTTCACACCCGCATGACTCAGCCAGGACTGGCCACGTGGCACGTGTGGCAGTGTGGTGGGGAGAGACGGCAGCAGAGAGGGGGGACCGGGGCCCAAGGAACCTCTCTGACGGACTCCCAGTTCTCAAGGGGAGGCCCAGAGGTCAAGAACACTCGCACAGGTTCAGCTGGGAGACTCGGCCCACCCACAGGCTGGGCAGGTGCAGGCTGCCCAGGTATGGGACCTTTGGGCTTAAGGAAAGGACCAGGAGAGCAGAGCCGAAGGCCCATGCTGTGGTAGAGAAGGGGCCTCAGGTGCACAGTGGGGGACGGGCAGGCGAGGGCCGGGCAGGCGGGGGGCGGGCAGGCGGGGGCGGGCAGGCGGGGGACGGGGCAGGGCCCGGACGAGGGCGCAGCGGAGGGGCGGAGGGCCGCGTGGCACTGGGGAGTGTGTGGGGCCTCACCTTGGTGTGCAACTTGGCCAGCTGCTTCTCATCTAGGTTGGTCTGCTTGTACACTCGAGTCTTGTACCGAAACTGAGTTCAGGGATTGGAGTGGGGGGAGACACACAGGGGGGTGGTCAGAACGAGGAAGCCCGGGGGGCAGCGGGAAGGGTCAGAGTCGCTTCTGGCGGTGGGTGTGGGGTTGGCCTGGTGCCATGCCGCTGGACAGAGGCAGGGCCACTGGCCGTGGAGCCGCGGTGAGCCCTGGGTGGGGGAGGACGGGCTGTGGGCCTCACCTCCAGGTAGGGCACCCCCTTCTCAAAGGACTGAGGGTACTCTCGCAGCAGCCTCTCCTCCTCCAGGAAGTTGGCGTCGCGCCCCGAAGTGGCCGGCTGGAAGAGGCCATAGTTGAGCACGTCCTGGAGGCTCTCGCTCAGCGCACAGAGCACCTGCTGCTTGGCTGTCCAGATGGTAGCGTCCGGGTTGAAGCGCAGGCATTTCTGCGGGCGAGGGGCCGGGGAAGAGCCCCCAGGTGAGCCGGGCGGGCAGGGGCGGAGGCCGCTGTGTGTGCCGGGAGGGGCTCTGGGCTCACCGTCTGGTGCAGGTCCGGAATGCCGATCCTGAACACCATCATGCTGAAGTGGGCGTCGTTGGGGACAGACATGGAGCGACCTTGAAGGCCCCGAGCCGAGGCCAAGCTAGCAGGTGTGCCGCTGCTGCCCCGGGCCTGGGACCCCCGGGGGCCTCGCCCTGGCCCGTCTGGGGAGCTGTGTGATTCGGAGCCCCCGTCGGGACACTCGCTGGCGCTGTGGCCTTCCTCGTCCTCGCTTGTGGCGGGGCTGTGGGTCATCGTGGGGCCACGGGGCGATGGGGGACGGCAGCATCACAGGCGGCTGAGAAAGGGTGGGACACCCAAGGACGGCAGTCAGATGGGGGAGCACCCCTCAGGAGGCCTGGCCGTCAGGGTCAGCCTTCCCTCCTCCCTGGCTGCAGTGGACAGGAAACAGCCCCCACCCTCCCACACACACACACACACACACACACACACACACACCTGTCTCCTTTCCCTGCCCTTGGCCCTGCTCAGGGGGGCCCCCCTGCGCCCCATTTTGCCGCTGACCCAGCGTGGCCGTGTGTCCCAGAAACCCAAGAATCACCGCGGGAGCTCCTGGCCCACTTTGCGAGGCCACAGAAGAAACGTGGTCGGGGCTAAAATTAGCGGAGGGCAGCCAGGTGGACCGCGGCCGGCCCGCCCCTGGGCGCTCTGCCCTCCTGGCCCCGGCCTGGCGCCTGCTTCCGGGGAAGCCGGGATGCAGCGTAGTAAGGGGGAGATGTGGAGGTGTGACCAGCCCCGGGCTGGTGGCTGAGCACGTGGGCACAGGGGGAGACAGCGAGAGGGGGGCTGCTAAGTTGGGGGTATCCGCAGCAGCTCACAGAATGGCCAGGGGACACCTCAGGGCATCCCCATAGCCAGTGTGGCGAGGACAGGTGGCAGGGGTGTGTGCAGGGGCCTTCAGTGGCTGTCCTGCCCTGTGGGTGGCCATTCAGGGTGCCCTGCTGTGGCCAGGCTTGGTCCTCCCGTGGTTCAGTTCAGAGGCAGATTTGGGGGTGGGGCACAGGGTAGGAAGTAAGGGAAGGGCTGGGGGTGGGCCAGATGCTGGGGGGCCTCAGCCCTCAGGTGGCCCCTCGCTGTGGCTTCTGAGGGTGTGTTTGGGGGGTCTGCCTTCTTGCTGTTTCTCCCCCCATTCCCTGCCCCCCCCCCATATACACAGAGCACCGGAAACCAGAATGTGTGGTCTGGTCCCCCCCCACATGCCAGGCCCGGCTCCCGCACCGTTGCCATGGAGATGGGAAGCAGCAGAGGGGACTGGAGGGGACTGTTCACTTTGGGGGAGTGGGGACGGGTTGGGGGGGGAGGGCTGGGGAAGGGAGAGACCAAATGTGTGCGGGGAGGGGGGGAGGAGAATTGGCAGGGCCGTGGGCGAGCCACCAGCCAGCCACCAGCTCACGCGTGGCCGCAGCGCCGAGCCCGGTCCCCTCCCCACCTGGTGCCGCCCGAGACCCCGCCCGCGCCCTGTCCCGCACGCCACTCGCCCAGCGGGGCCAGCCGCCCCGCGGCCACTCCCCCCTCGGCCGACCCCGGCTGACCGCGGCCCCAGCCCCCCGTTCCCGCCCCGGCCGGCGCCCCTCCCCCTCGGGCCGCGGGAGGGAGCGGGCGCGCTCCGCCGGGGCGGCATGAATCAAACGTTCGGCGGCTAAGAATAGCTGGCACGCAGCTGGTACCGCGACGGGCGAGGAGGCGCGGGGGGTGCGCCCGCGGTGCCAGGGTGCCCCGCGCGCCTGCGGGGGCCGGGGGGCGGCCGGCGTGGCCGGGCGCAGGTGGGGGGACCCTTCCCGGGAGAATGAATGGAGGCGGGGAGAGGCCGGGCTGGGGCGGGGACGCCGCGGGAGAGGGGAGCGCCCCGCACCGCGGGAGGGGGCGGGGGCCCCGGAGCGGGCCTGGGGGAGGCAGCCGAAGGGGCGCGCCGGCAGCCGGGGCAGGCACGCGAGACGCGCGGGGCCGGAGGTGCGGGAGAAGGCAGGGCGGCTCAGGAGCCCCGTGGCCTGCGCCCCGGGCGCGCCGAGGGGCTGGGGAGGGAAGCGGGGTGACCTGGAGGGGGCAGGGCCCAGCTCCGCCCGGGTGGGCGAGGCGGGGGAGTGGCCGGGCGCCGCCAGGAGGCGGGCACCGCGACCCGGTCCTGGGCTTCCGAGCGACCGCAGAGGGCTCGAGCCGGGGCTGGGGGTGGGGGTGGGGGGCGCAGCCGCCCCTCCAGGCTGCGATCTGGGACGGGGCACAGGGGACTGGGGCGTAACCCAATTCGGCGTCGCCCGGAGCAACGCTGCCCTCTGCAACCGCACTTCGCCCCCCGCCCCATCACATACACCCCACACCGCACACCCAGGCCCCGAGCCCCGGCGCGGGGCCAAGGACATCCCGGGCGCCCCTGCCCCCCTCGCCCGCCGCAGCGCCCCCAAACCCCCTGCCCGCCCCCGGCTCCCCGGTCCCCCTTACCTGCCTGGCGGGGCTGCAGAGTCCCGGTCGGCGGCGCCCGCGGCCCCTCCCCCCTCCCCCCACCCCCCTCCCCCCCGGAGCCGGGGGGACCCTCAGGCCATGCCCCACCGCCCCGGAGGGCGAGCGGGCCCGGGGAGGGGGCGGGCGAGGGCCGGGGGGGAGGGCGGGGGGCCCGAGGACCTCACCCCCCCCGCGGGCCGGGCCGGGCCATCCGCAGAGCGCCCCCCTTGCGCCGCGGCCGCCGCGCCCCTCCTCGGCCGCCCCCGGCTCGGTCGGGCCGGCTCCGGGCGCCGCGTCTCCGCCGGCTCTTCCTCCTCCTCCTCCTCCTCCTCGTCCTCGGGCCGCCGCCGCCGCCGCCGCCGCCCGCTCCGCGCCTCCTCTGCCACCCTGCTCGCTCTCGCGCTCTCGCTGTCTCTCCCTCACCCTGTCTCTCTCTCCCTCCCTCTCTCCTTCCCTCCCCTCCCTCCGCCCTCTCCCCTCCCTCCGGGAGCCGGCAGAGGAGACATCGCCCCTCCCCGCGCCCCCAAACCTCGCCCATCCCGCCGCACCGCCGGCTCCGCCCCTCCTCCCCCACCGCCGGGTCCCCAAACCTGACTCCACCCACTCTGGTCCCTGTACCCCTTAACTATGGGGTTCTGCCCCTAAGCGTAGAACCCCAATACCACCCAGGACGCGCCCTCCCAGGGTGCGCCCTGCCCCCTTCACACACAGTTGGGGGCTCCTGGAAATAGATGTGGCCGGACGACACCCCCAAATGGGACAGAGAAGGTGGTGCGGTCCTGTCCTATCCACCCCCCCAAACTCCCTCTCTCTTCCCTCCCCCCACCCCGGGCACAGGGGCAGACGCATGTGGACACCTCCAACAGGCTCCCACTCCCCCCACGCAGGTGCGGCTACGAGCTGGCCCACCACTCAGGGCCATGCCCCCACATGCACGCATGCCCAGCTACACCCATGTCATTCCAGCCCGCCGCCCCCACCTACACCCGGCACCTCCGGGGTGGGGGGTGAGTGCCTGCCTCCCTGGCCCCCTCGGGCACTTGCAGGGCCACACCCCGTGCACCCACACACACCATGGCCATTCTCCAGATCGGAAAACTGAGGCGAAGTTCCTGGCAGTGCGAGGTCGCCTGGCTGCGAGGACAGGGTGCTGAGCACTCACCAGCCATTTCCCTGGGTCCTCAGCACACGTGTGTGCTGTGTGTGTGTGCATGCAGTCTGAGTCCGAGACACACCCACTGAGAGCCGGGGCAGCAGTGTCCCCTGAAGCTGGCTTCCGCCTACGGGCAGCACCTGCAGGGCTGCCAGCTGGGCACGGGCTCCTGCAGGGGGCAGGTGTGGGCTCACCTCCAGCTGCAGGCTGAGTGGGAGCTGGAGCCAGAGGCTGCCCAGTCTGGGCTGGAGGGGGAGGTATGGGAGTCTCCCTCCAGCAGCCAGCAGCCCAGGTGGGGAACAGCTGGGCCCCGGGCAGGGAGCATCTGCCGGTGCTGCTGGCACCTCGGGCAGCCATTCGCACTCCTGCCCTATGCCATGGCCCTGGGTGAGGGGGCTGCAGCCTCGCAGCAGGGGGAGGCACCTGAGACAGACAGACAGCACCCAGGCCCTGACAGCCCCCTCCCTGCCCCCATCTGGACTTTTCTCGGAAGGCTGTCCGGATGCCTTGGGCTCCCCCAGGACGTGTGCCCTGCTCTGAGTAGCAGCCGGAAACCCTGGCCAGCTGCCACGGCGCTGGGGACCTCCCGCAGGGCTGCTTCCCCTCAATCGTTGGCTCCCCGGAGCCCCACGTCTGCTGGCAGCAGCGGCCGGCTGGCCAGGCTGAGTGAGTTACTGGGGAGGAGTGGCACAGCTGCCCTGCTGCTCCCCTGCCTCTGGCTTTGCTGTCTCCCCTGGGGTTCCCCGGCCGCAGTCTCAGCCCCAGGGCCTGTTAGTCACCTTCCTCCTGGCACCTACTGTGCGGTAGCTGCTTCTCCATCTAGGTAAGTAGATTAAGCCGCTGCTTACGGTGCCGGCATCCTATAGGCTGCTCCACTTCTGGTCCAGCTCATGCGCATGGGGAAGATGAGGGCAGGCCAAATGCTTGAGTCCCTGCGTCCACATGGGGTCCCCTGATGGAGTTCCAACTCCCGCGTTCCCAGCCGGGCCCAGGCCTGGCCACCTGGGGGAGTGAACCCATGGACAAAGCATCTGTGAGTCTCTGTAATTCTGCCTTTCAAAGAAAGAAATAAATCTTAAAATAATAATAATAATAATAGAATCCCCGGGTTGAGTGTGGTACTCTAGCAGCTGACATGGGCGCTGGTTCTAATCCCAGCAGCTCCACTTCCCATCCAGCTCCTGCTTGTGGCCTGGGAAAGCAGTCGAGGACGGCCCAAAGCCTTGGGACCCTGCACCTGCGTGGGAGACCCAGAAATAGCTCCTGGCTTCGGACTGGCTCAGCTTCAGCCATTGTGGCCACTTGAGGAGTGAACCAGCAGATGGAAGATCTTCCTCTCTGTATATCTGACTTTCCAATAAAAATTAAAAAAAGAATTTTAAATAGAATTCCCATCTTCACTGGTAGCCGGTGCATGTAAATAAACAAAATGGTGCCTGTCTTGATCATATGGAAGATAAAATGGAGTGCTTTAAAACATTTTTGTCTGAAAAAAAGATTTAGAGGGCCCGGTGCGGTGGCCTAGTGGCTAAAGTCCTTGCCTTGCACTTGCTGGGATCCCATAAGGGCGGTTGGTTCATGTCCCAGTGCTCCACTTCCCATCCAGCTCCCTGCCTGTGGCGTGGGAAAGCAGTCGAGGACGGCCCAAGGCCTTGGGACCCTGTACCCGAGTGGGAGACCTGGAAGAAGTTCCAGGCTCCTGGCTTCAGATTAGCTCAGCTTCAGCCATTGTGGTCACTTGGGGAGTGAACCAACAGGAAGACCTTCCTCTGTCTTTTCTCCACTCTGTATATCCGACTTTGCAATAAAAAGACAAGGAGAGACAGAGAAGAAGATCTTCCGTCCACTGGTTCACTCCCCAAGTGACCCCAATGGCTGAAGCTGAGCTAATCTGAAGCCAGGAGCCAGGAGCCAGGAGCCTCTGCTGGATCTCCCACGCGGGTGCAGGGTCCCAAGGCTTTGGACCGTCCTCGACTGCTTTCCCAGGCCACAAGCAGGGAGCTGGGTGGGAAGCAGGGCTGCCGGACACACACCAGTGCAAAATGGAGTGTTTTAATGGAGTAACACGTGGAGGGGGCGGCGTGGTGGTACACTGCGTTAAGCTACAGCCCTTGATGACGTAATTCCATACCGTGAGGCCCCGTTCGGGTCTCAGCTGCCCTGATGGCCGTCCGTCTCCCTGCTCACGTGCTCGGGCCCTTGCACCTGCGTGGGAGGCCTGGCTAGAGCTCCAGGCTCTGCTTTTAATCTGGCCAGCCTCAGCCAGCGTGGCCATTTCGTTTTTTCACTCTGCCTTTCAAATAAATACATTACAATTAAGAAAAAAAAAAAGCATAACTTGTGGGATGAGATCCAATTTGAGGTGACTGTGGAGGGCCTGCAGAGGGGTGGGAGAGGGAGATCTTTCTAGAAGGAGGAAAAGAAGGCTGGCTCCAGGGTACTGAGGTGGAGAATGACAGACAGCAGCACCACAGAGAGGCTGGGCGGGGGCAGGGATGGGGTGTGCGGGGTGCAGGGGGCTTCCGGCCCAGCCCCCCACCCGGCAGGCTGTGCTGGCAGCCTCAGGCAGCAGCCTGGCTCCCCTCCTGCTTTGGTGCGAAGGTGGGGGAGCGACGGCATCTGATTTATGGTTTGGAAGGCCTTCTCTGGCGGAGGCAGGCTGCCGGGATCTGAGGGGCTCCCGGGAAAAGAGGGGGCAGGCAGGGAGGAGGGACGGCAGGTCCAGGCCAGGCCGGAGCGGGCAGAGGTGGCTGTCACCTTCTGTACTTCTCTCCACATGTGTGTGTGTGTGTCCCCAGCAAACACACACCCTCCGGGGCCAGGCGCCAGAGACTGGTCCTCTCCGGGCATGTGGGCGTCCAGCGGTCAAGGATAATAGTAACCCTGGGAGACCCTCAGACTGCTGCCTCCTCCCCCACCCCAGAGTGAGCGGGCCAAGCCCCAGCATCCACACCCCCCCCCCCCCCCCGGGCTGCAGGGCAGCGCTGGGGCTCCCTTAGGGAGTCAGATTTGCCCGGGGGGGGGCCCCGGGGGGGGGGGCTCCTTCCTGGTCTTCTGAGCTCTGTGGCAGGCAGGAGGAAGAGCTGGGTCCAGGCTGGACGTGAGCGCGCAGGGAAGCAGTTAACTGGAGGACTTTGGGGGTGGGGAGAAGTGGCAAGGCGGGACCCAGGCTTTGGAAAGTTGGAGTTTTCCGGCCACAGAAGCAGGGCCTCCTGGGAGCCAAGTGGGGCGGGGAGAGACACACACACAGCCGGAGGAGCCAGCCAGGACAGACGGGTGGCTAGTGACTGCCCCAGGGCCGGGGGCACTCAGAGAAGCCCCAACGACTCCCCCACATCTCGGTACCCTGGGAGCCCAGCCTGATGCAGGCAGCCTGGCTGTTGGGGGTCCTGGTGGTCCCCCAGCTCCTGGGCTTTGGCCAGGGGGCTCGGGGAGCTGAGCGGGAGTGGACAGGAGGCTGGGGAGGGGCTGTGGAGGAGGAACAGGACAGCGAGGCTTTGATGCTAAAGGTGAGAGGCGGGTATGCTGGGGTGGGGGGAGAGGGAACCAGGGTGGGGATTGGGTGGGAGGGCCCAGGGTGAGTGGGTTCAGAGACAGAGGGGACTGGGAGGCTGGGGTGTTCCAGGTGGGCAGGAGGGGGTGGGGGGAGGAGAGCAGGCTGGCCGCTGACCACTCCTCTGCTACGCCCCCCACCCTTCCAGCATCTGCAGGAGGCTCTGGGGCTGCCCTCCCATACGGGCGAAGACAATTTCACCGGAATCACCCTGGATGAGATCAGCCTGGATGAAGGGCTCTGGGGGCCCGAGGAAGAGCGGGGAGAGCCCAAGGGGAAGGAAGCTACGACAACACCAGCCCCCTCGCCCAGCCCCAGCCCGTCTCCTACCCAGGAGGACACGGTCACTTACATCTGTGAGTAACAACGAGCCTGGGACCCCCAGGCCCCAGCCTTGCCTCCGAGGGCCCCCGGCGCCCCGCAATCCCCCAGGTCCCCAGGTCCTCCAGCGGCGCGCCCTGTCCCTCCACAGTGGGCCGCCTGGCCGGCCTGGACGCAGGCCTGCACCAGCTGCACGTCCGCCTGCACGCGCTGGACACCCGCGTCGTGGAGCTGACCCAGGGGCTGCGGCAGCTGCGGAAGGCGGCGGACGACACCCGCGAGGCCGTGCAAGCCCTGCAGGAGGAGCAGGCCCGGGCCGGGCGCGAGCGTGGCCGCCTGGAAGGTGGGGGACACGAGGGCCTCGTGGGGGACGGGGCGTGAGTGAGTGTGTGGGGAGGACTAAGTTCCCCTGGACGGTCGGCTCTGCTGGCAGAGGGGGAGGCTCCCCGCTAGCAGGCCCGCTCCCCGGGGGGAGACCCGATTCTAGGCCTGGAGGACCCGGTGTGTCCAGCCTAGGCCGCGGCCCCGCCCTCGCCCCGCCCCCACCACCGAGGCCCCGCCCTCAACGTAAAGGCCACGCCCTCTCCCGCCCCAGCTCAAAGGCCCCGCCCTCGCCACTGAGGTCCCGCCCTCAGCACAAAGGCCCCGCCCTTTCCCCGCCCCAGCACGGAGGCCCCGCCCCGGGAAGAGTCTGAGCCCGCCTCTTTCCCACCTGGACCCGCCCACAGGCTGCCTGAAGGGACGGCGCGTGGGCCACAAGTGCTTCCTGCTCTCGCGCGACTTCGAGGCGCAGGCGGCGGCGCAGGCGCGCTGCGTGGCTCGGGGCGGAAGCCTGGCGCAGCCGGCTGACCGGCAGCAGATGGAGGCGCTGACCGGATACCTGCGGGCGGCGTTGGCGCCCTACAACTGGCCCGTGTGGCTCGGGGTGCACGACCGGCGCGCCGAGGGCCTCTACCTGTTCGAGAACGGCCAGCGCGTGTCCTTCTTCGCCTGGCACCGCGCCCCCAGCCCGTCGCCGCACCCGCTCAGCCCTAGCCAGCCCAATGGCGGCGCGCTGGAGAACTGCGTGGCGCAGGCCTCGGACGACGGCTCGTGGTGGGACCACGACTGCGAGCGCCGCCTCTACTTCGTCTGCGAGTTCCCGGTCTAGCGCGGCCCGTTCCCCGACCCCAGGACCCAGGCTGGCCCTGGTCCACCGGGCCCCGGCGCCCCCTCCGAGGCGCCCCTGGTGCAGCGTGCATGGGACGGGGCAGCAGCGGCCACCGGCCGCCTCCCCCTGCTCACGGGGCTGGCCAGCACGACCTGGCTCGCCCTGGAGCCCAGAACCTGGGCCTCGGCTTGGTTTGGGATCAAGGGATCCCCCAAAGACCAAGCGGCTTGCACCCCCAGGACCTTTCCCAGCAGGCAGGGCTGTCCCGCAGCTGCGCCCTTTCCCTCACGAGGCATTGGTGGGGCAGAGGGTCTTGGAGAAGTGTAGCCTTCCACGTGCATGTGTGGAAAGTCAGAAGGCACATGGTCCGTCTCACACACGTAGGTGCACTTCTCTGTATATCTGACTTTCAAATAAAAAAATCTTTAAAAATTGTTTTGAGTTATTAGGATTCCCATGGCTTGGAGGAGGGGGTCCCCGAATGCCGGTCGCCGTTGTCCACTGAGCCCCCAGCATGCCGCGGGCGTCTCCGAATGGCATGGCTGAAGACGAAATCTTGGCTGTTTTTGCAGTTTTTGCAGCAGCTTCGTGCTGGCTTCATCCTTGGCGCATCTGTTGACACAGCGAGCGCACGCGCACACACACACACCCAGTCTCCACCTGCCCCACTCCTGGCAGGGTGAGGTGATAGGACAAAATGGAAATGGACAGAGAGGTGCAAGGAGGGCGGTGGAGGACTGTCCCCTAAACCCTGCCTTGGGGGTCCTGGGGGGCCACGGCGTGGTGGTGGAGTGGGTGTGTGAGCAGGCAGGGGAGGTCAGAGGACTGGAGCGGAGAGGGAAAGCTGCAGGAGAACGGGAAGCACTGGGGACCTCGCGCCGCGCCCCTCGCCCCACGGTGGGCTCCACTGGGCTGTCCACTCTGCTGACCGCCTGGGAAAGGCGGTCCCGCACCGCCACCGTGTGGCCGGACGTGGGCTTACAGCTGGGCGCCCTTCTCCAGGTCGCAGGCGATAGAGGGCTGAAGTGCCAACCTGCTAACCGAGGAGGAGTCTGGCCTTTGCAGATACTGAGCTCAGAGAGCAAGACTTCTAAGTGCTGCAGAAAACAGGATAGGAGAGGCTGCCCCGCTGGAGCGGCGGAGAGGCAGGGCGTGGAGAGGGCTCTGGGGACAAAGGACTCCGGCCGCTATCCCTGGCTGCCCTCGGGGCCCAGATATCCACCTCCGCCAGCCTCAGAGTGAGGTGTAGGGGCGGGCTGAAGGGCTCCAATGCCATGCTCACCTTCTCTGCTTCGCTTTCGAACGCAGAGGCGAATCTCCATCCGCTGTTGCAGCGTTACCGACAGACGCATACTCATCACCAAAACCCAGAGATGGGCTGGCGCGGTGGTGCACCACATTGGGCCGCTACCTACCACGCCGGCATCCCTGCACCAGAGCATCCATTGCAGTTCCAGCTGCTCCACTGCCGGGCCAACTCCCTGCTAACACACCTGGGAAAGCAGCTAGGCACCATGTGACCGGGCCAACCCGCCATTGTGGCCATTGAGGAAAGGAACCAGTGGAAGGAAGCTCTCTTGTCTCTGTAGCTCCTTTCAAGTATAAATACATCTCAAAAATAAACAGATGCTGCATCCCAACCTTCACGGCTGAGTTTGGATCCCAGCCCCTCCTCTCTCACACCCAGGGGTCCAGCCCCTCCTCCCTCACACCCAGGGGTCCAGCCCAGCCCCTCCTCCCTCACACCCAGGGGTCCAGCCCCTCCTCCCTCACACCCAGGGGTCCAGCCCAGACCCTCCTCCCTCAAACCCAGGGGTCCAGCCCAGACCCTCTTCCCTCACACCCAGGGGTCCAGCCCAGCCCCTCCTCCCTCACACCCAGGGGTCCAGCCCAGACCCTCCTCCCTCACACCCAGGGGTCCAGCCCCTTCTCCCTCAGCTGGGATTCCTGGCCATGGCTGTGCGGAGGGGAGCCAGCTGGCACCATGTATGCTGCTGAAATCACATTTATTTGGGGTCAGAGCGGGAGCTATGGTTCAAGCGGAGGTGGGGCCGCTGCATTCTGGGCCTTCTTAGTGCTGAGCCTGCGCGAGGAGAGACAGGCATGCATAGAAAGAACGAGAAAGAAGGAGCTGGGTGACAGCCCCCTGCCCCGCCCCCTTGCAGCTCACCTTGTTGAAGAAGTAGATGGAGGCCAGGATGGTGAAGACGGCCATGGCCAGGGTCACGTTCTGCGGAGGGAGGGGCCGGAGGTTAAGACCCTTTCCCCCGGCTCTGCCCGCCTCACTCCCACGCTGGGGAGACCCCTCCTCACTTCTTGAAAGTTCATAGCCATGGGTACTCAGTGGGTGTTTGTTCCGCCTCTCCTCTCTCCCTCTCTCCGCTCTCTCTCTTCCTGGGCCTCAGAGGGGAGGAGCTGGTGGAATGGGGAGGGGCTGTCCGGGAGACCAGAATGGTAGCCATGGCTACCTGGGGAGGGCATTCTGGGTGGGGGACCTGGGAGGGGAGGGCCGGCAGGTGCCCGTGAACTTTAGGTTTCCCTGGGTTTCTGGGGGCAGTGGAGTGGCAGAGCCACCACGGGTGTGTAAGAACAGAAGCTGGGATTAGCACCAGAACCCAGGCACGCCAACATGGAGGGCGGCGTCCTCACCAGACGGCCAATGATGCCTGCCTTAACAGATGACTTCAGATTGTCAAGGAGACAGGGGCAGCTGCTGTCCCCTCACCTCCATCCCCGAGCCCGAGGTCATCCCGCCCCCTGTGGACAGACCTGCCCTGCCTGGCTGGGTGTCAGCTGGGGGCGGGGGGACCACAGCAGGTGCCCCTTTGCCTCTCTGAATTCTCCATGGCAGCTTGGGGGATGTGGACGCCCGGTTCTGGGCACCTGCTGGCCGCGCACTCATGCTGAATTGCCTTGGAAACGTGGAGAAAAGGGCCCAGGGTTAGAGACGAGGGTGGGTGTGCCTGCCGTCAGCCAGGTCCCCTCCTGCGGCGGTGGCTGCGATGGCCAGGGTATGATGAGTCAGCACACCCACCATTGCTCCTGGGGAGGAGATGGCCTCTTGTATTAACGGGCGTGTGGCCTTTTAAGCAGCCGACTTTATGGGGACACAGGGTGGGCGTCCCGCTACTAGTGAGACTGAGGGGAAGGCAGCTGATGATGCTTAACCCCTGCCAGCCACGAGCGAGACCCCAGTGGAGCTCCTAGCCCCAACCTGAGGCGCGAACTGGCGGATGGAAGACTTCTGTCCGACCCTCGGCCTTCCCCATTAAATAGACATCTATCATCAACGCTAATAGTCTTGTCAAGGAGGTGTCTGATGGCTGGAGTGCAGGGTGGCTTGCTTTGGTCTGTCTTGGTCCCACCTTCCTGTTTGTTAGAACACAACAGATACAGGGACCCAGAGAACAGGGGAACTCGGGTGACAGCCTTGGGGACCCCCGGAAGACGCCCACCCAACCCAGAGGCAGGAGGGACCTTGTCTTGCCATGGCCCGTCCTCCCGCCCTGGGGAAGCCAGCGCCGTGGACAGGTCCCCCAGCCTGCAGTGCTGCTGGTTCTGTCTGGCTCCAGGGTCCGGGTATTGCGTCCTGGGGGCCCTGCTGGCTCTAGGCCGCTTGAGGGGTTTAGGATGGGGAAAGAGACGGGCTACGGGTGTCGGATGAGTGGCATCTGGATTGACTGGGAATGTCCCCTGGCAGTCACACCATGCCGAGGTGGCCCATGGAAAATCCCGGGCTGCCAGCAGCCCGGCTGCCCCAGGGAGCTGGTGGTGCCCAGGGCGGGCTGGGGCCTGCCCCTCGGGAGGCAGGAGGCCCCCGGGTAATGAGTGGGTGGGGCTGCCGTACAGACACGGCTGAGCTCAGCGTCTGGCTGTGTGGACATGGCCGGGCCAGGGTTCGGGGGCCACCCCACCGGGCCGCTCCTGCCGCTGCTGCTGCTGCTGCTGCTGCTGCCACCCCTGGCCCTGCCGGAAGAACCCCTGGTTTTCGTGGCTGTGGTGAGCACCCCCCCACCCCTGTCACCCTCACCCCATCCCGGCCCCACCCTGCACCTGTCCTCCAGCCAGGCCCTGACTCAATCCGTCCCCCAGGTGTTCCGCCATGGTGACCGGGCCCCCCTGGCCTCCTACCCCACGGACCCCCACAAGGATGTGGTCTCCGCCCTGTGGCCCCGTGGCCTGGGCCAGCTGACCGGGGTGAGCAGCAGGGGTGGGGGCAGGGGTATGGGGGGAGGGCGGCTGCTGAAGCTCGCTCTGTCCCCAGGAGGGCGTCCGCCAGCAGCTGGAGCTGGGCCGATTCCTGAGGAGGCGCTACAAGGCCTTCCTGAGCCCGGAGTTCCGGCGGGATGAGGTACCGCATGTTGGCCTCTCAGCCTCGACCCCTACCTACCGCAACACTGTCCCCGGGTCTCGGCCTCTGGTCTCTGACCTCTGCCAACCAAGCCTTCACCTCGCTTAATCATCTCTGGCCTGAGTCATGCTTTGACCCCTGACCTTTGTCTGCTGGCCTCCACTGGATCTGAGCCTCTGGGCTCATGCAGACTCCCTCGCCTCTGACCCCGGAACTCCAAGGATTCTCTGCTGTTGATTCAATTGCCTTCCTGACTTGCAGCCTTTGACCTCTGACCTTCATCAGTACTGATCTGCTTTCATTTCCGCTGACATTCCCCAGTTAGGACCACTTCTCCTGAACTCTCATCTTTGACAAACCTGTATGAACTCTGACTGGTGTTTGACCTTGACCTCTCCCCTTCCCCCATTCTGACCCTCCCTGACTCAGCTGAGCCATGACCCGCATCCTCTGCCTTCTGCCACTGCGCTCTGACCTTTGATCTCTGACGGGAGAACCTGCTCCTCCCACACCTCGCGTGATCCCCACGCGCGCTCTCCCCACCCCGCACAGGTGTATGTTCGCAGCACCGACTTCGACCGCACCTTGGAGAGCGCCCAGGCCAACCTGGCCGGGCTGTTCCCAGAGGCGGCGCCGGGGCGCGCCGAGGCCGACTGGAGGCCCATCCCTGTGCACACGGTGCCCGTGGGCGAGGACAAGGTCAGGGGGCTGCCCGGGGCTGGGCCCAGGGGACGCGGGCTGAGTGCAGGGGGCGCAGGGCGCACGGGGTGCGCGGATGCCAGGGGCGCAGGGCGCACGGAGCGCGGGCTGAGTGCAGGGGGTGCAGGGCGCAAGGGGCGTGGGAATGCGGGGTGAGTAGAGGCGGCGCAGGGCGCACGGGGCACGCGGATGCAGGGGGCACGAGTTGAGTGCAGGGGCCGCAGGGCGCGAGGGGCGTGGGGATGCGGGGGTTGCGGGTGGAGTGCAGGGGCCGCGGGACGTGCATGGCACGAGGGGCGGCGGAGGGGACCCTGAGCCGCGCTGTTACCCAGCTGCTGAGGTTCCCCATGCGGAGCTGTCCGCGGTACCACGAGCTGCTGCGCGAGTCCACCGAGGCCCCGGAGTACCAAGAGGCCCTGGAGGGCTGGACGGTGAGCGGAGCCGGTGTGGGAGGGCACGAGCCAGCGCGGAGACCCCCGAGGCTCACGCGGCACACCCTTCCCTCCCACCCAGGACTTCCTGGCACGCCTGGAGAACTTCACCGGGCTGGCACTGGTTGGGGAGCCGCTCCGCAGGGCGTGGAAGGTTCTGGACACCCTCATCTGCCAGGTGAGCCTCCCCCACCGCGCCTCGGTTTCCTTGTCTTCCCCACGGGGGTGGAGAGAAGACCTGGAGCAGCAGATCGTAACTCAGGGGCAAGGGGGCGCCCTGGGTGCGCACCCCGGGTACCAGGGCAGGACCCCAGCTATGGGCGCACCGTTATAGCCTCTCTGACCCCTCTCGGCAGAGAGCCCACGGCCTGCAGCTCCCGTCCTGGGCGTCCCCTCACGTCCTGCGGACGCTCGCCCAGATCTCGGCCCTGGACATTGGTGCCCACGTGGGCCCACCCAAGGCGGCGGAGAAGGCCCAGCTGAGTGGGGGTGAGTGCAGGGCCAGTAGCCGGGCAGCCTCGGTGCGGAGCGGGGAGGGCGGGGTGCCTCGGCCAAGGGGCGCCTCGGTGCGAGATGGGGAGATGTTTTGAGCGCAGTTCTTTGCTCCCAGGGATCCTGCTGGACGCCATCCTGGCCAACTTCTCCCGGGCCCAGCGCCTGGGGCTGCCCCTCAAGATGGTGATGTACTCGGCTGTGAGTCCTGGGCAGGCGCTAGAGGGGTGACAGCGGACTTGGGGCCAGGGCTGTGTTCCCAAGCTCCCTCGTGCGGGGACAGTGCTGAGCGGCCAGCCGTCCCAGGCTGCAGCGGGTGGAAGGGTCTGGGTGGGAGCTGAGGGCCTGGGGGCGGGGGCTCAGCCATCCCAACGCCCAGTCCTCTGGTGCCCGCAGCACGACAGCACCCTGCTGGCCCTCCAGGGAGCCCTGGGCCTCTACGACGGCCACACGCCGCCCTATGCCGCCTGCCTGGGCTTCGAGTTCCGGAGACGCCTCAGGGACCCTGGCGCCGACGGAGGGTGAGGCCGGGTGGCTGGGGCGCACGGGGGCGGTCGCACTGGCCGGGCAGGCCAATGAGGAGGACCCGTCTCTCCTCTCCCCTGCAGGAACGTCACCATCTCCCTCTTCTACCGCAACGACTCCGCCCGCGCGCCCCTGTCCCTCAGCCTCCCCGGGTGCCCCGCGTCCTGCCCGCTGGGCCGCTTCCGCCACCTGACGGCCCCGGCTCGGCCCCCCGCGCAGGGCATCCCCTGCTATGGCGTCTATGAGCCCGCCACCTCCCCAGGTGACGGCCTTGTGCGCTGGGGGTGGGAGCCCGGGGAGGCCAGGCCGGCAGACTCACAGCCCCCGTGTTCCTCCCGCAGCCACCGCGGTGCCCCTGCTGGCTGGAGCCGTGGCCCTGCTGGCAGCGCTCAGCTTGGGGCTGACCTTGCTGGCGCGGAGACCGGCCTGCCTGCGGGCCTGGGGGGGTCCCGTGTGAGCTGGGAAACCAGGGCACCCCCTCCCCTTAGCTGACACTGGACCCCAACACGTGTGCTCCCACCCCCGCTGCCGTGGCTCCTGTGGTTCACTGGGGTCGGGGGACTGTGCGAGTGAGGACACGCATGGCCAGGGGGTCCCTGGGTTGGGGTCAGAGGTCAGGTTCACGTTTTGGGGTGGGGAGGGGGCAACAGAGGACATGGCCGGAAGGCTACAGCAGAGGGAGGGCAGCATGCCCAGCTCCCAGAGGCAGCTCCAGGTGGGGAGTGGTGGCAGGGGCTGTGTAGACCAGTCCTGGGGGGCTGGGCACTCATGGTCCCCCGTCTTCAGTCACTTCAGCAAGTGGGCTGGCCAAGGGATGGCCTCGCCTAAGGGTCCCTAACATTCCTGATTGTTGGCACCCCCACTGGGCTGTGGGCAAATCCCCTTGCCTGGACTTCAGGTCCCCTGTGTGTCCACCCCCAACCAGGACCCCGGCTGCCCCTCCCCAGCCGGGCACAGCAGGAGGGGTGAGCCAAGCAAAGACAGACAGCAGTGTTGGAACACGTTTATGCATTCAGAAATTTCCAGAACTTTCCCAAGGCTGTGAACCCGAGAAATGGGCCCTTGGGCTCCTGTGGCCACGCACGGGTCACGTGGGTAAGGACATCCCTCCGTGGTGTCCTGCAGTGGATGGAAATGACGGCAGCCTGGGCAGCTCCTCCCACAGGCCCGGCCGGCGTGGCTGCCCGACACGCAGGGGAGCCCCCAGGCCTGGGCTGGGCCCCGAGGTCAGTGCCGGCCCGTGAGGGCTGCTCAGGGTCTCCTGGGCTGTGGAAACTGGTGTCAGGGGCCAGCCCCCCAAGCTAGGGGACTGTGTCTTCATGAGGTTGAGGGGGTCTCATGCCTGTCCCCCAGGTCCATCTGGTGGCCATGGCCGTCCACGGCAGGGAACAGCGAGCTGCGGGCAGAAGGCCAGAGAGAAGGCGTGAGGTGCAGAAGGGCCACCCCCACCCTGCACCCTGGGGACTGGGACCCTCAGAACCCCTGGGTGTCAAAGGCCCAGGGAGCACAGCGTCCTCAGGAGGGGTCGGAGCCCAGTGCTGGGCATCATGGGGGTCCCCAGGCCCGGCCTGGCAGGTGCCCTGACCGCGGCTAGCCGCACGAGCCCCCGGGGCAGCCCGCGGTCTCACCTGGCATGGCACAGGAAGCTCCGGCGTCCACTGGGATCACCTGTTGGCAGAAGAGGGGGGTCAGCGAGGTGCAAGGTAGCCAGGGGTGTCCTTCCCTCCCCCGGGATGGCTGGACCCCAGTGCTGGCCACATGGGGACCGCCCAGCCTGCAGGGGTGTCACCCCGAGCCACGCGGCTCCTGCCCGCCTCCACCATCTAGAACATTCGGCAGCCCCTGTGGCGTGTCCACGGGGAGGTGGGCAGGCCTGCCCGCACACCGGAGCTGCAGCGCAGGGAGGACTTTGGGGGGAGCAGGGCCCCCGTACCCCGAGCTCGAGACTCCTCAGACCCCCGGGTGTCAAAGGTCCCGGGGCGCACTGCGTCTTCAGAGGTGGTCAGAGCCCAGTGCTGGCCATCACGGGAGCCCCGATTCGCAGGGACCCCCCACTTCTGCATCCGCTGCTGTGTTGGGGGTAGCTGCACGCTCCGCTACGCTCGGCACGGGAGGCGCCCGGGCCCGCGCTGACCCAAGGGCAGTAAGGCCGAGCGGACGCAGCCAAACCCGCCCTGCAAGGGCCCCCGGTCCCCGTCTGGGTCCCCCCAAGACCGGGCGCTGCTCCTCACTCATCGCCAAGATGGCGCCAGCCAGCCATGCCCGCTGAGGCGGGAGGGGAACCGCCAGCGCCGAGCCCCGCGACCCGCGACCCAGCCCACGGCCACGGCCGCCTCACCTCGCGCTCCACAAACCTCCACACAGGCAGCGAACCCCGAAAAGCGGCCGCACGCCGCAAGCCGCTCCCCTTTAATAGCGCGGGCTCTCGGCCCTGGGGGCGTCCAGGACGCGCGCCTGTGCGAAAACGCAGCTTCGGTGCCTGCAGGCGGCAAGGCCTCCTTTTTTGCCTACAATCTTCCCGAATAAGTGAGGAAATCATCTCTCTTCAGGCGAAAAATTATATATTTAAGAGTTATCCAGCACTGCTGCTTTGTCACTGGCATCAGGCAAATCTGAGGACAGCACTCCGGACGAGCCGGGACAAGAAAGGACCCCGGGGGAGGGGGCGGGGCGAGAGAGAAAGCGCTGGAAGGGCGGGCGGTGCCGGGAGGTCGGGACGGCGGGGCCGGACACTGGGAGGCGCCGTGCGAGCCCGGGGCGGAGGGCGAGCCCCGGCCGGGACGGACGCGGGGCCAGGTCCGCCAACCGGCGGCCTGAGCAGGGAGCAGCTGCGAATGCCAACATGGCGCCGCACTCAGCGCGCCCTCTCCCCGTGATGCACTGCGCGCCGCACTTCCCGTCATGCACCAGACGCCATGACACCTTCCTAGAGGCCCGCCACGTGCGCAGAAGCCCCTCCCCTCCCCGCCCCCTTGGTTAGGCCACGCCCCAAGCCTATAAAAGCGGAGCCCGCGGCTCAGTCCATTGCAAGCTCTTGCTTGGCTGTCGGGGTTTTGACTCTTCTCCGGCCGCTCGCTTTGGAATCGGCATTTTAAAACTTCTTCCAGGAACCGGGGGCCTCCACCCTGTGGTGTTCTGGGTCATTCTCCCCAGAGAGCCGAGTTCTCCGTGTGGTCCGCGGTCCTGCCTGGGAGCTGCGGGTCCCTGGGGAGAGGGAGGCGGTGTGGGGCGTTTCTGGGGAAGGAGACGTTACTCAGGGTTGTGGAGGGCAGGGAGGAAGCTCCCCGCGCTGGTGTGCCTGGGGGAGACCGGGAGCCCCAGCTCTTCGCCTCTGATCCCTTCCCGTCCCTCGCCGTCCGCTGCACGGAGCTGGAGGCTGGCGGCCCCACAGAGTGCGTCCAAAGTCGTACTTTCAAAAATACTGATTATTCCTCTGGGACGCGGGGACTGACAAGGAAACAGGACTGGCAGGTGCTTGGCGCGGCGCGCACGGAGGGCTAAGTCCAGTTGCCCTCGAGTGCCAAAATGAACCAGAAATTCATGTAATTCAAGTAGGACAGGAGACCTAGCGAGGAAGAGCGGGGAAGGTGAGACGCAGCTCTGCACCACACGTCCCACATCGGAGCAAAGCAAGCCGCACCCCGGCCCGCAGCCCCCAACTCACCCAGGCCACGCCCACACCACACAGCCCCGCCCACTCATCCAGACCACGCCCACCCATCGCCCAGGCCGCGCCCACACCACTTAGCCCTACACACGGCCCAACCCTGCCAGACCCCACCCACTCACCTATGCCACGCCCACCAGATCACGCCCACCCACTCAGCCAGGCCCTGCCCACTTAGCCAGCCACATAGGCCCCGCCCACCCGGTCCCACTAAAGCCCAGCCTAACCTGACCTCCCCGGCCCCGTCCCGCTTCTCTCGGCCCTGCCCACCTCCAGACCACGCCCACAGCCCCGCCCCATCCGTCAGGCCCCGCCCCACCCTGCAGGCCCCGCCCAGACCCGCCTGGCACTGACCGGCCAGCAGGAAGAAGGCGGCTCCGGCCCATGCCATGTAGAAGCTGACGCCCAGCCTGTAGGTCATGCCTTCCTGCAGGAACTGGCTGGCCTGCAGCAGGTAGAACAGCACCCCCAGCACCATGCTGGTTGCTGCAGGGGGCCAGGGGTTAAGTCACCCCATAGCTCCCACCCTTGGCCCTACAGGCTGAGCAATCACTGGGTCTCAGCCTGTCCCCCACAGAGCGGCACAGTCAGGGGACCCACCAGCCCCTGCGGCGGACTCCTCCGTCCCTGTTTATCGTGTCGGGTCTGCATTTTGAGGGCTTCTGTGTTAACTGGTTTTAAAACCAACGTGGTGTCTTCCCTCTCTGTTCTTGGGAAAAGCTACTAGGCCAGCCGGATGATATCCGTCACAAAGGATCAGGAAGTCAGAGGGCCTCGTGCTCACCCTCCATGGGCGAGCAGATGGGAGCAGTGTGAGCCAAGCTGCAGGGTGGGGCGTGCGAACAGTGTTAGAAGTCGAAGTTTGAGTGGCGACGTGGGGGTATTGGAGGCGGATGAGGGTGCAGTTGGGCACAGGGTGGGTGTTGGTTCTGAGAGTGAGGGTCGCAGGTGGTGGGGGCAGTGGGTGAGTGTGACAAGGGTCGGAGTTGGAGATTGGCAAGGGTCTGCGAGGCCCTGGGGCCCTGGATGAGGGACCCCTGCCCTAGCCCTGTGGTCCCTGGGGCCCTGGGTGAGGGACCCCTGCCCTAGCCCTCTGGTCCCTGGGGCCCTGGGTGAGGGACCCCTGCCCAGCCCTGTGGTCCCTGGGGCCCTGGGTGAGGGACCCCTGCCCAGCCCTGTGGTCCCTGGGGCCCTGGGTGAGGGACCCCTGCCCAGCCCTGTGGTTCCCGAGCGGAGTCTCTGGCGTGGCACCTGTCAGGATGCTGCTGAGGAAGATGGAGAAGTCGAGCACGGGCAGGTTGGAGGTGGTGAAGAAGATGGTGCTGATGAGCGTGAAGAAACCATAGATACTGCAGATGCTGGAGAAAACGAAGCAGGTCCAGGCCAAGTCCAGCAGGTCTGCGAGAGAGGCAGAGGTTGCAGGTGGGGCCTGGTCACCCGCCCTCCCCACTGCCCCACGGCTTCGCGGGTGGGCAGGCCATTGACGTTGGGGGTCTGCAGAGCTTGTCGGTGGAGGGCGGAGAGGACCCCCCCCAGGGATGGGAGGAGGGGGTCCTTACAAGCATTCTGGTCGTACTCGTGCAGGCAGGAGCTTTCCGGGCACTGTACGAAGAGCACCGTGTTGATAAGGATGCGTGGGGGGCTCTCCCGCTCCCTGGCAGGTCCCAGCGGCACCTGGAAGTGCATCCAGGGCTGGCCCAGAGACACAAGGGTGATGGTGAGGATGCCAGCCAGCGTCAGCACCAGGCTGGTGTAGCGTGTGATCCTCTTGGCGTTGTGCAGCAGTCGCCAGCAGACGGGGAACAGCAGCTGCTCATGGCCCTTGTGAGCCCTGAGACAGACTGCCCGTGTCAGCGCCTCGCCCAGCCCTCCCCCGGCCCCGTGCCCGCACCCTGCTCCGACCGTCTCACCGGGAGGAAGGGTCGCCCACTGAGATGGCTGCCGTGAGGCTCTGGTCGTCCTCCAGGCTGTCCTGGTCGGGCTGGAGGCTGTAGGACCTGTCCCCGAGGCTCTCCTGGGAACCCCAGATCACCACAGACTCCAGGTTGCTGATGCTGCTTTGGGGACTGTGAGTGATGGACGGGGGCACGTCAATACTGCACCGCGCCTGGGAAGCCAGGCTCTGTTTTCTTGTCTGCATTGTCAGGTTGTTGCGGGAACTGGCTGAGTCCACGCTGGCCAGCGAAGGGAAGGCTTGCAGACTGAAATGGCGCCTTTGCAAAGCCAAGTGATCATCTCGGACGCTGGCCCTCCGAGGGCTGCCCGACGGGAGGGGCTCCTGCACGCTGGCCCTCCGAGGGCTGCCCGAGGGGAGGGGCTCCTGCACGCTGGCCCTCCGAGGGCTGCCCGACGGGAGGGGCTCCTGGATGCTGACCCGGCGAGTTCTCAGAGCTGGTCGAGGCTCAGGGCTGCTGTCCTGAATAATGTCTGCAGTCTCAGGGGGTTCCTGGACGCCGGCCCTCCGAGGGCTCCTGGACGGGAGGGGCTCCTGGATGCTGACCCGGCGAGTTCTCAGAGCTGGACGAGGCTCAGGGCCGCTGTCCTGAGTGATGTCTGCAGTCTCAGGGGATTGGGATTCCTGGCTGCTGGACCTCCGAGGGCTGTCCGATGGGAGGGGCTCCTGGAGGTTGAGCCTGTGGTTGTAGGTGACTGGGTGAGAGACTGGTCCCCTGGCATGGCCTCTGTTGGGAGCTGCTGGCTGAGTCCCCTGGGGGTCAGGCCTTTGAGACATGGGCAGGTACCGGTGCTTGGATGTGCTCTGTCACCAATTGCCTCAGCCCCTCCTTCTGGCCACAGCCAGCCAGCCACAGCCCCTCCTTCCGGCCACAGCCACAGCCAGCCAGCCAGAAGCACAGTGGCCCCTCCTGGGACTCAGGCACAGTTCCTCACGTTGGCATCTTTGTTCCTTGTCCACGGCTTCTTGTTCCCTGTGGCTATTCCCCCAGCAGGGATCGGGGGCACGGCCCAGCCCGCCGCAGGGAAATTCCGTGGCAGTTGGAGGGTTCCAGGATGTCGGCCGTGGCCTCAGACTGCCCTGATTCCCTGCGTGAGTGACACGAGGCTGGGGCTGGGCCGGGGTGGCCTCGGTGCGCGGTCAGATGAAATCCCAATGAGGTACAGAAGGGCTTCGATTGGGCCAGGGCAAACCAGGTGGCACTAGGGGTCGGGGTTGGCGGGGCAGCGGCACCTCTGGTGTGCCTTTTCTTGGTGTAGGGAGGGCCTGAGCCCCGGGTCGTCCTCCCTGTCTCCCGGACCTTTCCAGGAATCGGGTTCATTCCTCCATTCCATCTCCGGTCTCATGGCTTTTCTTGTTGCCTTCTCCATCTCCGTCTCCCGTCGCCTCTCCCTGGCGTCTCAGGGACCATGAGGTTGCCCCCACCCCGGGCTCTAAGATGCCAGCTGAGGCTTGGCAGAGGAGGCAGAGGGTCCTTACGTCCCCCGGGTCCCCTACCAGTGTCTGGCTGCTCCACTTCTGATCCACGAGGCACCTGGGAAGGCAGGACTCCGGCACCCATGTGGGAGCTCCTGTCCGGCCCTGGCTGTTGCAGCCGTCTGAGGAGTGAACCATACGTACATATATATAAATATAAATAAATAAATAAGCAGCAGGAGTTCAGACACCCCAAGTCCTTTCTGTTATTTTTTAACATGCTCTTAAATTAAAAAAAAAAAAAGCCATACACACATCTTTTTATTTATTTTTTCTTGGCAAGGCAAATGTATAGAGACAAGGAGAGACAGACAGATCTTCTGTTGGCTGGTTCACTGCCCAAGTGGCCTAAATGCCCGGAGCTGAGCCAATCTGAAGCCACGAGCTTCTTCCAGGTCTCCCACACGGGTGCAGGGTCCCAAGGCTTTGGACCGACCTTGACTGCTTTCCCAGGCCACAGGCAGGGAGCTGGATGAGAAGTGGAGCAGTTGGGACATGGACCGTCACCTATATGGGATCCCAGCTTGTGGAAGACAAGAATTTAGCCACTGGACGTGGTGCTGGGCCCTCCACATGTGTTTTTTTTTTTTTAAAGATTTATTTTTATTATTTTTTCATTGGAAAGGCAGATATACAGAGAGGAGAGACAGAGAGGAAGATCTTCCGTCCGATGATTCACTCCCCAAGTGAGCGCAACGGGCCGATACTATGCCGATCCGAAGCCAGGAGCCTCTTCCGGGTCTCCCACGCGGGTGCAGGGTCCCAAAGCTTTGGGCCGTCCTCGACTGCTTTCCCAGGCCACAGGCAGGGAGCTGGAAGGGAAGCGGGGCTGCCGGGATTAGAACCGGCATCCATATGGGATCCCGGGCGTGCGAGGCGAGGACCTTTAACCACTTGCGCCACCGTGCCGGGCCCTCCACATGTGTTTTTAATGTCTTTAATTCAATAAGTATATGGTATGTTTTTTAAAAAAGCTTTACTTTAATTGTAAAGGTTTATAGAGAGAAGGGGAGACCGAGTGAAATGTTGAATCTGCTGGTTCACTGCCCTAAATGGCCGCAGTGGCCAAGCCCGGGCAGGCTGAAGCCAGGAGCTCTTCCAGGTCTCCCACACAGGGGTAGGGACCCAGGGCCTTGAACCATCCTCCACTGCTTTCGCAGGTACATCAACAGGGAGTGGGATGGAAAATGGAGCAGCCGGGACTCAAACCGGTGCCTGTGTAGGATGCTGGCATGGCAGGCGAAAGTTTTAGCTGCTGTACCACAGTGCGGCCCCCACGCTAGGATGGTTTCATGCACACAGAATATTACATTCCACAGACTCAAGGACACCACCCTGAATGGTGTTGGGCAGAGTGGTTTTTATGATGCTACGGTTGGGGTGGCTGTCATGACACAATGGGTAGGCTGCTGCTGGAGACACCTGAGTCCCATATCGGGTGCCTGCGTGAGCCCTGGTTGCTCGGCTCCTGAACCAGCCGTCTGCTGCTGAGCCCGGGAGACTGCAACGGCTGAAGCTGAGGTGATCCAAAGCCAGAAGCCACGAGCTTCTTCTGGGTCTCCTACACGGGTGTGGGGGCCCAAGCACTTGGGCCGGCCTCTACTGCTTTTCTAGACTGTAACCAAGGAGCTGGCTTGGAGTGGAGCAGCCGGGAAAGAAACTGGTGCCCAAATGGGATGCCAGTGCCACAGGTGGAGAATTACCTTGCTGCGCCCCTATGCCAGCCCCAAAAAGAAATATTTGAAACCATGCTACAGGTGGTATATGACCGCAGTTTCAGAAAAGGGTGCATTTTTGCATTAGTCGCAAAGTGCACGGTTCTCTGGAGGATTAGTTGAGATTCGTCTGGTCACCTGACACTCCTTGTCTGGCTCCCGTGGTCGGCTGGGCTGTGCGTGGCCTGCTGCTGTAGGCACTGGGCCACGGTGAATGCTGAGTCTCCCTCTGCCCCTTCCCGAGTGTGAACCGCTCTATGGCCAACCCTGGATCCTGTGGTCATGGAGCTGCAAGGGAAGTTGGGAAATGGAGCCTGCATCCCAGCTATGCTGGGCCCAGGTGGGTACATCAGGTCCTGTGTGCTGGTGCCCAAGGAGAAGGACCCGGTCTGGACCTGGCTAGCTGACCCCCTCCTGTGGCACGCTAACCGTATTCGGGCTCCCCCAGGTGCCATCTGCGTGGGGTACGCCTGCGTGGGGTACACCTGGACCGTCAGCCCACAGAGGGTCGGTGCTCAGTAAACGCTTGTGGGTTGGATCCGTTATTTTCTGCCTCCACCCATTCACTCACTCATTCATTCTTCACTTTGCTAACCAAGTGTGCTGAGCCGTGGGGATGCAGCAGGAAGACAAACAGATGTGTCTCGTGCCCTTGTGGGGGTTTGTCCAGGCAGGGTGGTGGGATCAACAGCCAACTGTGTTAACCAGCCCCAAGTGTGCGGTGCATGTCACCTGGAGGCCTGGCGGCAGTGGGGTGCCAGAGATGAGGGAAGTGCCTGGGGTCGGCTGGGCTGAGGGGAGGGACAGATCTGCCCCCTATCGCCCCGAGGGAGGAGCGGGAGGGTGTGAGATGACAGGGGCTAGGGGTCTGTCTTCACAAGCATGACTTGGGTGGCTTGGGGATGGCGCTGGAGGGGCAGCTGAGGCCGTCGGGGTGGGGGTGGCAGGACAGAAGCCGAGGTGGCTGGGGTTGGAGAGCTCGCTGTGGGGACCCGGCTGTGTTGGGGCAGGCCAGGATGCACGAGAAGTCTCTTCTTCCCTCAGAGGACCTCGTGTTTACCTGGGAGGAGAATCGCAAGTTCATCCTGCGGGGCTGGTCTCTCGCCTTCAGCATCCTGGCCACCGTGATGGTGCTCAGTGTGACGGACGGGCGCATGGCCTACTTGCAGGGCCCCCATACGGGCTACCTGGGCTTCTGGACTGACTGCAAGAGGCACCAGTGTGCTGTCAAGGGCCAAGTGACAGGTGAGTGGGAGCCGGCACAGCCCCAGGGGTCTCTGTGGGGTAGTGGTGGTGGGGAGTGGGTGGAGGTGTGGGGAGCCGGCACGGCCCGTGGGTCTCCGTGGGGTGGTGGCAGGGGTGGAGGTGTGGGGAGCCGGCACGGCCTGTGGGTCTCTGTGGGTGGCGGCGGGAGACGGGTGAGCTGGCCTGTGGTCTCTGTGGGGTAGTGGTGGTGGGGAGTGGGTGGAGGTGTGGGGAGCCGGCACGGCCCGTGCGTCTCCGTGGGGTGGTGGCAGGTGGAGGTGTGGGGAGCCGGCACGGCCCGTGGGTCTCCGTGGGGTGGTGGCAGGGGGTATCTTTGCAGCGACTTTGAAGGGTGTGTTGTGGAAGTGCTGCTGAGGGGACTCTGAGGACTCAGTGGGGGCCGACCGGGGCTGTCTGTCCCCCCAGTTCTCATCCACATGAGCAAGGGCTTCATGCTGCTGGCTCTGGCCACCTGCCTGGTCCTGCTGCCGGCCATGGGTGTCTCCTTCTGGCGGGCCTTCCGCAGCCTCAGCAAGATGGACCTGGTCTTCAGCTCCCTTAGCATCAGCATTGGTAATGGAGGGGATCCCCTTGGGGGTGCAAGGGGGTGCCCAGAGCTGGGGACTGGGGTCACTCCCTGTGCAGCCCCTTGCTGGTCTCTGGTCCCCATCCCAGTGCAGGCCTCTTGATTGCTGTCAGCCTGATCCTCTTTGCTGTCAACTGCGAGTCGCTGTACCCCAGGCCACAGGTGTCCTACCTGGTCACCTTCTACCTGAGCTGGTGTGCCAGCGCCTTGATGCTGTGGGCTGGTGAGGGTACCACCTCGCCTCCGGGGAAGGGGTGGGGAGGGGCCGGAGGCCCAGGAGGGCCTGGGCAGCTCCGGGGGTGGGGGGCGGAGGGTGGTAACCCAGGCCCACCTGGCCCCCTCCTGCAGGGGCCCTCTCCTACTTGAACCAAGCGGGCATGTGGAGCAGGGGGTCGCCCTCCCGCCGGCAGCAGATGAACTACCGTAGGTGGGCCTCGCTGCGCGGGGCCTTCAGGTTTGCTTCCGAGCTGCAGCTGGCAGCAGAGGTTGGCCCAGTACCCGGCCCAGACCCGGACACACCGACTGCCTGCACGGTCAAGGGCCAGCGCAGCAGTCCGTCTCGGACATAACACAGACGCTGCTTGTGACGACGTGGACCAGGGTCCGTGCCACATACCCCCCGGACCCGCCCGCCCTCGGTGGCTTCCTCCCCGCCCGTGGGTCCCACACCTCTACACTCGTGCTCCTACCCGGGACTCTGATGCCTGCTTCCTGCTCTCTCCATCTCTTTGGGAAGTTCCCTCCAGGGTCTCAGCCCGGAGTGACTCTCCATCCAGAGCTCTGGTCTGCTTCCCAGAGCCCCCATGCCCTCCGCAGGAGCACATCCACTCGCTGCGCAGGCTTGGGCAGGACAGGCCCCTCCTCAAGGGGGGCGTGATTTGTAAGCATCGGCTGGGCGTCTCTGGCTTGTCCCTCTGCCCACGCACCCCCAGCTTTCCCGGTCTGTAGCCTCACTTGCGGGGCGGGGAGGAGGGTCGGGGGGTCGGTCCTCGGAGAATGACAGACTTTAACCCGCTTCTGCTGTATGTTCTGTGTTTACTGGAGGCGGGGAACTGGCGGGGGAGGGCAGGGCAGACACGAGTCAGGGGTTTTGCGCCATGGTGTCCCGGATCCATTGCACGTAGGACAGCACTCGTGTGTACACGGCGGGTCTGTGGGGCTTGCCACAGGGCACGGGGCCCCAGGACACGGTTCCTTGGAGCACACCTTCGCAGACCAGTGGGCCCCCAGAGTCGCCCTGGGAGGAGGGAGAGAAGGAGAGAGAGTGACCACAAGGCCAGCTCCAGGGCTCATCCCAGAGAGGCCCGCACCCCTGCGTCCAGAATACAGGGCTAAAGGGGATGGTTGTGTGGAGGGGTGAGGCGGGCAGGGTTGGGGTCCCAGGAGAGGGAGGTGAGGCACTAGGGCCGGTGGGCTAGCAGCTGGGACAGGTGCACCCCCCAGGCCTGAGCCCTCCTCCCCCTGGCCCAGAAGGGGACACTGGGCTCACCAGACAGGTGTCCTTGCCGCCCTCTGGGTAGCCGGCACACAGCATGAATGGCGTCACTTTATAGGTGTGGTTTTTCTTACATTCGGCATTGCTCTGTATGTCGAGCTGCAAACACTGGAGTTCGTCTGGGAATGAGACTGGGGTGCCCAGGGAGAGTGAGGGCTGTGGCCGGACCCGCGCCAGGACCCTCAGCCCTCCCCGTAACACCCGGGCCCTAACGTACAGTTCTTTGGCGGCGTGGTACTGCCCCAGCCCGAGGTGAGGCAGGTCGTCCCTACCGGGACCTCGTGGGTGGGCAGCTTGAGCAGCTGCACGGCATCCGAGAGGGTCACGGGCTCGGCCAGCCGTAGCAGCATGATGTCGTGGCTGAAGTCCTCGTCCGGTTGGCGCGTGTGGTTTTCCAGGAGCGACATGTTGAAGCACGGGTGTGGGAAGCTGCCGGTGACCTGGGCGTACTGCGCTTCCGGCTCGTGCTCAAATAGGTTGTGGCGACCGACCCACAGCTGGTAATTTCTAGGCACAGGTGGAGGAGAGGTGGAGGAGGTGAGGACAGAGCGGTAGAAGGGAGGAGGGTAAGGGGATGGGGGGTGCTGGGAGAGGAGGGAGAGTGTGGCAAGCAGGGGCAGAGAAGCCAGGGATGAGAGGCTGAGGATGGCAGGGGAGGATACTGGACGCTGAGAGAAGCCGGAGGAATGGAGGCAGGGAGGAGAGCAGGGGGCAGGGCGGGGCCTGCAAGCTGCTCAGCTACAGCTGGGGCTGAGCTGCCGGTTCCCAGCAGCCCAGCCTGGCCCCCAGCCCAAGGTCAGTGCCCCCTCCCGCACAGGACCCAGACTCCTTGCTCTCCTCCCCCCTTCCCCTCCACCCCACCCCAGTTCCAGCTCAGCCCAGCCCTGCCTGCATCACTCCTTCCCTCCCACAGAGCTCTGAGGGTCCAGCAGAGTGAATAGGATGCACGCAGAAGCCCCCTTGGGCCCACACAGATTGGGGCCACTCCCACCCACACCCACTCTGGGGGTGCTGAGTGTGATGGGGGAGGGGCATGATGACCCCCAAGTCATGGACAGAGACAACAGGGTGGGAACAGGAAGGCACACAGTCCAGGAGCGAGACCCACAGCTAATGCAGGGCGCCAAGTCTGGTGGGAGCAGGGACGGTGATGGGGCAGAGGGTGATGGGGCGGCCCTGGGCCCCAGCTCTGCAGCCTGGGCCTTGTCATCCCAGCAATGGGCCTGGCTCCACCCTACTTACTCGCTGATGCAGTGGGCGGCTGTGAGCACCCACCGGGGGTCCACGAGGACGCCCCCGCACTGGAAGTCGCTGTAGTGGTATAGAGCTACCTGCCAGGGCTGGGAGTGCTTTGCACACGTATAGCCCCCTATAATCCGGGACTGCACAGGGGGCGCGGCGCCTGCAGAGTGGACAGGAAAGGTTGAGGGGGGAAGATGGGGGCGGGGGTGTGGAAGGGCTGGGAGAGGGAGCCCCACTGTGGGGGCAGGGATGGAGGGGCTGCCCCTGGGCTCAGTGGGGTCCTGGGAGGGGAGACTCCAGGGAGAGCAGCCGAGTTGGCCCAGCTGTCCGGGTGAGAGACGCAGGATGGGGTCAGGAGCTGGGGGGGCTGCTCAGGCCACTGGGGCGCTCTGAGGCCATGGGTTTGGGGGCACTAGAGACAGTGTGCTGGGGGAGTGGAGGACAGGTGGGATGGGGAGGAGTGGCCGGCCTGGGCCAGGCTGGGGACTGAAGCAGGCTGTGATTTCAGGGGGCTGAAGAGGACTGGGGGAAGGTGTCAGGCCTGAGCAGCTGTCACTGATTCCCGGGGGGGGGGGTTCTGGGACAGTTGGGGTTCTGGGTGAAGAAGGGTAAGGGCGGAGGAAGGACGTGGGCTCTGAGAATTTGGGGTTCTCTCTGCCTCCCTGTGAGTCTGGCGTGGCATCAGCGCAGGATGGGGTCCTCAGGGGCAGGTGGTTGACGGACACCCTGGGGCAGGGGAAATGCAGGCTGGGGCTGCTGCAGGAATTTGAGATCTTCTGAGCCCGGCACAGGGCGCAGCACAGGCAAGGGACTAAGGGCAGGCCAGTCCTGGAGCCGGGAAGGGTTGGCTGATTCTGCGGGTGGGAGCCCAGGGAGGGATGGGGCAGGGGCGGGAGGGAAGGAGGCCGAGGTTGGGGTTGTGGGGCTTGTTCCGAGGCAGAATTTCCCCCGCTGTGGAGTGGAATTTGGGGGCAGCAGTCAAGGCGTGGAGGACGCAGCTGGGAACTGACAGCTGGATATAGGAGGGGGTTCTTGGGGTCCAATCAGGGGGTCCTGGAGCTGGGTCACCAGGGGCTACAAACGACTGCGGGGTGGGGGAGATCAGGATCGCAAAGAATCATGGAGTCTGGGGGTGCTAGTGTGAGATAGGCCGATGGCCCCAGCTCTGCCCTTTGGTCAAGGGGGCGGCCGCCCGGTGTCAGCAAAGAGGGGAGGCTACCGAGGGATCAGGACCCGTGCCTCCTCCCGCAGCCCCTCCCCCCATCTCACCGGTCCACCCCCACGACAGGGCGAGGCACAGAACCAGGAGCCACATGGTGACAGAAGTGTCCAGGGCCAGGTCGGGCTGGGAGCTAGCAGCTGGGGACACTGCGCAGGGGAGCCCTTTAAAAAGCCTGAACGAATCCCGCCACCCCCCTGCCAGCTCCACCCCTGCCCTGCTGGCACCCAGGAGCCAGCTGGCTGCCAAGGCTCTGCCCCTCTTCTTGTGGGGGTAAGGGCACACGCACACCCCCCTCCCCCACGCTGTGGAAGGGGAGGGAGAGCCTGCACCTGCTACCCCACAGGTGCCTCCATCCTGCTGGACACGTTCCCAAGTGCTCGATCAGACCACGTGGGGTGGCACTGCGGCTCCTGGGGGCCTTGGCTGCGGGGCATAGAACTAGTGTAACCAGGCTGGGAGGCTGGAGGGGTGGAACTGCATGTACCCCAAGACCCAGAGGCCCCCCCCCCAATCACTTCTCAGCCGCCTGCTCCCCTGTGTTGCAAGCCTGGGCCTTCAGAAGGCCTGGGAGGACTTGGGGGTGTCTAGAGGCTCCATAGGTGTTCCTCTCACAGTCAGATCTGGGGGGCACCCTCAGGTCCAGGGTTCTGGCTGGGGCGAGATGGTTGACATTTCAAAAAAGAATGTCCTCGCCACAGAGAACAGGGTTGGATAGGGATGGGGGAAACTCAGCCTCCTTTGCCCATGTGGGTGCTCAAGGTCATGCCCTTCAGATTCCGGGGGACTTGGATGGAGAGCCCTGCCCGGCCATGGTCAGCACCGCGTTCTTCTGCATAGCTCCTCCTGCCCCCCAGCTCCGCCAGAAAAAGGTTAGGTAGGCACCCCCTCGCCCCCTGAAAGTAAAAAAAAAAAAAAACAAAGAAAAAAACAGACAGTGGAGTGGGGAGGGCAATTTGTTTCTGGATATCTGGCAGGTGGCATGGCGACGAGCATTGGCTCTAGGAATGGGGGCACAGTCATGGGTTTGTGGTGGTGGTGGCCCAATTCTGCCCCAGACTGTGAGGTGGGGTGCTCCCAGGCAGCCGTGGAGGGCGGCGGGGGCAGGGGGAGGCTTCTGCTCGGTCAGGGGGCCTGGGACAGCCAAGTCGTTGGATCAGTTCATCCTCATGGTCTCCTGGATCCACCCGATGTAGCGACAGACTTTGGTGTAGACGCCAGGCTTGGTGGTCGTATCACAAGGGACGTCCCCCCAGGACACAATGCCCTGTAGCGTTCCTCCGCAGATCAGCGGTCCCCCGGAGTCACCCTGTGGACGCGGGAATCTCCGATGGAAGAGACACCTCTTGGACACGCTCCCCTCGCGCCATCTTAATCACCCTTCCCTAAGTCAGCCCAAACCCTGTCCCTCCCCTCTCCTACACCACCTCCCACCTCCCTGACTCAACCCACCCGCACACCTCCATTCCACACAGGCCCGATCCTAATCCCCACGCCTTCCCCATCCCAACCAAAGCCTGTTGGGTCCCAGCAGACCTACGCATGCCAGTCCCAAACCAACTGTGCCACGCAATACCATCTCCGACCTCACCCCCATTTTCTCTGCCCTCGCTACTCCCATCTCCAAGCCTAAGCTTGGGTTCTGCCCCAAGCAGACACTGTTGGCAAGTCCCAAACCGCCCTGGGCTCTGACCTCACAGGAGTCGGTGCCTCCGCCCTCCACTCCCGCGCACACCATGGTGTCTGTCAGCCGCCCGGGGTAGTCCTTGTTGCAGGATGCTTCCGAGATGATGCTGATGTTGGCGCAGTGCAGCGTGTCCGGAGGGTTCACTTAGAGGGGCGTGGGGGAGGGGACACATGGATTCACTCTGGTTCGTGTCCCCCCCCCCATAGGGTCCTGCCCCGGAGCCCCGTCCTTGGACGCACCTTGTGAGTGGGGGCTCCCCGGAGTGTCAGGCTTACTGTTGGACACCAGGCCCCACCCGGACACCACGCAAGGTTCGCCTTGGTGCGGGCATTGCGTGGGCAGCGCCACGGGGCGCACTTGACGGCTCAGGCGTGCTGGGCGGGCCAGACGCACCAACATGATGTCGTGGAGATGGCTGCGCGCTTCGTAGCGCGGATGCGGGATGAGGCGAGACACGGCGATCAGCTGCTCCGGGCCATCGTGCCTGCGCAGGTTGTGCTCGCCCAGGCGTGCCCGCATGAAGCTGTGCATGTGCGCGTGTGGTGGGAGGCAACAAGCAGAGAGGGGTCTTGAGCGGACCACCCAGGGGCGAGCCACATCCTATTTTTCCTTTTGCTGTGACCCTGAAGCCCACGTCCTGTCCAGAGTCAGGCGCGCTCCTGGAACTCTGTCCCCAGTCCATCCTGGTGCAGAACCTAGGGTTCTCAGATCCGTGCGTCTTATCCTCACACCCAGGCCTTCTAAAGCCCGTCTTTCCGTTATCCATCTCCTTCCTCTCAATCCTCGTTTAGGGGTTTCAGGGCCAGAAAGCTTCCCGCCTCCACTCCTTTCCAACCGGGGGTTTTTCCTGCAGCAGGTCCCAACCCCAATCCAGCGAGGGGTCCGCCCTTCCGCGGGAGACCCTGCCCTCCTACCGGGTCTGGCAGTGGGCGGCGGACAGCACCCAGCGTGGAGAGATGAGGGAAGCCCCGCAGTTAAAGCGTCCACGCTCGAACAGGGCCACCTGCCATGGCTGGGAGTAGGGCACGCACTCCTCGTCTGTGGTCTCCTGGCCGCCGCCCCCTGCTGGACGAGGAGCCCGTGGAGGAGCCCTGAGCCCTGGGGTCTCCGGCAGCCGCTCCCGCACACCCTGTCCACCCTCGCCCTCCCCCAGCGCCGCAGGAGGCACTCAGCCCGGCCTTTGCAGGCTGTTACACCTGCTGCCCCTTGTGCAGCCACCTCCCCTGCCCCCCGCCCAACAGCAGCCCCCACCCCTTTCCACATTTGCCATCATGGCTCTGTGAGACAGAGAGAGAGGAAGGGCCAAGGGCCAAAGGTCAGGAAGTCCTCCACGATTGTAGGACGCCGGACCAGGGCTTAGATGGGGCTGCTTGGGATCAGTCCTTCAAAGTCACCGAACTGTCACAGATATCAAGTGGATGAGGACACTCAATACGTGTGACACACCTCCTGGCCAGAGTCAGGGTGGTGTGTGAGAGGCACTTAAGGCCGCACAAGGTCACGGCCGCATATGTGCAGGCACGAGCCGCCTGGCGGACGTCAGGAACCGACTGGGGGTGGAGTGGGCAGTGCCTGAGCTGACAGTCACTTCACAGGTGTTCACACACACACACATGCACAGAGCCAGCTGACACAAGCTCAGTCTCGGGAGCCTGGTTGTGCACAGGGTCTGGAAACAGGCTTGGGAGTGGGGGCTCGACCCTGGGCTCCGACGCTGGCAGTGCAACCCATCACAGTTATTGGACCTGCTGCGCGCACGAGCTGTTGAGTGCAATATTCATCATGGCCACGGAAGTACGCACGGCTTTATTTCTGGGAACGCGCACCTGCTTGGCCAGGGCCCTGGATGCAGAGGTGGCTAGCACAAGCCAGCCTCCTGCAACAGGCTCAGAGATGACAGGCAAGGTCAGAAATGAGATTCACCTGCCAGCCTCAGGAGACGGCCCAAGTTCACTGACTTGGACCGACCCAGTACGTCAGATTCCAGGGTGTCACTCAGCCGCAGGCCTGGGTGCTCAAGGTCAGGGACAAAGGTGCCCGGACAGGACATTATACCAGATCCTGGTGGTTCCGGCTACTCACCTGGCTTGGGGGTGGGGGCAGCACATAGACCCCAGGGCTTTGTACCTTGTCCCATTCCTCCCCCGGCCCCCAAGAGGCTGCCGGGCACAGGACATACTTAAGGACGTTTTGGGTTCGGGGCACCATGATGCCGAACACGTCCAGGCACGCACACTCATACATCGTGTGGGGACAGGAGACAGGATCTTTCACATGGCCAGGCCAAATGCCCACCGGGGGCAGGAGCCGAGCAAACAGGATAACGGAGCACATGTGGGGGGCCTGGGTCACAGAGGGAAGGGCCAGGCTGTCCTCTGTGTGTGTGTGAGGACTGGTCCAAGCCGGAGGAAGGCAGAGGCCCCAGCTGGGTGCAGCAGGCTAAAGGCAGGACGGGGGACAGCACAGTCAGAGCCCCAGGGGAGGCTGGCTGCTCGGAGCCGGGAGCTAGGGTCACGTGGGTCGAGAGAGGGGGAGCGCTGGGTGGAAGTCTACACCCCATTTCTCCGGGGCAGAAGTGTTGGGTTACAAGCTGGAGTTCACCTTGACCCAGTCAGTGGCTGCCTTTTACTGGGCTGCAGTCCCTTCCCGTGTCCTGCCAGGGCAAGGGCGCCCACCTAACGTAGACTCTGGGTGTCAGGGCTAAGTGTGCTTCTGGCACATTCCAAGGGTCCAGCTGGGGGTGGGCACCTGCCTCTCACACCCATGAAGGGAGGGACTGGCAGTGTCTTGTTGGGGGTGGGGCGACCCAAGGCAGGGGTACAGCTCGGGTAGCAGATGGCAGCGTCACGCAGGGCTTTGGGAGTGATGAAGACTCTGGCACCCGGTTGGGGACGTGGCACCCCCCTTCCCTAGGCCTTGGCTCCTTACCTGCAGCTGACAGCAGGAAGGTGAAGGCGAGGAGACACCACATGGTGCTGGAGGCGCTCAGCTGCAGACTGGGAGCGGAAGGAGAGGAGTGGCTGGAGCGGCCAGTGTGCCCCCTGCTCCCCAAAACACTGCCCTTCACCTTGGTCTGGACATCCCCTGGCCTGAGAGAGCCCAGCACCATGCCACCTGCCACCACCAGCTCCTGGACCTTCTGGCCTGGGCTCCGACCCTCCCCCTCCCAGACCCTGCCAGCGCCTCCAGATTCCTTTGCTGAGCCCATCCTACTGGGCTCTGCCTCCTCCCTCAGACCGGAGCTTGCGGAAGGCAGCCCTCAGTCTGGACTGTAGTAGTGGCTTAATGCCTGGGATGGCGGTGGGGCTTCTGGAAGCTTCCATCTGCATGCTGGTCCTTCTAGGCTCGTCTGGCTCTCCCCAGAGAGCCTCCAACCCCAGTAAAAGCTATGGGCCGGCTTCTCCATGTGTCCCCAGCGCCGCCCTTGGCCTGGGACCTGCACTGGGGCAGCCCCTGGCCATGTTCTAGGTCTTTCTGGGGACGGTCCCAGACACTGTCCCCGCCCCTCCCTCCCCATCCAGGAGCCTCAGGACGACATTGTTCTCAATTTGCTTCACGTGGGGGCATTCGCCACGGACACATGAACTTACCCAGCGCCCCCGAGGGTCATTTGTGCCTTCCCGTGGCTGCGCTCCCACCCGGCCACACGGATCTCAGTGCCTCCAGGTCCCCTCTACAGCCAGAAGAGGGGGAGCGGGTCCGGGGCTGCCTGCATTTATAGCTGTGCGCACCGCCTGGGTCTGGGGGCGGAGTGGAAGGTTTATAGGCGGGACGCCTGGGTGGCGAGGGGGCTGGGCAGCTGGGCCTAATGAGCATTTATGGGGCTGAGGCTCTTGCAGGAATCTGCAGGGTGGCGTTCGCCCCTTGGGGCAGGGGGGTGGAGGGCGGTGGAACCTACAGCAGAATCAGGGACCCAGAGTGGGCCGCTGCTGTCATCCTGGTCTCTGGCTCTGAAACGGGGAGCCTTGAGCTGGACGTTTGTGACCTCAAGTCTTAAGCGTGGATTAAAACACACACACACACACACACACACACAAGGTAAAAGACTATTTTTATTGGAAAATTACAGAGAAGAGAGACTCCTCGAATGGCCGCAATGCCTGGAGCTGGGCTGGGGTGAAGCCAGGGACCCCGGAGCTTCATCTGGGTCTCGCCCGTGGATAACTTGCGTCGCCCGCTGCTGACTTCCCAGATGTAGCAGCTGAGAGCTGGGGTAGAAGTGGAGCCGCCTGGAGTTGAACCAGCCTCTGTGTGGCGTGGGATGTCAGCAAAGCACGCAGAAGCTCAGCTTGCCACAGCGTCACAGCGCCGGCCCCTGTAGTGTAGATTCTCTGAGGTCTGAGTTCTGGATCCTGCCTGAAGCCACCAGCACGACCACTGGTGCTGGGTTCTGGAGCGTGCCACCTGCAGTCTGTGTTCTGGGGCCTGGAGACCAGCACCCAGGTCCCCAGGCTGGTGGGGGCTGCTGTAAGGGGCTCCCTCCTAGCGCTGGGGGCCTACCCACGGTGTGGGGAAGGGACCCTGGAGAGTCTTCCCAGGTTAGGGCTCATGTCCCCGCCTGAAGGAGCTGGGGGCGGGGGTAGGCTGAGGTGACGCAGAAGGCCACGGGGGGGTGGGGTGGGGGGCAGCAACCTAGCATTCACACACCAGGAGCCCGCCCAAGCCTCATCAGCCAGGGTCCACCGGCTGAGGCACGCTGGGGCGCAGCCCGCACTCCGCCCAGTGCATGCCCGGTAGGCACCATCCCCGCCCCGACGCGGTGACAAGTGCCCATCAGCCGCTGGTGGCGTCTCAGGGTGTTCTCCTAGGGTCCCCTGTCTGCCCTGTCCTCCTCTTTCCTTTCCTGACCCTGCCTGTGGCTCAGCACTCCATGCACCAAGCCCCCAGCCCTCAGAACCCCCAGACTCCTCTGTTGGAGAAGGTGCCTCTGTTGGAGAGGGTGCCCACTGGGATCCCCGGGAGGACCCCGCCCGTTCGCCTCGGGGTGCCCCTGGCTTTGCTGTCATTCCCTCCCATCTCAGCCAGCCTCACCCTCCCAGCCTTGTGGGAGCAGACGCGGCAGGGCGGCGGCGCGGGGTGCTCCTGGGAGCTGGCTTGGGTTCGGACCCCTTTCCAACTGTATACATCAGGGGACACCCTGGCAAGTGGCTTGGTTTGAAGACAACAAACGAGGGAATTTTGCAGGAAGGCTCAAGGGCAGTTGAAGCCAAGAGCTGAGAGAGGTGGCCCGGGATGGCTGCTGATTCTGTGCTGGTGACCTCTGGGGAGGGCAGCGATGCCTTGCCCATAAGGTCGCCCAGGCCGCCCTGGGGGTCGGGGGTGCAGAGAATGATACTGGGGGACCCGTCACCCCTTGGGTGGGCACCCGCCCTTTCTGGCCGTAGGGTTGCTCCTCTCTAAAGAGGTTAGAGTGGGGTGGGCGTCTGGCTGCTCATAAGGGCGTCTGTGTCCCATCTGGCTGGGCTTCCTCAGGTGGCATCTGGGTGCCACGTAGTCACGCTCCCATCTTCCACCCCAGGTGACTCTGGGAGTTCAGGGAGGCTGGCGGGGCCCAGGAGGGCAGTCTGGGTGGCCAGGGGAGGAGCAGGGCCAGCTCCAACGTCCCCCCTCCCCCAGGGATCATCCAGGTCCCCTCCCCCTCTGCCTACCACCTCCTCCCCTGGGGATTCATGGAGGCTGCAATCAAGGGCAGGGCAGCTCAGCCGTGAGGTCAGAAGGACCCGCTGGGGCCGGCTGGAGGAAGGGCTGAGGCTGGAGCGTGTGAGGGGGCTGAGGGGGTCATCCTGGTTGGGTTAGGGTTTCAATCCCGCCTGGCCCTTCTGACCACCTGGGGCTAGCTGTTTTCTTCACAGCCACCAGAGGGAGCCCGGTCCTGCTCTAATCTAACCAGAAGAAGTTCCTGGATACAAATTGTGTCAATGCTGGCCATTGTGACCACTTGGGAACCAGAGGATGGAAGATCTTTCTCTCTGTCTCTCCTCTTTGTAAATTTAGCTTTCCAATAAAAATAAATTAAGATTTTAAATTTTTATTGGAAAGAGAAGGAGAGACAGAAAATCCTCTAGCTACTGGTTCTCTCCCCCAGATGGCTGCAATGCTGGACACTGGACCAGGGCTGAGCTGATCTGAAGTCAGGAGCCAGGAGCTTCCTCTGGGTCTCCCACATAAGTGCAGGGTCCCAAGGCTTTGGGCCGTCCTCCACACCTTGCTAAATAAATAAATCTTAAAAAAGAATCCTACACACGTAAGAGGCATATTTGTAAACCGGCCCAGTGTCAGAGCTTGCATCTTTTATTGGCCTGCACTGGAAACAGGTCTACTCAGAGGGAATATAACATGTTTACTGTCCCAAACAGTGAAGGCGTTGGCGTAAGGGACATTATCTTTTTTTATTATTATTATTGATTATATTGCATTATGTAAGGGACATTATCTGTATGATCTAGGACAATGGGCAGTCCTGTTCTGTGGGCCAGACCAGACACTTAAGTCAGTGCCACCTACCGCTGTCAGGGTCTTACAGGGAAAGGAAGCAGAGGCTGACCGAGGCTGGGAGGCTGAGAAACCCGTTCCCTTGCACACACCTGCAGGCGCTTACCGACCCAGGCTCCTCCACAGCGGGGGTCACCTGCCCCTCACTCCGCACCTACGCTCAGGAGCCTGGCACCGCCCAGCCCTCAGACGACAGCAGGGCACGGCCAGAAGACCCCTTTACAGGGGAGGGTAGGGGGCGCCAGGAACTAGAGAGGAACTAGCTCAGCCTGGGGAGCTTTTCCATGGGGTTGGGGGGGTGGTATCTGAAGAACTTTAGGGAGAGCTGGAAATTGCAACAGAACCCCCTCCCTCCCTGGCCCCTCCCTCCCTGGCCCCTTCCCTCCCTCCCTGGCCCCTTCCCTCCCTCCCTCCCTGGCCCCTCCCTGCCTCCCTGGCCCCTTCCCTCCCTCTCTGGCCCCTCCCTCCCTCTCTGGCCCCTCCCTCCCTCCCTGGCCCCTTTCCTCCCTCCCTGGCCCCCTCCCTCTCTCCCTGGCCCCCTCCCTCCCTCCCTGGTTCCCTCCCTGGCCCCCTCCCTCCCTCCCTGGCCTCTTTACTCCCTCCCTGGCCCCTTCCCTCCCTCCCTGGCCCCTTCCCTCTGGCTCCAGCGGGCCAGGGCAGCCTCAGGCCCCCAAGCTCTGACCAGTTTTGGCCCAGAGAGAGACCTGACCCAGCTTCCTGAAGACTTGGCCTGTCGCGAACCCCCTGGCTCGGTGACCGAGGACTTGACTGGGGGCGGAAGGCAGGCGGGCAGCAGGGCCTTGCCGTCCACGTTGGCTCTCGCCCAGCCTGCCCCTCCATGCCCCTGTCTGTGTGCCCTTGGTCTCAGGGAGGGGACGCCAGCACCCTCAACACAGCCCTTGTCCCCCGAGGTGACGTGGCCTTTACTGCCCTGTAGGGAGGGACTTTACTTCTGTTGCCGTCCAGGACAGCAAACTAGCTAACTCTGGTGACACTTTTACTATCCTGGGGAGGCATGAAGCTGGCAGGACCGCTTTGTGGGTGGACAGCACCAGCCAGTGGCACCCAAAGGCAGCAGACACGTGGCTCACTGACCTGTAACGCTGCCGGCCGGTGGCTCTCAGACGGCCACAGCTTTCACCCTGAAGTTCACACAGCTGGGCCATGGTCACGTGTGAGTGGCTCTGGCTGCCGTCGGCTCCAGCCTCTGAGTAGCCACGCATGTCTCCGAGGACTCACACACAAACGACTTCACGTCATGGCCATGTCCTAGCAGAGCAGGTGCAGCCCTGCCCTGCTTAGCCTCTGCTTTCCCCACAAGGTCAAGCACCCAGAGCTCAGCCTGCAAGCGAGTGTGTTGGAGCTGGGGGCAGTGGGTAGGGGTGGTGGTCAGGCTCGGAACCCCTTTGTCTGTGTGTCAGTCTGAGGGGCCATTTTGACGACCCCTATCTTGTATCTTCCATCGCACTGGGTCATCTGTGGCCATGTGTATCCGACATGGGTCAGAGCTCCTACGTCCAGATCTCTGTGTGTGCCTGCGTGCCTTAGCTGCCCCTTCAGGTCCATCGCTGACCATGCCTGCCTTCACGGCGGACGCACATTCTCTACTTCCTCTCCCAGCGGCCTAGGATGGCGACAAGGGGCTGGGGATGAGGCTGGGCACCTGCTCCCCCGTTGCTCACCTCCAGCCCTGGAGTTATTCATTCATTTGAAAGAGTTACAGAGAGAGAGAAAGATCTTCCACCTGCTGGTTCACTCCCTGAATGGTCACAAGGCTGGTGCTGAGCTGGTCCGACGCCAGGAGCTTCGTCCAGGTCTCCCACCTGGATTCAGGGGCCAAAGCCCTTGAGCCTGTCCTCCACTGCTTTTCCAAGCCACCAGCAGGGAGCTGGGCTGGAGGTGGAGTAGCTGGGACATGAGCCAGCACCCACGTGGGGACCAGGCCAGGCAGATGGTGGCTGTACCGTCCACGTCACGGCGCCGGCCTCCAGTACACATTTGGCAGCACATCGTTTAGAATTGTATTCGACTACTGCGCGACACTCTCGCTACCTGTCACGCTGCAGGTGTCACATCCTGAGTACATGCAGTCCTCCAGGAACCTTTAAGGAGCATCTGCTCTGGAAGCTGCAGGCATGGAGGAGGGAGGGGAGCCCTGGGTGTGAGGGAGGAGGGAGGGGAGCCCTGGGTGTGAGGGAGGAGGGTCTGGGCTGGACCCCTGGGTGTGAGGGAGGAGGGAGGGGAGCCCTGGGTGTGAGGGAGGAGGGGCTGGGAGGAGCCCCTGGGTGTGAGGGAGGAGGGGCTGGGCTGGACCCCTGGGTGTGAGGGAGGAGGGGCTGGGCTGGACCCCTGGGTGTGAGGGAGGAGGGGCTGGACCCCTGGGTGTGAGGGAGGAGGGGCTGGGCTGGACCCCTGGGTGTGAGGGAGGAGGGTCTGGGCTGGAGCCCTGTGTGTGAGGGAGGAGGGGCTGGACCCCTGGGTGTGAGGGAGGAGGGGCTGGGCTGGACCCCTGGGTGTGAGGGAGGAGGGGCTGGGAGGAGCCCTGTGTGTGAGGGAGGAGGGGCTGGACCCCTGGGTGTGAGGGAGGAGGGTCTGGGCTGGAGCCCTGTGTGTGAGGGAGGAGGGGCTGGGAGGAGCCCTGTGTGTGAGGGAGGAGGGGCTGGGAGGAGCCCTGGGTGGGAGGAGCCCTGGGTGGGAGGACCTGCGGCTCTGAGGTTTGGCACGTGACGCTGTCGCCGCCGTCTCCCAGTCCGGTGCTGCCTGTGGTTAGTTTTCCTGGATGGTTTTCTGGATCCACTCGGTGAAGAGACAGAGGTTGGTGTAGACGCCGGGTGTGTGAGGTTGGCCACAGGGGGCTGGGCCCCAGGACACGAGGCCCTGCACGGTCCCATTGCAGACCAGGGGACCCCCAGAGTCTCCCTGTTGAGGAGAGAGTGAGTTAGAGACGTGCATGGATGAGGGGGTGGATAGAGACAGGAGAGAGATGGGAGGGAGCAAAGAAACGGGCAGGTGCAATCGGAGCCCTGAGCGGGAGCTGGACCTGGGCAACCCACTGGAGACACGGCCATGCAGCGGGTGTGGGCATTGGGTGGGTGTGGGCACTGGTATGGGCTTGGCACTGGATAGGCAGGACCCGGTGGCAGGGGTGGGCACTGGGTTGGCATGGACACTGTGTGGGCTGGACACTGGGCAGGCATAGGCACTGGGTAGTCTGGGCACTGGGTGGACAGGACCAGGTGGCAGGTGTGGGCACTGGGTGGGCATGGTCATTGGGCGGGCATGAGCTCTGGAGGGGCAGGGCACTGGGTGGTCATGTCTCCGGGCGCCTCCCCATGGCGGTCTCTTACACTTTCTTTGAGTCCTCAGGTCTCTCTGGATGCACCCCTGCTTTCCTCAGCACTGCCCCACCCCCGGCCATGTCCATTCTGTTTCTGTCCTGTCCCTGCCCCCAACTCTTACCTGGCAGGAGTCCCGGATGCCCTGGCCGCCTGCGCAGACCATGCTGGGGTGGTACAGTTTGGGGAAGGAGGCACGGCAGGAGCTCTCAGACATCAGCGGGATGGTGACGCATTGCAGGACTTGGGGGAAATGCCCTGTGGCCGGGGATAGGTACAAGGTCAGGTCAGGCTGGACCAGGGTCAGGACACCCGCTGGACTGGGACTGGGACAGCCAGCATCAGAGGTGGGCCCCAGGAGGGGGCCAGGTGCTGTACCACTCACCTTGCCGCAGCAGACCCCAGCCGGACACGGAGCACGCAGCTCCAGGGACTGGGCACTGGGAGGCGACGCCGATGGTGCGAATGGCATTGGACTCCATGGCCGGCTCGTTTAGCTTGATGAGCATGAGGTCGTTGGCGTGTGTGGGGTTGTTGTAGTCTGGGTGTTGCACGGAGAATGTGGCGTTGATGACCTGACTGCCTGGTTCATGGAAGGACAGGCGGTGGAGGCCCAGCCCTACGGTGTAGGAGCTGAGGACCAGCAGTGGGGTTAGAAACCATGACGACTCCTCAACCCCACGTCCGCAGACTTGAACCCAGCCCTAATTCCATCTTCCACTCAGCCCCGTGCCAGCTACAAACTCCATGCCCCAAACTCAACGCCATGTCAACCACACTCCCATTTCAACAGATCCCAAGTATTTTTTCCAGCTGCATCCTGAATTCTGACTTCCTAGACTGGGAGTGCTCAGGAACAAATCCAAGGGTGCCCCACACTCAGCCTTGTTCTCAACAGTTTAAGAAAATGAATGCTCTCCCCTCTCCCATGAAGGATGCAACATCAACAGTCTAAGTCCCGCCCAACGTTAAGCCACACCCACAGAAAGCGTCACCCTTCGCTAAGCCCCACCCACATCTCCACCCTCACCTAAGCCCCGCCCTCGGCTAAGCTCCGCCCTCACAGAAGCATCCATTCTCCTCGAAGCCCCCCCATCCCAGGCCCCGCCCCTCTGGGACCGCCCACCCTCCATCACCGTCCTCAGGCTCCGCCCAATCCCCGCCCCTGCCCCAAGCCCCGCCCTGCCGGTACCGCCCACCCTCCCTCACCGGCCCCAAGCCCCGCCCAGGCCCCGCCCCTCCCCTGCCCTGTCCGTGCACTCACTCCAGGTAGCAGTGTGCAGCCGACAGCACCCACTGCGGGTGCACCAGGACACCCCCGCACAGGAAGACTTTCCCGTCGAACAGGGCGGCCTGCCAAGGCTGCGAGTGCGGCCTACAGTCCCTGCCCCCGACGATGAGCACCTGGTGGCCGCTTGGGCCTGGAATCGCGGCTCCTGGGGGCGAGGGGTGCAGAATGGAGAGGTTAGGAGGCCGGGGCAGGGCCAGGGTCAGGCCATGGCCAGGGGCGAGACAAGGAAGACACCACCTGAGCATAGGCCGGTGCTAAGCCCCAGATGAGCCATCTAGGCCTGCTGCTCACCTCGGCCACGCTGGGGTGCTCCAACCCAAGCCCAGTGCCTGCCAGGGCCATCTGAGCCCACACACCGTCCTCCTGACCCCAGTCAGACCTCTGCAGGGGTTATAAATGCCAGTGGAAGCTACAGGTCCAGGTGAATGGCAGCGGGTCACTATAGGCCTGACCAGGGTGCAGGTGACCCCTCTGGGGGACCCCCTGGTTGTGCAGCCTCCACATGCCACACACACACACCACAGCCGAACACGCTGTACACAGCACAACACACACCCACAGGCGTGCCACTGTGGCTGGAGCTGGGTGCCCAGCCCCATCTGCAGGGCCCAGACTTGCACCCTGTTCAGGCTCTGGCATTTGCTGAGGTGGGGTGATACCATCAGAGGAAGGGGAGAAGTGAGTCCAGCTGGACCTGGGTCCTGTGGACCCTGCAGCACCTTAAGAGGTGAGAAACGACTTTGGCACGGAGCTCCCCTCCTGCTCCGCCCCGGTCCGTGTCTGGGCTTGGCTGGGGCAGCCTGAGCTGGCTCGCACACATGCACACACGCTTACCTGTGGTCACGTGGAGGACGCATCCCAAGAGCCAGGCTCGGAAGGCCACAGCTGCTGCTCTGTGCATCCCGTGGTCAGTACCTGTTGGAGCAGCGGGGAGAGGGACTTGAGAGGACTCTGCCTGCCGTGGTGGCCTCAGCCGTGTCCCCTCACATCTTCCCAGGGGCCCCTTGGCCAGGATCCGCTGGGACGACCCCAGCTCCGGGTGAAGGCAGTGGTAGTCACTCAGGAAGGGTGGATGGAGGCCCAGTGAGAGCAGGACATGGAGAAGCAGGTACGGCCGTGACGGGAGACGCCTGGGCTGAGCTGGGGTGAGCTGGAGACTGGGGTACAGAGGACCCCGAGCGTGACTGGGATGCTTGGGCATGACTCCGGGCCCTGTCTCTGCAAGTATTTACACAGCACCCCATTTTCTTGGGATAAAGTCAGATGCACAGAGAGGCAATGCGAATCATCTCCGGCCACACAGCCAGCAGGTGGGGTGTCGGAGCCCAGGCTCAGGCTGCACAGCCAGCAGGTGGGGGTGTCGGAGCCCAGGCTCGGTTAAGATCCTGGCTACCCACCCTCAGAGAAGGGCACTCACCGGGGATATGATCGCTGAAACCGGGAGCACGGAGCTCGGACAGGGAGAAGGCCTCTGGGCTGCTGGCTCCTGCACTGCACCTGGCCCCGTCTGCCACTGCCTCCTGGGGGGCCTTAAGAGCCTCTCGGCCCCAGTCCACCTCCCCCCACCCCCGGGGCACTGGACATTCCTCGGCTCCTCCCCTTGCTCGCCCCCTCAGGTTGTCCTGACACCTGATTCCCTAGGCCTGCAGGGAGAGCCTGGTCCACCGCCCCCCCCCCAATCCCTGGGGTGCCCTGGCCAGCAGCACCAGCCTCTCCAACTCGCTGTGGTTGCCTAATTCCCCCGTGAGCCTCCTCCCCTAGCCTGCCCACACTCCCCGGTGTGGCTTTGTCTTGCAGAGCCCTGTGCCACGTCGTCCGTGACCTAGGAGGCTCACGAGCCCCCACAGATGCCGCCTTGAGGGGTCCAGCTGCCCTGGCTGCCTCCTGGCTCTGCCACCTACTAGTGTGTGCCTGGCACCCTCCCCTGAATCCCCCAGATATAACTAGAACGCTGCCTCTGTTCTCGTCTTTGCTTCAACAGCCCCTTCCCTGGCAGCAGCCCCCGGCCGTCTCATTCTCCCCTCCGCCCTATTTATTTATTGGGCCTGACATGATGGCTCAATGGCTAAATCTTAAACTTGTAAGCGCTGGCATCCCGTATGGGCACCAGTTCAAGTCGCAGCTACTCCACTTCCCATCCAGCTCCCTGCCTGTGGCCCGGGAAAGCGGTGGAGGACGGCCCAAAGCCTTGGGACCCTGCACCTGTGTGGGAGACCCGGAAGAGGCTCCTGGCTTCGGATCGGCATAGCATCGGCTGTTGCGCTCACTTGGGGAGTGAATCATTGGACAGAAGATCTTCCTCTCTGTCTCTTCTTCTCTCTGTATATCTGACTTTGCAATAAAAAGAAATAAATCTTTTAAAAAAAAAAAAAAGCCCCTTCCCGTCTCTTCTTCCTCTGCAGTCCGCTCCTTCCCGTCTGTCCTTTCTGCTGCACGGGGAAGGGAAGCCCGTGACCATGGCTCCCTGAAATAAAGGCCACCTCAATTCATATATTTGGCTGTTATTCTTTCCCTGGTGGTCGGCGAATCTAACATTTTGGTCCGTGGCGAGGCTAACACTTACAAGTGGCACCTTTGCCCACAACGCCACCATGCTGGTGCCACATTCATTGACTTCTCACAGAGAGGGGGTGAGGTTCTATGCACAGAATCACACCCTGTAACGGTCACACACAGCCAGAGTCCTGGAACTTCACCCGGGTCTCTCCTGGGCTTTGGAATGCAGACGGAGGTCAGCACACACTTACGGTAAAGGCCGGGAGAGATGACATCAGGCTGAACGGCCCAGACAGTCTGGGGCTCAATTACGCTTCCCAGCCGCCCCAGCCGCCCCAGCCGCAGATAACAGAGGAAGCTGCCTGGTGCCAGTGGTGCCCGGAATGCTACCTGCAGAAACAGGCGGTGCGGGCAGGGGCCTGCAGCTGCAGCCTGCGCCTCCCCCATCCTGCCCTCCCACTGCACCCCTCCTTGGGCCTGTGTGCCAGCCAAGGGGCACGGTGCCCTCACAAGGAGCTGAGGCAGCTTCCAGGGCACCCTGGGGTTCCCCGGGGTGGGAGGGATGGCGAGCTGCCTCTCTCTCTCTGCCAAGTGCTCCTGCCCAGCGCCAGGACCCACTGACCTTGGATTTGAGGCTCTTAAATCCAGGCCAAAGACACCCCCGCCCAGATGGACAAGCCCACGGGCCGCAGGTGCTTTGCGGAGGCCGAGTTAGGGAGGAAGTTCACGGCCATCCAGGTAAACTGGGCAATGAGCACCATCACCATCTGGCCCCTGGGCACCTGGGCGGCCTCGGGGCTCTGCGCTGACCCCCTTGGGCATCAGAGTCCGGCACAGAGCTGGACTGAAGGGCAGTGCAGCCTCTCGGAGCTCCTGGGGCTGATGGGAACAGCCCACCCTGGAGTTCTGCAAGTGCTGAGCACACGAAAGCAGTTTGCCTGCTCCTAGAAAATCTGTCGTAAGTCAAGAGTTGTCATAAAAATGGCTCTGATTATCTGCTGCACTAACTCACTTTACAGCCCCATTTGTAAAAGCCAAATGCAGAGAGAGAGAGAGCGAGCATTTCCACCGGTTGGTTCACTTCCCAAGTGACTGCTGTGGCTGGAGTTGAGCCAGTCCCAAGCCAGGAGCTTCTCCGGGTCTCCCACGTGGGTGCAGGGTCCCAAGGCTCTGGGCCGTCCTCGACTGCCACTGCCTTCCCAGGCCACAAGCAGGGAGCTGGATGGGAAGTGGAGCAGTTGGGACGTGAACCGGCTCCCATATCGGAACCCAGTGCATGCAAGGCAAGGACTTTAGCCACTAGGCTATTATGCTGGGCCCTACATTTGGTCATTATTTCAAAATTTCCACTTATTCCCACACGCTGCCTGCTGAATTGGAGGCTGGGTGGGCTCCAGGTTTCCACACTCACTCATTTCACCATTCTTCCATTCAGGTCATCTGAGTCCCCCGCTCGCACAGGAAGTGTCCTGCGCAGCTCTGGCAGACATTTTCTGTCCTAGCTGTCCTGGGGACCGTGTGTCCCTGTCCCCTGCAGCCCCCGGCTCAGATTCCTGGTGGCAGCAAGCAGCAAGGGTCGCCTTCAGGCAGAATGGCCTCTAATGTCCTGGCCTGGTGTGTGAGCCCTGGGGTCCCACTGAGGCCCTTCCTGTCCCCTCAGGAACCAGCACACCCTACAGGTCACATGGCAGGGTCCCCTGCCCCTGCAACTTCCAGACTGTGGCCTCGGCCCTGCCCCTGGTTGATGGCCACAGACCCTAAGTCTTATGCTCGGGTAGCAGGCACCGGGCTCCTGGCTCCTGTGCCCAGGCTGCATGTTCCAGCTGACATCTGGTTAAACCCCCTTCATTTTCATCCACTTAACCGCCCCCTGCCAGCTGTTGCCTGTGAACTTTCCCCAAAGGAAAAAACAAAACCCCTTCTTTGCAGGGAATAGGAACTTTCATGGGTGGGGTTCAGGGTTCTACACTTGGAAATTATATGTATTTAAAGTATGATTAAGGGGCCACGCTGTGGTGTAGTCGGTGAAGCTGCCGCCTGCAGTGTCAGCAGCCTACATGGGTGCCAGCGCATGTCCTGGCTGCTCCATTTCTGATCCAGCTCCCTGCTTACGGCCTGGGAAAGCACTGGAGGACGGCCCGAGCGCCTGGGCCCTGCACCCGCCCGCGTGGGAGACCCCGAGGAGGCCGTCGGTTCTGGGCTGTGAGCTGGCCCAGTCTGGCTGTTGTGAGTCTGGGTGGCATATCTCTGCCTTTCTCTCTATGTGTGTGTGTGTAACTGCCTTCAAGTCAATCAATCTTTTTTTTTTTTTTTAAGATTTATTTATTTTATTGGAAAAACAGATGTACAGAGAGGAGGAGAGACAGAGAGGAAGATCTTCCGTCCACTGATTCACTCCCCAAGTGGCAGCAATGGCTGGCACTGCGCTGATCCGAAGCCAGGAGTCAGGAACTTCCTAAAGGTCTCCCACGCGGGTGCAGGGTCCCAAGGCTTTGGGCTGTCCTCAACTGCTTTCCCAGGCCACAAGCAGGGAGCTGGCTGGGAAGTGGAGCTTCCGGGACTAGAACCAGCACCCATATGGGATCCCAGCGCGTTTAAGGCGAGGACTTTAACCATTACACTATCATGCCAGGCCCCAAGTCAATCAATCTTAAAAATGATTAAAATACCCTTTTTTTTTCTTTTTTTTTAGTTAAAATAAGGATGAGATGCTCATTTTCTAGAGATTTCTCTTTATTGATTGGAAAGGCAGAGTTACAGAGCGAGGAGGAGAGAAATCTTCCTTCGGCTGGTTCACGCCGCCCCATGGCAGCACTGGCCGGGCTGGGCTGGGCTGAAGTCAGGCGTTTCTGGGCCGCCTTCCGCTGCTTTCCCAGGCACAGTGGCAGGAGCTGCCCAGGAAGCAGGGAAGCCAGGACTTGATGAGCACCTGTTCGAGCTGTTGGGTCCTGCTGCTCCAGCGTCGGCCCCTGCAATGACTGAGTGGTGAACCACACTTAAGCCTCCCTCGGGCGGGTGGCGGGCATGCTGGTGCGTGACCACTGGCTGTCCCAGAAAGAAGCCCACTTCAGACCGGTGACCAGACATGACACCTCTGTCCTGTCCCAGCCCTGGGGGTCCCGCTCTGGAACTTCCTAGATCCGGAATCCTGTGGCGTGGGCCAGCCCAGTCTGTCATTCAGCACAGCTAAGCGACAGCTGTGGCAGCCGTCAGTCACCCCTTCATCTCTGAGCAGCCTTTCCTGGCATGGATACCCAAGTTTGCCATCTGTGTGCCCATGGCCTCCTTCTGGGCACTGAGAGCTGCTGCTTCCTCAACATCTATCTATTTTTATTGGAAAAGCAGTTTTACAAGATAAGGAGACAGAGAGAAAAGATCTTCCGTCTATTTGTTCACTCCCCAAGTGGCTGCAACGGCTGGAGCTGAGCCAATCCCAAGCCAGGAGCCAGGGCCTCTTCCAGGTCTCCCAGGCGGGTGCAGGGTCCCAAGGCCTTGGGCTGCCCTTAACTGCTCTCTTAGGCCACAAGCAGGGAGCTGGATGGGAAGTGGAGCCACTGGGATTAGAACCGGCGCCTAAATGGGATCCCGGCGCTTCAGACAGAGAATTAGCATGCTATGCCACCTTTTGTTCCCAATCTATTTGACAGGCAGAGGATACGTGAGAGAATGAGAGTGAAAGCGCCCATCCGGTGGCTCATGCTCCGAAATGCCTCAAGCGGCTGGAGGCTGAACTGGAGCCAAAACCGGGAGCCAGGACCTCAATGCCAGTTCCCCTGGTGGGTGGCAGGGCGCTGCTGCTCCCCCGGCCCCGCGTGTCCCTCAGCCGGAAGCTGCCTCCAGTGGGTCACTCCCGTGTGGGGTGGAGGCGTCACAAGCAGCGTGGGAAACGCTGCGCTGGATGCCAGAGAGCCAGGCACTGTCATCCGTTTGCTGCCAGGGGCCTTTCTGTGTCTCCCAGGGGAGGGGACTGCCTGCTCGGGAAACCCATGGTCCCCCAGGCCGAGGCACCCATTTCTCAGCTGTGCAAACTGAGGCCGAGGAAGGAAAGCGAATGCCTGCGGCAAGGAGGACACTGTGGACTGCCCGGGCTTCTTACACTTTATTGTCCTGTCTGGGGAAAGAACCAGAGCTGCCCAGCCGGCCAGCTGCTCCACCCTGCAACGGCCTGGCCAGCCCTGGCCACTAGGGGGCACCGTGCGCAGCAGGAGTGTCTGGGAAGTGGGGTTTCCGGAGTGGCTGACGTTCTGGGGGTGGGCGGGTAGCCCTCCTGGCCGTCACTGTCCACCGCGGTCAGTCCTGTGGGACCCAGGGGCGCCCTCCGCCGTCCCGGCTAGCTGGTCCGGATGACACTGTCTATCCAGGCTCTGAACTTGTGCAGGTTGGTGTAGACGCTGGGCCAGCCCGGCTGGCCACACTGGGCTTGGCCAAAAGACACCAAACCCTGTAGGGTCCCCTTGCAGATCAGGGGGCCCCCTGAGTCACCCTGTTGTGGGGAGAGAAAGAGGAGTATGATGGGGGGGCCTGATGGCAAAGGCCGTAGTGCGGCCCACTGGGGTCTGAGCCCTGCCTCCCTCCCAGCCCCTCCCCTGTCTCGCTGGCCTGCAGCCCCCATCCCAGCCCCCTGACTCTCCACCTCTCTGTCCTGCCCCTCCCGGTGGCGTGCGGGCAGAGCTCACATTGCATGAATCCTTCAGGTCTGGTCCCCCGCCCGCGCACAGCATGCTGGGGTGGTACAGGCGGCCGTAGAACTCCTGGCACAGCTCCTCGGACACCAACGAGATGTTCACGCACTGCAACACGCCGGGCAGCATGCCTGGGGCGCACAGAGGGACCTCAAGCCCTCCTGCTGGGCAGACGACTCCCTGCGGCGGGGCTCAGGGCGGGGGCACGCACCCACATCCATTCCCCCAGGGCTCACCGTTCCGCTGCAGACCCCAGCCTGACACGAGGCACGATTCCCCTGCGACTGGCACCTGGGAGGCCACCCTGACGGTCCGGATGTTGGGCGACTGGACCACCGGCCGTTTCAGCTTGATGAGCATGAGGTCATTGGCCAGGAAGGGGCTGTTGTACTCCGGGTGCTGGATGGACAGGGTGGCCTCCAGCATGTGGCTGCCCGGCTCCTGCTCTGCCTGCAGGCTGTGCAGGCCCAGCCCCACGGTGTAAGCGCTGAGGACGAGGCTACGTGTTAGGCCAGGGCAGCGTCCAGCCGTTCCTTCTGCATCTGTGCCTTCCTCCACAAGCGACTGTGACCCTGGCGCCGCACCCCAGGGTGTCCACACCGTCCTCCCCAGGGCTCCCTGGACCCTGAGACCAGGCCCAGTTCCCTGGCCTCGCAGAGCCTTCCCAGCCCAGAGCTCGGCCTGAGCATCCCGGCCCCACGCCCCGCCCTCGGCCCCGCACTCACTCCTGGATGCAGTGTGCAGCCGACAGCACCCACTGCGGATGCACCAGGACACCGGAGCAGAAAAACTCGTTGTCAGCGAACAGGGCAGCTTGCCAGGGCTGTGAGTAGGGGTGGCAGTCCTCGCCATTTATAATCTGGCTCCCACTGCCGGAGACTTGGGGTCCTGGGGACGGAGTCAGAGTGTGGCTAGCTCTGGGGTTTGGGGTTCAGGGTTCTCTGTGGGCGTGGTTGGGGGGGCGGACCCAGAACCCCTGAGGGCTTTTGGGGTCAAGTTAGAGAATGGGGCAGATCCAGGGCCCCTCAGGGCATGGCCAGCACTTGGTGGGAGTGCTGAAAGGCTCTGGGGATGGAGTTGGAGGA